CGTCCACCGCAGTCTCAGCTTAGGGGTAAAAGCGCACACCCAGCTCGACGCGCGTGGAGCGGAAGCTCGCGTTGCAGAACCCAGGGATCCCTGGTTCGAACCCCACCCCTGCCCGTTCCGATCTGGATGAGCATCGTACCGGTGTGCGGTCGTGTATCACAACTGCGTGGTGCACGTTAAAAACTCCAGGCTAGCGGTTGTACTGCACTGGCTAAATTGCTCACCAACAGCGTGTGACTCGTCGCAACTTTAATGGCTGACCAACCACACGCTGTATAATATCCCCATAACCCAATTTGTTTTTTTTTTTTTTTTTCTGTTTTTTTTGTTTTTTTTTGTATTTTTACTTCACAAATACTGAGTTCCCAAGTTTCGAATTCCGATGGTAATGTCCAGGCATCGTAATCAATCGTTTTAATAATAATTAAAAAAAATTATTTTGACTTGTCAGTGCCGTTTTAAGCTTTACACATTTCTTATTAAAAAAAAAAAAGAAAAAAAAAAAACCCTGAAAGTTATCTTAATGCGGTTTGTGCAGGTGAGTTATACGGCCAAAGGGAACGTAATATAGGGGCTAGTCATCAATAATCGAATAAAATATGTTTATTGAGTTTTAGAGCGCAGTTCTTAGGCGTCCATTCCGGCGTCTCGCGGCGTCGCCGTCGACGTAACCGCGCGCGTTGCGTCATGGGACGTCACAGACCCATACACCAATTCAATTCCCCGCTAAATTTAGCTAAGAAACTGAATTGGTGTTTACGTCTGTGGAGTCGCATAATGAAACACTGCACATTCAGTATTCAGTTTCCCCGCTAAATTTAGCGGTAAAACCGACGTCCAATGACCTTAACACCAATTCAATTCCCTGTTGAATTGGCTTTGAGTTCCTGTGACGTCAATTTTCCCGCTAAATCTAGCGGAAAAATTAAATTTGAAAGATGTCATTACAGTTCTGTACTCTGCCCTGTTTGTTTACTCTTTCGTATGTACAAAAAAAAAAAGGTTGACCGTATCTCCACGGGGTGAATGATGTTGATTGGGGCGAAGCTTTGGTGGTGCTTGTCTGCGTAGACGCTGAGCCGCAGCATGCCGAGCCTTTCGTTCGTTTTTATCCATGTCAGAAAGAGAATGTGTGGTATGGAACGTGGTTATATACACATTTGAGCACTTGAGCGCAGCGCCCCCTCGTCTATAAACATTGAGCCAATGCATGCAAAGTTTAAGCGCCCTCTCCTGTATGGACGTTGAGCGGCTACATGCAACGCTTCATCAATGACATCCCAAGCTCTTGAGTTACTACCACATCTCAGAGCCCCCTACTCGTCCCGCAGTCGTGGCCGAGTGGTTAAGGCGAGGGATTAGAAATCCATTGGGGTTCCCCGCAAAGGTTCGACTCCTGTCGACTGCGCAAACATCTTTTTTTCTCTCCGCTTCATTTTTGGTTTTGAAAAGACAGTGCAGTCCTCTTCAGTATCGCCTAGGAAGACCACACGTGAAATGTTACGACGCAGTTCTGTCTACATGTCTCTTGAACGGTCCGGCAAACTCTGCAACTCGCCAAGTTGCCGAAATCGGCCGACTTGAGTGGGCGAATTCAGGCGCAACCAACAGCGCAGTCAAGGCTACGGCATGGGCAGAGCCAACATTGAGCTAAACGTCATTATCATGGCCCCCTTTTGCTTCTTTTCACTTCTCCGGGCGAGCGTAGCGCATGACGTCAGCAACGTTGCCTCTCGGCGCTCAGCGGTGTCCACGTGACTGGTGTAACGCGCCTGCGCAGCGCGTTTCTTGGGAGCCGTCCGGCCACCCGCCGTGGTCCCGCCGTTACCGCTGTCTTCCGCGTCACAACCGCCGTCGTCGTCTCACCGATTGTGATGATTGTCTCTCGGAGTTTAGTCCACACTACGGACAGCACGTGCGCAGACTTATGCCGCAGTTGTGCAGACGTCGTCGAATGCCGTAGACACCAAAACGTGGCGAAGAGTGCGGTGCAGACGACATTCGCGCCTGCCACACGCCCGCCCCAATCCCGCCCGTCGTTGGGCCGAGGATCACGTGACATATCGTACCACGTGATGGCCATGTACTTGGCGACCCGAGGCCAATGTTGCCGGGCGGAGCCGAAGTTTCGGTTTCGATTTTCGCTCGCGTTTAAAATTAGATTTAAAAATATATATCCCATTTTTCGCGAAGCAAACGACGTAATGTGCGTTACTAGGGCTTTTTAAGTCGAAATCAATCATTATCCCGAAATCTTCGGAATTGAGCGGAGTTAGAAGGCAGATGAGATGGCAATCGATGTGAGTACGGACCAGGGTGTAAGATAGACAGGTGGGGAAACGAGAGCCAAATGAGCGACCGATTGTGTCCCCCTCGGGTTTCTTTCTTTTTTTTTTTTTTTTTTGTGGCGCCATCTATGTGGAGCACCGCGAACTCTCACTCCGGGTGGGCGACCGGTGGCGACCGGCTAAACTGACGGAGATGGTTTCTCGTGGATTTTCAATGAAGGAATGTTGTGCTCTCAGTTTATTTTGCACACGCTCCCATAAAATTCCATGCAAATTCGATTCCGACGTTTTTTTCCTCTCGCCGCAGCGCCATCTGTCCAAATCGGGGGTACCCGCAAGCAGACGAGTACACAATCCGGTCACGGCGCTGCGGTAGGCTTCTATGGGCCGTTTCCCCACCTGTCTATCTTACACCCTGGTACGGACGCCGGACGGACAAGGCTAGACCCTAAGGAGCTTCGCCCCTAAAAAGATAAACTGGCCTGCGTTTGCCCACACTGCGCAGGAACCAGATTAGCGCATGCGTCGTGCCGACAGCAGCGCCACCACAGCGACGCGACGTCGGTCAGAGCCGCGTGTTCGCGGCATGCAGAAGCAGCGTGCGACACCAAAAAGCAACTAACATACTAACGGGCGGATTTGCCGATGGAGTCGCGGAGCTTATAACCTTATCAGCTTCAGCTTACAGTGCCGGCGGCTTTTACCAGGCCTCCGCCACAGGCGCGCTCACTGCTGTCGGCCGCAGCTGTTCGCTAGCGTTTACAACATTATCGCCTAGCATTCAAGAGAGAGAGAGAGAGAGAAAAAAAAGAGCACACACATGTACACACAGGCGATTGGCGTACTTTTTGCTTCTCAGAAACTGCGGGAATTTGCAGACGACCTCCGTTGGTCTGGCTGGTCATACTAATCTAGACCAGAGGGACATCGGCGGTCCCTCTAGTCTAGATGTCACATGCGTGATCTGCCTTGTTCTTTCTAGCTTACTTTGCAGAAAAGCACCGAAATCCCGCATTGATAAAACAAATAAACCGCTCTCACTAGGCGTTCGGCGCGCGCGTGTCGTCGCCATAATTTTAGTTCACAGGAGGCAGACGGCCGTGCATGCGAGGGCTCGTGTCGTCTCGTGCTCCTCACGCGCAGAGCTCCAGGTTTCCTTCCGCACGTGCAAAAAGACTAAAGTTCCCTCGGTTCCCTCTATGCATTGCGGCAGCGGTGGCGTAGTCAAACTGGCTGGTGAGATAGGTCTATTAAAGTTGACAAGAGCTCGAGCAACTTTTCAACTCGTCGCGGCCAAACGAACGAACATGGCTACCCGGCCTAGCCTTTTGTCTCCTTTCTTTCTCCGCTCATCTGTCGCTCTCTTTCTCGTTCTTTCTCTCGAGAGAAAGCGCTCTCCTCCCGCCTTTACCCCACCACAAAAAGAAAGAAAAAAAAAAAAAAAAAAGGAAAGAAGATTGCAATTAGAATTACTTAGCTTAAATTTAAATTAAATTAACCCAATTTCAGGACGTTCTTTGGATCATGACATTCGATCGCCTCCGCACTTTGCCTCTCTCCTCACCCTCTTAAATGTTCTGCCCCGCAAAAAATCGAGGCTATTTTTTTTATTATTATTTATTTAGTTTTCTTTCTGCGAACGGGCGAATGTGTAGAAAGCGCGGTCACGTGATAAGGTCACAGTGCTGGATTGGCTGGCATGGCTTGTAGCGTCCGCCGCGGTCAATCGCCAAGTGAAACAGACCACAGTAAGAAACTAACAATCAAACCACTGCAGTAGCATATTCAATCCGTGGCATTACTGCCCCCTGTTACATTTACTCGCACTATACTTTTACATGCTTTACACCATATACATTTTTTTTTTTTTTTTAAACCGAACTCGTGACGAAATATTGCGGCATTGCACTAAGCAGTCGAGTGTCGAAGGCTTTTGAGACGAGCATTATTCCTTCGTTTCCTTTTAATTTAATTTAGTTATGTTCTTGATGGTCTCAATTTATGTTGCCGAGTTTGAGACGGCGTGTGTGTGTGGGAGAGGGGAAGGGGGTTTCCGTATGTTTTTGTTTGTGCGGGTTCCTTGTTTGAGGTACAAGTATGGGATTCGAGAGCAGAGCAGCTGTCGGCGTGTTGTCATGTTGGTAAAAATAGACGCACCCCCTATTAACCGCAATTATATAGCAATCTTTAACAGGCTTCGATCGCTATGAAGGAAAGTGGGAGAATCAGATCGAGAAAAAAAAAAAGTGGCTGCGGAAAACACTCCGGTCGGCTATTTTTACACAACTTGCAGCGAAGCGCCGTAACAAAGTGCCAAAAAAACACGGGGAAAAAAACGGAAAAAGAGAAAACAATATTTTTTTTTTATCAATTTTGTTAGAAGAGAAACGTGCATCGCGAAGTTCTAGCTTGAAATGTTAACGTTCACAGAACCTTGAGGCAATAATCCGGCGACGAAATATGGGAAAAAAACAAGCACTCTTATGATGCCGAACCGTTTCTGAAAATAAATAGGACCTGCATGCTTCTTGAGTACCGTTAGTCGAAGCAGCTGACTCGCAAAGTCGCAGTACACCCTTCGGCACGTTTCTACCGCTTCCCCAGGTTTCGTTTTCGGCAATGTTTCCAAATAGAAAAGGAAACTTCACGCGGACAGAATACACGTTGAACATCTGTACGATTGACACAAATATTTAACGTGATATTTCTTACCGGTTAAAGAAGAATCCCAACCCAGCGTCCAGCGGTGCAAACTCCAAACGTGTGTGTTGCGGCCTCCGTAAAACCGCGTACGAAACTATGCGCGGCGCAACTGCGCGTGGCCGCCGACAGGCGGAACGCGGCCGACTCAGTTTGTTGCAGAATGCAGAATGGCGCGTATGGGTCTGATACGAAGTTGTGGGAATATGAAGCTTCACAAATTTCTGCTCTTTTTCAACGTGCTCGACATCGTGTACAAAGTCGTGCAAAGCGTCGATGGACACACCCAAGGTACGGCTCCGCCGGAGCTAGCTTTGATACTCCGGCTTCGGACGTGGTCGCGCCGCTCGACGCAGACCTTGAAGAGCACGCTAGGCCTTCCTCCATAGACACCCGTGTCTCTCTCGTACTGCAGATACACAGCTGTTTTTTTCGGGCTGATTTGGCTAGCCTCTCGGAAACCGATGGCTGCGCCGGTTTGCGCGGAGTTTGGAACCGAGCTTGTAGGCGGGGTGCGTGAAGATAATCGCACGAAAACTCTGTGCGTTCGTGTCGGCTGGGCTACGCACGCACGCACGCACGCACGCACGCACAAGAAAGTATCGTGTAAATCGATATTATATGCAGCGCCTCGTTGAAGTGTCTTTCGCCCGCTTCACGGCTCATGCGGACAGAGTTAATTTTGTATCTGTTTCGCAACATCTCACTCGGGTCTTCCGGGGTGTTTGTCTGCGATCGTTTTTCTGTTCCCGCGACCGCTGACAAACACATGTTCTCTACAAAAGTCCGCGTGTTTTTTTGCGGGCGTGACGACCGACGAACCGCAGTCGCGCTGTGATGTCGTGTCGGTCTTGTTGTGGCTCGTAAATCGACGAGCTGTAGTTTTTTTTCCAAACGCATCCGGTTTCCTTGAAAATTTCGATCTCGAGTGGTGGCGTGTTTCACGATATTATGGTGTAAAGAAAAAAAAAAAAAAAAAAAACACGCAGACCGGTCGCACCAACTGACGGTGATAAAGAAGAAAAAAAAAAGGGTGCCGTTCCCTTTTTTAGTTATGAACAACGCGTGTTTTGTTTTTCTTGGTGTGAGCAGTTAGACGTACTGGCATAGCTTTGTCGGGTCGTGCTTTGGCTGCTAACGTCGACGTCAAACAAACGGAATAACAAAACAGAAGTGAACTGCTGGCTGCCAGTCTGGATAATGTTAGCACCGCTTTATTATGTCGGTGTGCGGTGTTTAAGTTCGTCACATATGGGTCAAAATCTTCCCCCCGCACACACACAAAAAGAAATAAATAAAAGTAATTGATTATTTTCTAGAGCTGATGAGGTGAAGTACGGGGCCCACTGGCCGATAACACTTCGTCTGATAATATCTTTGGCAAGATATACCTGATATATTTTTTTTTTTCTTTTCGTTTTGCATTAAAAAGGGTTGATAGTTCACTGGACACATTGTACTTTTGCTTGATCAAGGCAGGATTGCCTTGATTGCAGGATTGCCATTGCGATCATTAGACACTGGATCGCGTGGTGGTCGGTCTGCAAAGTTCTTGTTTGGGGCGTCAACAGAAGCGCTATAATGTGGGTTTTTACTGTACTGGGCAAGCAATACAAATGCCATCAAAGCTACTAGAGGGGGCACGTAAATAGCTGGTGCTAGTATTATGTGAAAGTTGCGACTGCTCGTGCGCGGTCGTACAGGGCATTCTTATCTTTCGCCGCCGTTACGGAACTTCCTTGGTTCCGCCTCATGTGGAAGTATAAAGGGGTTTGTGTTGCTTATGGCTTGCCCAATAAGCCCTTTTCAAAACTGCCCGCCATCTAGGAGTTCCAGAGCAAACCTTGTCTTGGCCCGTATCGGAACATTCATATCAATGGGGTTTTGAAAACGGTCTTTTACGGAACGAAAGCTCCCTCGACCAACACTCGGCAAGCACTGCTACTAGCAAACATGCTAAATGCACCGCGTCAGTAACACTTTCTGCCCACCAGTTAGCTTCGGAAGAACATGTTTGTCAACAAGCAGTGTTGTTGGTTTGTTTGTTGAGTAAGACTCGGCAGTAGGTGTTGGTGTTGTGAAGTGTAGTTTTGCATCTCAAGAGGTGTGGACGTGTGTTTCTGTGGACGCTTACTGAATACCTGTAAGAGGATGTTGAGTAATGCTCTGTACAGTCATGCCTCGTTGATGCGAACACCATTAATATACTATGTGTCCCACCCAAAAATTTACGGTGATTTTTTTCACAGCAAAAATGAACTACTCATCGCCGATCTCTCATTCTCCAGCCAAATGTAGCGCTAGCGATCCAAATCGGATGCCAGAGTTTCAGCACTAACTGTTCACTAACTATTAACAGTTCCCAAAGTTGGGAATTCTGCAAATTGTACGTCAGGCGCCCTATTTGATTCGACTAGCAGCCGTGCCTAGATTAACCTACCGTAAAATACCGGGCAAGCGCCCACTATAAATTTAGAGATAATCGCGAGAAAATGGGGGATGGGCGCTTGTCCGATCATCAATTTTACATATAAATGTACTGTGCACTTTTTTTCATATCTTAGAAATTTGGATATGGGCGCTTAGATAAATGCAAAAATGTTCCAAAAGCCGGGTGAATTCATGATTGAAAAGGTTTACTCCGACTTAACATAACAAATTAATAACAAAAGGTACAGACGTTTCGCCACCTATGCAGGTGGCATCTTCAGTATACACTGACACAAATGAGGTGAGGTCGACCAGTCTACTTATCACACACTAAACACTAAACACCTTTTGTTATTAATTTGTTATGTTAAGTCGGAGTAAACCTTTTCAATCATGGGCGCTTAGTGTGGAATGGGCGGATGCGCGGTATTCTATGGTAGATTCAGTGAAAGTAGGGTGGGTGCTGCCCCGGTGTTTTACAGCAAGTGATTGTCTAAAAAAATTCAGTGGTAAAATGGGGCCTATTTTTGCCCATTTTTGGTAACTTCTCTCTGTATTCGCGAGGTCGGTTGCCTGCCATTTTTCCATTGAAAATTTCAGAAAATCGCTTATAACTTTTGAATAAAACAACGGTTAGTGCTGAATTCTTTGGCATCCGGTTTGGACCGCTAGTGCTAGATTTGGGCGGAAAATGAACTTTCGTTGATGCCATAGTTAAATTTTGCAATGAAAAAAACCCTGTAAATATTTTTTGGGGGCACCCTGTAGATATTTTATTATATAGATGGCAATCTTGAGGGCGAACTGTGTAAATATGTGCATTTTTGTCCCATTATTATGGACACATTACACTTTTTTGAAGGAAGGTAGGTGTCCGTATTAATGAGACCTCGCTGTGTATCGATTGGAGCGATAATTTTTGCAATCTAGTGCATGTGATGCGCAGTAACACCGACGTAATGGGCAAGCGCACTTAACAAATTTGAGTAATCATTTTTTTTTTTCTGAAATTTTTGGTTCGGCTAATTGCTCGTTTGCAGACATTTTGAGTCGTGTGAAGGGATAATGTTTCTTGCACAACTCGAACCACCCAGGGATGGCAAGTTCCCACGGAAAACTCGCTTTGAATTTGAGTGAAACTACAGTCGTGACTTGCCCCCACGAGCCTTCGTAAAAGATGCAGCATTTATTTCCCCCGCTTGCAGTTTTTTCTTTCGTGCGCACACTCTATTGCTGCGCAGAGATTTGTGGGCCGGCGTTCCCATCTGGAGATCTGCTGGCTTTGTGGAAAAGCCTTTCTCTATGTGTTTATTTTTTGGGGGGGATTTCAAACACTAAACACATATCCAGGAATGAATTGAGGCCCCAGAATTCAGCCTTCAGTCATTCACCACACAGGCCTGTGTGCTTGTGCTGAATAAATTTGGGCATAATGGAAACTTTGAGCTAGATTTCTAGCTGGCTTGGCCATGGCAGGATATAAATAGGGTTTGGCATTTTCATGTTTTTTTTTTTAATCAAATTTGGCATATTGTATTAAGTTTTGCCTAAGGATTTTTTTTTTTTCTTTTTCTCTGGCAAATATTTATACATATTAAAGCTTTTCAGTTTCCTTTTTCAGTGGTATGCCTGGTATCTCCATTTAACCCAAGACCTTATATAGTCTTCCTTTCGCTTTTCGTTTTCTGAGCGCCAGAAAAATATTAACAAAAGGTTGTGCTTAGCGTGCTGCTGTCACAGAATTCGTAAAATAGCATATTTATTTGACACAGTTGCTTGTACAAAACATAATGAAGAAGCAAACACAAAGACGAGTATAAAGGAGGAAGATTTCAATCTACTCAGGCGTTAACTTGACTAGGAACCTTACATTTCACTAGTCATTTGGTCTTAATTACTTTAGTGATTATAATCAAAATGTGTAGTTTTCCAGGTTTTTTTTTTTATGTGCAATTATCTTTTCTGTTTTTAACAATCAGTTTTGGGAGAGCCTTTTCGCCATTTACCGCGGCCGCTCGACAGAAATGAACATGTTTTCAATCAATCAATCAATCAATCAATCGACAGTCGCCTTTCATACCAGTGCATTTACACTAAAACTGGCAAGCTGCCGAGGTGAAGTTCAACAGTGGCTGCCTAGTCGGTCAATTGTGGGCATTAAAAAACATTTGGTACCATTTATCGAAGCACTGCATGCATTATGTGCTCTCGAAAACTCTGCTTGCACTGCATGAGTCTCGTCCTTTACTTTGGTTGAAACCTTGAAAATGCCCTCACATTGAGAAGTTATGGAACATTTACGGTGATGAAAACAATACAAACCCCTCGTCCAAAGGACAGCGTACTGAGCACACAAAACACAATCACGGGGGGCTGAAGATTTAACCCACAAGAGACCGTTTGTTGTTGAACCTTCTCCCCTAGTATAGCATAGGGTGATCATGAAGATAGCCAACAATTTGATGAGCATCCGCCAACAATTTCGCAAGAAAGCGTGTCGCACGGTGACCATTCTGCCAACAATGTGCCCGTCAGCTGTACCACACGCTTTAAAATATACCTTTTTCGGTTAAAATCGAATTCTGTGGCCAGATTCACGAAACAGTCTTACGCCAAAAATGTGCGTACAACAAAACGTAAAAACAAATTTGTAATCACGAAGCAAAAGTATCATACGTTTTATGCAGGCTGCGACGGAATCCTACGACAGCTGTGGAGCTGTAAATGTCGAGCTATAACAGTTTGTGGGAGCCACGTGACGCTGGTCCAACCTCTTCCAGTTGAGTGTCACGTCAGTATTGAGTTGCAATAAAAAAAAAAAACGGTCCCGAAGCGCTTACCAAGACGCGGTCTAACAGCGCAAATCGAGCACGTCGATCAAACGTGCGCGTCCACTCCGAGTGTTCTCAGGTATTTGTGTGGCTCTTGCTGACACTCTCGTAGTTTAAAGATATATATTTTTAGCGTCGACTCGCTCCTGCATCTACGAGGCCGCTTTGCAAACGACTGGCATGGTACGTCTTTTACCAACGATGACAGTTGTGTTGATGTCGTAGCGATAGAGTTCGTAGCAGTCAATGAAGGCGGTTATCCTGGCCTCGGCGTTCGGGTGTGTTTGAATTGTGTTAGCGTCGACATATCACTGCACGGCCACGAACCCCAGACAAGTGGTGGTGGAAATGCCACCTGTGTTTGTTAGTAAAAATCCACATGCTCCGAACTGCTCCAAACCATGTCAAGCTCTCTGTTCATGTTGCCGAAGACGTCATCGCCATAGCAACAGCACCGGAAGTTCTAGTTTTTCCGTACGAGTACGTCGCTTTCCTCCTCTCACTTAAGAACGCATTCGGGAATATATTGATTTCTCCTCTTCTTACGATGTTCTTAACTTACAAACTTCTTAGCTAAGTTGTCGTAAACTAAGGAGCTCTCCGTGAATCTGGCCTCTGATGAATGAATTCGGTATACTTCTGTAGGTTTTTATCAGTTTAAATTGAAAGCACCAAACCCTAGGTTGTGGGCTTCCATTTCATTCCAGACGCTGCACCTGTTGTTTACCTGCGTACCTGAAGAGAGGTTATTGTTTGGTTCTTAGAAAGATTCCAGAGCGATGAATGTGTTTGTGGTTTGTTGGGAGCTGTCAGGGAGCTTGGTTCTAGGCTGTAGCTGTTTACTAGGCTGTGAGAGCTTTCTTTTGTTTTGGATGCAAGAAAGCCCGGCTGTTGTACGTTTGAGGCGTTCAGGTAGACACCACAACAATAATTATTATAATTGTTGTAATACAATGTAATATCACAAACAGATAAGTTTGAAGATATTCAGGTGCACTGAAGATCGCACGAGTCTTGTGGGATGCCATTCTTTAAAGGAAAGGCACAGCCTACTCGAGGAGAAAAAGAAATAGAAATGCAAGTGATCAACAAAAATTATACAAAGACAACTCAGAAAAGAGTATTACTCAAGTTTCTCTTCCTAAAAAACAGGAAAAGCAAAAATTTAGCTTCCTGATGTCCCAAAACTACCATAACCTCTATGTGAATTTTGGGCACAGAAACCAAATAGCTCAGAAGCAGAATGATTTGGTTATTTGGGGGGAAAACACAGTCTGAAGCCTGCCCTTGAAAGAAACAAAGCTTGTAAAACAAACACTTAAGGAATGGAATATGATATTGTTTACAGAAATTTGCATTTAGGTAATTGGACCTGACCTCTCTCTCTTTGAAATTCCTGTATAATGTTGATGGTCTCTCATTTGCCTCAAAATGGGTTTAGCATACCTAAAGACTGACTGACCTAGTAACCCAAATAATCAGTGTTGGGTAAAGTACATCTAAAAAGTACATGAAGTGAAGTACAGAGTAAATGAGAGGTAATGTACTTCTAGTAAAGTAGTAAGTACTCCCGGCACAATGTGCTTGAAGTACTACAAATACAATGTTCTTTCAAAGTCACACACAAGTACTTTTTAACACAATCTTTCATGATGCCCTCTCATTCCCCTATGCAGTATTGTTTTTCTTTTAACTACTGTTATGCCTCAGGGGGACTGGGCATGGATCAGTTATTTTTGGAAATTATGGCATATATTGAATAAAGTCAAGTGGCCACAGAGAATTTACTTACAGAAATGGCATCAAATGCAGAAGTCACTCTGACTTCTGAATTCGGTGCCGCTTGCACTGGTTGCACACAAGGGTGTTAAACGTACTAGGAGAAAGCGTGGCGTTCACCCTGTAGCTTCTGCAAGCATGCCTCTCGTGGTGGGGCGTCCTTTCCTGATATTTTATCCTCCTTGCTTGCGCTGTGGTAAAGCGAGAGTTTGCAACGCTGTGGGAAAGCTACCCCAGTATAAACGGAGCAATTCATTATCTGCTGGCATTTCCGGTGAGAGTAGAATACCCCTCCCAGTATTTCTTCAGAGTTGACAAAGCATCATTTTGTGATACAAACTTAACAAGACCAAATTTGGGGAATGTACTTTGAAGTCAGGAAGTTGTACTTTTCTCGGAAGCTACCAGAAAACATACTTCAAGTAAAGTACAAGTCCATGCTTGGAGAATGTACTTCGAGTTAAGTACAAGTTTTTAAAATCTACTTTATGTAGTACTTTAATTACAATGTACTTGAAATACTTCCCAACACTGCAAATGATAGGTTGAAGTAACATTTTTTCACAAAGTTATTAAATTTTCAAGTTAGTCCTCACCACTTAATCTGTATAAACAACACTGAAAAATTGATGCCAGTTGTGGGTGCAGGTTCACTATTTGGGCCGTAGAGCTTGCTCCCAATAAATTACAAGAAGTTTGATTAAGTGGAATGAAAGCTGTGGAAGCTAGTTTAGCATTTGCTCAGCAATGCAGAAGAAATGTGTGACTTTTTCTTCTTCTTTTTTTAGACTGTCTGTTTGACCTGCAAGTTTTTCAACATGCGATGTCATGCCACTGGAAAGTGCAGAGAAATGCTAATGTTGGTTTTGGTGGCACCTTTATTTGCAGTGGATATTCCGAAAGTAAAGATACTAAATACTTTGCTAGAAAGAATAGAGCCTGGGTATTCAGAAAACGTAATTAGCTTTGGTAGCTTGAAAAACCGCCGAGCATTTCTTTAACGAGACGCCGACGATTTGGGTTTGAATTATTTTTCTTAGGAAGAATCATTCTGGTAGATCCGATCTCTAAACGCAGCACGGTCGCATGTTTCAAAGGCACTGCATAGATTGCACGCCCATTGACTGTAGAACGTCTCCTTCCTCGCAGCCATATGTTTTTCTACCGTGCGAGTCAAAGGGTTCGTTGCCCTCTTAAATGGACCACATGAATCGTTTTCTTGGTGCATTGAGCTAAGATTTCTAACAGAGGTGGCCAAAGATGATGCTTTTTGTGATCTAAACTACAAAGATAGAGCTTACTCGAGTAAAGATAAGAATTAAGAGCATGAATTCACTTCCTACGGCAGCCATCTGGTAACGAAAGGTGTCTGACCGGCGCAACAGCCAACAGATGGAGGCAGGTAAGAGCGAGGGTGCAGCCACTTGCCTCCGGCAGAAGACTGTGTTACCGCGTCTAGTGTGCCACAAACGTTTTTAATGTACTGTTTTTTATTTTATTAACAAAACATTGAATGGACTGAAAACCAACAAGAAAGGCTCTTTATCGGGTGCTTTGGCTGTCGGCCGCCGCTGTCTCGACTGTCGCTTCCTTCGCCCATACGTCTTTCTTTTGCAGACGGCCGCCTTAGGTAGTGAATTCACGCCGTTAATTTTTCACTCTTTACTCCAGTAAGCTCGTTACTTGAAATTTTGTTACACAAAATGCACCTTCTTTGGCCACTTCACTACAAAATCTGAGCTCACCATGTTAAGGAACCGATTTAGGCAGTCCCTTCGAAGGGTCAATAAACTCCTTGACTCATGCGGTAAAAGTGCCTGTTTTGTGATTTGGGCTTTTCTACCAGATTGGCATTTATCGGAGCTTCAAGGAGCGGCTGCCTGTTTTTAAAAGCAGAGCTGTAGTCAAGGAAGGGAAGTGCCATTACCACAGAAATATCGACCGTCATCTTTCTAGACATGGGAGTTATAAAAACTATTTCCCACGGTTGCTGACTTCGAGAGTGAACATGGCAGTCACTGACAAGGTCGAGGGAGACGGAGAAACATTTTTCAATTGCTGTTTTGAAGGCAGCGGCGTCAGGAATTGAGGCAAGGGCAAAAACACAATTGCAGCGGAAGGATTGTGGACAAAAATGAGCATTAAAATTAAGATACTCACACGTTGGGAAATTAATAACATTTTTATACTGATTACATTCTAGGGAAACACACTACTTGTCAATTACCAATTTTGACAGATTTTTTATAAGCCACCTGCTGCAAGAAACAGTTCTGAGGCCGTTGGAGTGTTTAGTTTATTTACGCCAAGCCCCGATCTCCTTTAGTGTTGCATCACAAAGCCGCACATGTGTAGACGAAACGGTCTGACTTGCGTCTTTTGTCCTGTCGGCGTGTTTGTTCCCATTTTGCATTTTGTGCTCTGGTGCCGATCTGTTCTGCAGCTGGTGTCTCTCTGCGGCATTGAGGTTTATGACCCTGGAGGCATGTGTCGTGCATCAAAATATAGAAGGAAGAAAAAGGATTGTGTTTTTATTGAAACGTTACGGTACGTGCGGGCTTTCGTGGAGTAAACCGGGAATCGTACCGAGCTTTGGCATTTTAGAAGTGCAATCCCAGCACAGAGAGCAATCGAGACGCACGGATACATGCGTTGTCTCCGAGACTCGCATCTTGTCGCGTTCCTTGCCGCGTTTTTCTTCTGGGGCCGCCTGCTGGCGGTGGCGTGGCTGGTGGGGTTCATCTGCGGCTCGTTTGTTCCAGGTTTTATACAGACCGAGAGCGACCTCCAAGTGCTGGCTGATGGAGTCCTGGGTCATTTGTCGGAGGTACGTGTCTAGCCGTGCGTAAACCGCCTTCACGCGCGTTCTAGTCGTACCTGCTGTGTCGTGCCGTTGCCTGCCGCGACCCTGGCGGAGTTGGACGTGGCAGACGCCTGCGCTGCTGCAGGTCGTTTAGTGGCCAGACTGTCGGCGAAAACAATAACGGACACGGGGTGCGGCGTCACTTGCATCCGCTCGCCTTTTTTGCCCGTGTTTCCACGACCGACCGCAATGATCCCAGCATCCGGCAGCACGACATGCCATCTCCTGTGACGTCATTTGTTGCTGCTTCGGGACCACTTCGCGCGTGGACGGAATGGGACGGCCAACATGCCAGTCGAGGACTCTTTTCAGGCAGCATTTCCGATAGCGCATTGTCGCGACGAACCCTTTCACGAACTAGTGCACGCCGTCGCGCGGCGTGCCGCTAGATAGACTGGAAACCTCGAGAAGTTTTGCTCCTCTGCTGTACAGAGATGGCACACAGATCGAGAGGATGCCAAAAGATTGACGGATGAGGTGGCGCTTTTGCGTTTGCGATTGTCGTTACTTTAAGTCGGCATAACTGTTATACTTTAAAAAAACATTTGGCAGACTTTAGGCGCTTGCAAAAAGTTTGCAGAGGAAAGATGGTGCTCGGATCGTAGCGTTTAGTTGAGTGTTTGAGAGAGAAAGACAGTAGTTTATGGGGAAGGAAAAATCTTGGCCTCATCATTGGTGTCGCAAAGTTTGACACCTCTATGGATGTGAAGAGTTTTTCTGAACCTTATGTTAGCCGAAGTAGAAACGAAAAATGGTTTGTTAAATTCATAGTTTGTTTCTAGTCTGCATTGACGGGTAACAAGATGTAAAGGTAGCATTTGCTGAAGTAATAGCACGAAACCCAAGTTGTTGTTGGAGGAGCAGTTTCCTTTGCAAAGTTTGACAGGGTCGTTGAACTCTTTTCGCAGCCATCCGCCGTGAGCAGTTCGTCACCTGTAAGGTGAGTCGGGTCGACGCACTGTTGACTGGTGTCAAGAGCCGCTGCTCACCGAAGCCTGAATTGATGTATTGCTTTTTTTGAAGCCTCCCTCTTCTGATTGGATGGAGGGATGAATTTTGCTCAACCTCCATCGAATTGGATGGCAACTTGTGCCACCTGGCCAGTGCTTTTTTTGTAGGAAGTGTGGATTGCGCTGCGCTGATGGTCACCGGATCATTTCAAGGTCAAAATCTGGTTGCTAAGGGACCTGTAATTATTGCTGAAGAGTGAGTGAAAGTGCTCACTTTACTGCAGTTTCATTACGAAGAAGAAACTTCACTAGTGGACAGGATTCTGAGAAAGTCGTTATAAAACTTTGGCTGAACTGGAGAACACCAAATGCTTCATTCGATTTACCTGGACCTCCTGTACTGGTGAAGGAAAGTAGTGTGGTATGCTTCCAGTCGTATCTTAATGAATACACATACCGGAAGTAAACTGCCCTACACTTCTCTGCACTGTTGCGGGAGGTGCAGGTAAATTGATTGAACCTGAGGTTAAGTGAAGTGGGCATTGTCAAAAATTGAATTACAAACTGGTTGTGGTCCCGCAGCGACAGCTCTCCTTGTCCACAAAGTTGTTTTTTAATTTGTAAAACGAGGGCGAAGTTGATAAAAGATCTGCTGCCGATCAACTGAGTGCCTTTTCATTTCCTCCTTCTGAAACAGTTTTGCGGATTTGGAAGACAGCAATCTAAACACCTATGCTAGTCCCGTCTCGTTCGAGCCTGCGTTTCTGGACTTCAAGTCTCAGTAAGTGGAAACCGTCAAGCTTGTCTGTTGCGTCTGACGGCAGCATAGGACAAGCACGGGATATAAACGGAGCGAGTTGGGTAATAGATATTTTTTAGAGTGCTGGAACTTTGCGACTTCTGTTCGGTGACCTTCCTTGCCACCTCCGCGGTGCTGGTGTCGAAATTAGATGACCGCCTGCGCTGTCCTCAAATGATCTCGCACCGTATGCCTCCCTGTCGTCTGCACCTCTTGGTGTTTTTTTGAGTCACTGAAATGTTGAGCATGCCAAGGAAGTTGATAAAAGCTTGTACTAAAGGTCGACATGTTTGCAATGGGGGCGAGGTTAGATTTCAAGATGCATCAATAAAATGAGCCTAGTTTGTGTATATAGACAGTAGGATGTTACAGAGCAGCTTTGTGGTGGAAGCAGTCAGAAGTGATGCCCCTGACAATACTGGTAAAGTACTATTCCAGACTACTTAGTTCAGAAATCAGTTAATGTGCCAACGAATCATTCGTGTTGGTCGTGCCGCTTGCGATGTTGGGAGGGGGGGGGTGAACAGGTGGACGTGATATGCTTTCCACCCAAAACAAGACTTGTAAGTGGTGCAAGATGCTCGGAAAACTTGTAAGCGCTAACGGGGACCGACACGAAAAAGGGAGCGCCGACAAATGCTTGTCCGTGTCCCCTTCTTTGTCCGTCTGTTCGAGCCTGCGAGTTTTCCGAGAATTTTCGTCCCTATTGCTTTATTGAGCTTGGTTGTTATGTTTGCATCTTTCTCAGATTATCAAAGGAAGTTTTGTTGTGTTTCTGTTTCCAGGCCACTAAGTATGCCGGTACGACGGCGAGTGGTGGTGAAAAACCTGAGCCCAGAATCCAGCATAGAGATGCTCTCCATCAGCGGCAACACGCTACACTTTCATTGTTCCTTTTTCCAAGAAAAGGTGTGTCTCTTTTCGTTTGTTTCTCCTGGTCGAGGTTTGCCAGTTTTAATGCGAAGGCCTACTCCAGTGTCTCATATTTCGCGGGCTGTTTGACCATAGAGAACTTGTTGTTCATTGGTATCCGTGGTATCTGATGGAAACTATTCTAAATTGCTTGAAAGCATAGGATGTGCACGGTGAATCCTAGCGGTATAAAACGAGATGGAAAAATCGGCACCTGCGCATAGACAGCTGATATTTTTCTGAATCTGCGTTTAGGTGGTGCATTCTATCTGGTGAAATTTCAAGGTGTAGCTCCTTTCCTGGGAAAAATGAGACAAACTCTCCAGGGTCAACAACGGATGCATTTCCAAACGACCGAGTTAGCAGTGGCCGTAACTTGTGGCACTATTCCCCTATGGGTGCAGCGGGTGGGCGACAAAACGCACCGCCTCATTTTTCACCGCTAGGATCCACTGTGGATGTTCTATACATTCGAAGGGTGTTCGGCAATACTTTAGAGATTTCCCGAGTTTACGCTTTAAAGAATTTTATGAGGTGTGGTTGGGGTTGTAGGAACGTGAACAAGCAGATATTACCTGACCCTAGTGACAAATTTGCCCCGAGTGAATACGCAAGTGACCCTTCCCCTTACACTTCCTCAACGCTAACAACAGTCACGTAGCCAGGGGGGGGGGGGGTTCCATGGAACCCGAGCCCCCATGAAATCTTCCATTTTGCTGGGTCCTCCTCTTTCCCCTCCCCCTCACAGCATTCTGTCATGGGCGCCCCCCTCCCGAAACAAAATCCTGGCTACGTGCCTGGCTAACTACATCCTAGAATAAGGTAATGCTAAATCCCAACTTTGAGGACTGATTTTGGGTATGTAGTACTTGAAATAAGGAGTTTGAGTTTTATAGGGTATCTCAGTAAACTGTAGGTATATATTATGTCGTCTGAGTAGTCTCGTGTGAGCATACGGAATGGCACCCTATCACGCCAACCTCATCTCTATAGCCTTTCAATTCTTAGCATTGGGGGAGCATTTTCTTGACCTCTCCCACTTTGTTCTCTTGGCGCGACAGAGGATATCGCCGGGCGGCAACACGTCGTTCGACGTCGTGTTCCTTGGACGGGAGCAGGGCCTAGTGGAGAACATATTATTTATTCACACGTCTCTAGGTTCCTTCAAGTATCAGGTAAGCAGATTTCTTTTTTTTTTTTCCTAACTTCTGTTGGGAGCGTGCGACAGTCAAAGGGGGCGTTCTGTTCTGCCTCGGAAGCCGGTTGGTTGGCGGCGCCGCTGAGGTCGCGTCGCGTCAGGTGGTAAAGCTCTACCCGTCCGCTCCTCTTCTAACGAGCCCACGGCGTCTCAGCCGCGTCTGCACCAGCCTGCAGCCACATCTCTCGATCTTGTTCCGTGGAAAAGGTTTGGCACCTTGAAATTTGAAAACCTATCCCCGCGTCCAGCATCACTCCGTATCTGTTTTTGCGTCATTCAAACCGTGGGAATTGGTTGGAGCACGGGTTCAATCGCACGTCCCGCAGTCGTAAGTGGCGATGACGGCAAACACCGCCGTGTTTTTAATTTTGTCTACGTCTGAATATGCCCCTGTGAAGCATTTGTGCGCTCGACGGTTCAGAAATCGCCACGAGACGACCTCTGTCGGAGCCCGTAAATGATAAAACCTGATAAGGATAGATAACTGGGCAAGTTGGTAAAGTTAATGTTGAAGAAAGCGCGACTGGGATGAGGACAAAAGACGAAGAGAAAACAAGACAAACCATTTGATAGTCAGCGCTTGTCTTGTGTTCTCGTCTTTTTGTCCACGTCCCAGTCGCGCTGTTTTTCAACATGATAAAACCTACGTTGTAAGTATTTTTCGCTCCCCTTATTTATCGGATCGATCTTCGCTCCCCAGCAGATCGGGCGGACATGCCGAGCTCTAGATGATTGTGGCGGTTTCCGCTGGTGCGCGAAGCGGACCCGTGTTTCAATTTTCCGGGTCTCTTGTAGAGAAAGTTGGCGCCGACTGTGGCTTCAAACTCTTCGTATAGTGCTATGCTCGAGTAAGCTGACATTCCTCGAAAACCAAGGTTGGCTGCTATGCAGGATGTCTATGCCGGTTCGGCCGTGTTCCACCCAAAATGCTACCGATGGGAGCTGCACGTTGACGAGCTTGTCGCACATTTCCAATAGTACTTGACGGTGATAGAACGGCAGGGAGGCCAGCGAGTTGTCCCGCCTCTGGTGCAAGCTTCCTGCCTTCGACAGTGCTACAACATGTCACGAGCCTCGAGCGCGCGTGCGCGGCCGAAGTACCACGGAAGGCAACAAGCGCTTGCGGGTGGCCGGGCATTTGAGAGAGACGCCCTGCCATTCTTGTCCCGTGGACGTCCGTGGGGACTAGCCCTGTCGTGTGTGGTGACCCCTCGTGTCTGCACGCCCGCAGGTGTCTGCGTTCGGCAAGGAGAATCCGTACCGGTTGCGGCCGTTTGTTGGGGTGCGGATGCCCCTGAACAGCAGCTACACGCCGCTCATCTACATGCACAACCCGCACAGCTCCACCATTCAGGCATGTCCAAGTTTTCATCTCTTTTGAGGAGCGATTGTTTATGCGGTTGCGGTGGCTCGACTGTTGCTGCGCGACGCCTGGTGGGATGACCCACGTGAATGTGGGGATGTGTCCACGCGACGGTCGCCACTTTTTGTCAAAATGCGTGGATATAAAAATATTCCTTATTGTATAGGGTGACCGCGCGTCCCGTTTCGGCCGGGACAGTCACACGTTAGGGGTGCATTTCTGCCGTCCCGTCGTTTTGTCTCGGCGAAGTCACGCGTCCCGTTTTGTGGGAACGTGCGTGCCTACCGTAATATCCCGAGAGATGCCCCATTCCCCTAAGATAACCTGTCCCCTGTTTTTGGCATGATTTGATATTTTTTCGAGAATGCCAAAAGATAGCCCACCTCTAGTAATTGCTGGGTCCTGGCCAAGGGTGACCTTGGCAGAAATGGTGTTACTTAGTCAAGACGGGAGGGAGATAAGTGAATATTGCCGACTGGGAAGGACGGCCGTCTTCGCCCCTCTCTGCAATCATAAGTTTCGCGGGTCACAAAATCTAAAACTAGCATTTTTTTCAGCTTGTTTTATTCATACACCGATAGTTCGCCCACTCCTTATTCTTCTTTCGATTTTAGGTGGGCAATCTTTACGGATATTACGGTAGTTGCGAAATCAGTACTATGCGAATGTAAGAAATCTAAAAGAATGCGTAGTACATTTGATAAAAATAAACATGCTATAAAAAATCTTACCTCTCAAGGGTAAATTTAGAGCTTTTTCTGTGGTTCCATCTGTCAATACCTTCTGTTTGCACAGATGTTTGTCTGGACACCTTTCTATATTGCTCTGTTAGGCATGCTTTGGGTTTGTTTAAAAATGAAGAAGCAATGAGCTTGTGTACTCAACTAAATCAAGAACTTCGGAAAAGTGTGGACTTGTACGGTGTACTGAATAGTAGCAGAGCTTGCTTTTCTTTCGGCCCTACAACCCTCCTCCCCTCATGTCCAGTTTTCTATGTTGTAGATTATAGTATACCTGCTGGTGACAACTAGCTGCTCAAGGGGGCAATCTCTTATCGCGGTGCCGAGCTCATTTGTGCGGCTGCCGTTTTGGCAAAAATGGCTGCAAACATGGACGGGTGTAGAAGTGGACACGGGACTACTTTTGCCACTTCGTGTGGCTCTAACACGGTGGTCCTCAAGCTTTTCGGTCTCGAGGTCTCGGCAATGACGCTGTAAAGCAGCGCAGGAGCCTACAGGCTTTGTAAGCAATAGTGTGCATTCCAGAGAGTGTGGTTCATAGTTGTCGTAATTACTCGCATAATGAATGCACTCGCATAGTGAGCGCACCCCCCAGTACGGTCATTAATATTTTGACTTTTTTTTCTTTTTTTCCCGCGCGTAATGAACGCACTTTCAACTTTCGGCTTTGCGAGTCTCAAGCTGCGTCTAACCCAGCCAACCAGCAACCCAATTTCTTTTTTTGCCGCCCTACGGTTAATTAAGCTATGCCAAGCGTGGCAGTACTTGCGGGCATAATGGCTGCAAGTGGGAAGTTGCAGAAGTTATCAAGAGTGAAACCGAGCAACACGCACAGCTAACAAGGCTGGGGTCGAGGAATTGCCCAGCTCCCGGAAATGCTTCATCTGTCGGACGCATTGATGTAAACTGTCACGCCGTTGTCTACGGTCCGCTTTCGGACAGGGAAGTCACGAAAGGGGTTAGGTCTAGGAACTAGGTGATGCAAAACTATCGTAAAATTGACAATCTATAGTATTAATAGTTTTTCCAAAAGTATCAATAATGTTGAAAACTATCGATAGTGGACTATTGATAGTACTATCGATAGTTGGCCATCGATAGTAAAATGGATAGTCCACTATCAATAGTCAAGGGCATAGTAGCGCTTTTAGACGAGGACGAAGAAGAGACAAGACACACACGAGCGCTGACTGCAACTGTTTAATCAACGTGGAAATGGGATATATATGCAAGCTACGGTACTATCAGCGGCGGCAAGGCCTGGGTTTGGCTGATTTTGATTGGACCGTAGTGTACATGTATGTCCCATTTTCATGTTGATTAAGCAGTTGCAGTCAGCACTCGTGTGTGTCTTGTCTCTTCCTCGTCCTCGTCTAGGAGCGCTACTATGCCCTTGACATCCCAATACCAACTAGCCCAGCATTCAGCATTGATAAGTGTCATAGTCAACTATCGAGAGTACTTTTGATAGTCCACTATCAATAGCTGGCTCTCTGTTGACTATCGATACTATTGAAAGTCATTTTTCAAAAAAGTGTTGTAAAAATGAAAGCACAGTGCAGAAAGGTGATGAAGGAGGGTATGTGCAAGCGGACAATGCAGTGCTCTGGGCAAAACATGAAATAGAAAGGAAACTAAACAGAAAGTTGCTTTTACATAGAATAAATTTAGAGATGAAATAGAAATGCCGTTTTGCTACTTTTCCTGTGCACATACTTCGTATATTGCTCAGGTTCAGATATCAAGCTTCATACTTTGGTATGCATGCATTTGTAAAAATAAAAAAAAAATTTGTCGTTTTTTTTTTTTTTTTTTTTGTCTTGGAGTTAGGGAAAGCACTTGCTGAAGATATTTAGCGCAAGGGTTTTTCACTAGTTAGTTTTACGCTTTCCATTCTTTTATTATTCAAATATCACATCTTACTTTCCTTAGTCTTGAACACTGGCATATGAAAATGGATGCTCTGCTGGGTATTATACTTTTTATTTCTGCTGATGAGTAGATTCAAAGCTAATTCCAGAAAATTTTAAACTAGCTGTTGACAAAACCATTTAGGCTTGTTTGCCACAATATGTTGTCACTCTTTGCTCGATTTCATTCTGGCTTATTTTGATAACGTTGGCTGGTAATGGTTTCCCGTTTGGTATAAAGTACAACTTAAAAAATATAGGACTTGTCGCATAATGTATAAATAAATCATTTTTAGTCAATAGGGAGTTTTAGAATAAGGAGCCCCAACGTTAGGGTACCCCTAAGAAATAGGGGCTCACCTTTGCGCATCCGCCAAACCAAAACCATGTTTTGGGTTAGCGTTCGCCCCAAACGCAGAGCTCAAAAGGCCCCCAAGGCGAACAAAAATGGCGGTGCCCTGCATCGCTTGCTTGAGAACAAAACCATAATAGTAGTAACTGCACTGTTAGGCACGTCGATCAGCAGTGAAGGGGGCAGCAGGCTTTCGCCTTGTCTTACCTCACTTAAATCACAAAGTATGAGCAATGATCTCACCCCATTTTCTAGATAGACTTCTGATTATGGCAGGTCTTTAGCCTAAATGAATGCAGTAATAGACCTATTGCTCTATTACCCCAGCATAGAGGAGAATGCAGGAATTGGTGTTCCACGCGCCGCACATGCTGGCCTCAGCAATAGTAACTGTTCTAAAGCAAATGCCTAAAATAAATGGCATCTTGCACGCGCGTTCGTCGACACTTTATTTTGGTTGAATCTTTTATACGGGGAAGGCGTGCGCGTGTGGTGCGCGGAATACCAACCCCTGCATTCTCCTTGATGCTTGGGTAATATACCAAATGGTCTATTCTTGACATGACAGCGCCACACGAATCCTAGTGGCTTGTCTTGCCTCAATCTCGCACAAGAAATGTAGGAGCAAAGGAACATAAGGGCATGCATAAGTGATGATTCGCATCTGGCTTGAAAGCTCGAAAGCAAAAGCTTGACTCTAGCCCATGGTATACTGTAGCCACGTGCCAAAAGCAGCTCGCGTGACCGTTTGTCGTGCCTTGTGCAGCAGGTAGGATGTACTGGATCCTACTGACATGGCGGAAGCTACGTCGAACCACTGCGTCGGACATACTGGAGGATGTGTTAAGGATCGCCTTCCAAGTCATCACCACACTTTACAAGAAAGTGGGGGTCATCATTGGTGACATCGTCATCGTCACTGATGACATCACCAGTGATGTCACGCGTCCTATAATGCACCGCGCAATTACGCCGACGGCGACGTTGCTCAAGTTGGAAACAGGTGCCCAAGAGCTGCGCTTTAAAAAAGAAAAAAAGAAGTAACCTGTGAATTTGGAAGGCAACTTTGTTTCCTTTCTTGCTTGCTACCTGTTTGGTCGAAAGAAATGGCACTCTTTTTATCTCGGTAAAGCCATGACTCATGACCCTGCAATGAGATGTGTGGTTCACTTATCGGGTGACACAAAGGTATTTTTATTTTCCTGATCGAATTCTGCCTATAAAAAACCAATTGCAAACTCCCGAAAAGCAATCTAAATAAAAAGGCTCGAGGTACACCTAAGCACTTCTTATGAGTTGTGAATGCGAAAGCATGTACGCCACTCTTCCACTCCCTTTCTTTTTGCTTACTTGTGCGACGGTCGAGCATGCACGCTGACCTTGGGCATGGAGCAGTGGAACCGCTGCCTCGCGCGGTGGTGGTCATTGAAACGGACGCGCAGCGGCCAATGGAAGCCTCGTTGACGCGTGCCAGCCAATGGGACCAAAGCCAAAATCTATCAGCTTCACTCCGCTCCTTTGGGATCGGGGAAACTAGGTTCCATTGGGCTAGGCTTTTCGCGTGATTTTATAGCTGGGAGCTGGCTTCACTTGGAGAAAGGAGTTAAGGTGCCGTTTGGCATGGTTTCAAAGCTGATGACGTCGGCTCGCTCCATAAGACGGTTAATGCTTTCGCATTAGAAAACAGCAGAAAAACTGTGACAACCTATAGAGAACAATATCAATATTTCACTTTTGACACCTTTTATTTACAGCTTATCGATAGTACTATACAGTCGATTGTTTTTCAATTTTTGGTTGTTCATAGTTCAAAAAAAAATTCCTACCATTTTCTGATAGTTTTCCTATAGAGGTTTTGGATTGCTCCTCGATAATTATCGGAAAGTCCCTAATTGCGGTTACGTTTTTCTCCGAGCTTCACATTTTCAAGGTGGACTCTTGAGGTTCTGTGTCATCAAATAAAATACTATCGATAGCTTTACGACAGTATGCTATCGATAGTACTATCAGTAGTTTACGATAGTCGACCATCGTTAGTACTATGGATAGTTTTTTTTCTCTATCGATACTTATACTTGGCTTCCACTATTGATAATATCGATAGTGCTATAGACAGTTTTGTACCACTACTAGGAACGGTTGCGTACCTCTTTGTGTCGAGCAAGCTTTGTATGGCGCTTTTTCTTTGGCAAAAAGATGGCCGAAGGTGCCCAAATATAAGTTAGCAATTTATAGCATGGTTACTGTGGCGTGCCTGTGACCAGCTGTGGCCAGGCCTCCACCAGTGGACACGTGCCACGGCAGGGATTGGCACCAAAAAATGACACTTGCATGAAGTGTATAAACGCGCAAAATTTTACCCTGCACTACGAACACACCCTCCAAATATGCATACATTTTTCGGGAAAACCAACGCATTCATTATGCGAGTAAATACAGTATGCATCAATTAGTGGCTCAGATCTGCCGAAGTGGCACTTAAACTTGGAGAACACTTCACTTAAGGGTGGGGACAGCCGAGAAAGTTTGGGAGCTCGGAGAGCCCATAAGGACACTCTGGGGAAGTTGCTGGTTTCCTAGAAACCTGGCTTAACCTCTAGCAGAGAACCAGCTTTTGACACCGTGCCTTCTTTTTGTGCGCAGCTCACGGAGATCTACTCGAGCGGGGGCGACCTGCACCTGGAGGCCCCGGCAGGCGAGAGCGAGATCACCAAAGAGCTTTGGGTGAGTGGCGTCGGTTGCCGCGGCCGTTCGGAGTCGCCGCTGATGGTGGGGTGCACCCGCAGGAGATCCCCCCGTACAAGACGAAGCCCGTGATGAAGGCCAACTTCGTGTCGCGGATCGAGAAGAATCACACTGTCTACATTCGCATCAAGCTCAACAGCACCAGCCGCGTCGATCTCATACTGCCAGTCGAGGTGGAGGTGGTCTCATGTGAGTCGTTCCTCTCGCTCTCAGAGTGTTTGAGTAGGGTGAGTGTGTTAGTCTGAGAGAGTCCGTGTGAATGGCTGAGCAAACAAGCGGTTTTGTGAGTGGACTGGAGAAGGTGTGCGAATCGGTGAGTTTGAGCAAACGGTTATGTACGTGAGTTAGAGTGCATGTCTTTGATTCTGTGTGTGTGTGAGTTTGAATGACTAAATGCGTGAGTAAGTGAGCTAAAGGTTGTGAGTGAGAGCAAATGTGTGAGTGAATGAGTTAGAGTTAGTGTGTATAACTACCGAGCAAGAGAGTATCCATGTATGCAAGTTGGAGCAAGTTTTTGAGTGAGTCTGTTTGAGCAAGTGTGCGTGTATGTCCTCTGATGTTTTTGGGATAGTTAATTTCGTGTTGCTGAGTCGTGCCCAAAATTTGCCCTGCGCTTAGTTGAGAAAGACAAAGAATCTAGTGCACATGATTTGAGTTGGTAAACACAGAACTTCGGGGAAAACAAGCTGGACGTAGCGCCCCCCATGGTTCGATCTCCTCTCTCACAGCCGACCTCGGACGCCGCGTTCGCGTACGCATCGATTGATGTTCAGTGACCATATCGGACGGACTCTGTTGTGCTGAAGGAGATGGTGGTGTGTCAGGATCAGGTGCATACTTGGGCTCTTTCGCCGGGCGTTTCAATGGGCGGAACGGGAACGAAAAGAGCTCGAAATAAAGATTTGACGCAGAGGGCCGATTTTCTCCAGCGCCAAATATTTCGACGAGCCTCACACGAAGAGCATGCTTTCTTGGCCACCTGACGGCCAATATTTTTTCCCCGGAACATGAAGCTAAAGTATCAAACTGCCAGATTTTGATGTAAATCCAATCTGCTACGTTCTCGCAGTACCTGGAATTTTCTCGCCCACGGAGGCCCTCGACTTTGGAGTGGTGCACCGACAGGACGAGCCGAGGAGCTTGCCCGTGAACTTGCTCAACTCTGGGCAAAAGCAGGTCTACATCACGGTGAGTTTGGCTACCAAGCGTGCTACCTGTGTTGACCGCCCCTGTAGACCGTTCCATTAGGGTCATAGCAGAGAGAGCAAAAAGAGAAAAAAATGCCCTCCCCCTCTCGCCCGCATGTCGTCTGCTCCGCCGAGTGGGCAGTACCTAGCATCCGGCTGGCGTACAAACTCTGTTAAAAATCGCGTCATTTTGGGAATTTCAAGCGCAGATGCGCAGATTTTGGTATGCCAGTTATCGTGTATTACTATGCTAGATAAAAAAGACTAACAGAGTCCACAAGTGCTGTTATCTGCGTGCAAATTAACAAAAAAAAAAAAAAAAAATAGGGAACACTGCGTGAGGCTGGCCGGTGTCTCCGGCGAAAAGTGAATCCAGTGACTGTACTTTTTTTACTATACAAAGTTCGTACTGGTGTAGGCCTTTAGCGACCATGAGTGGATGTCTGAAATAATAAATAAAAACATGCTCTCCTGCCGCAATACACGCAGTAGTTGACGGTAGTACTGCCGGCTGACTCAACTGCTATTTAAGTAATGGAAAAAAGATACGTCAGTTGATCATTTACTGAAATAAAACAGAGTGCTAAAAGGCTGATTTTGGAGTAGCCATAACTATTCTGAGAACGCGAGCCATTTCACAACGGCAGCCACGAGCAAGAGTTCAATGTTCTGTACGGAGATGGAGAATGGCAACCTCCCGTTTTGTCGTCTGCTAGCGGAATCGGGCACGTGCCCCCTCTCTCGTTTTACCCCGCCGAACCTGCTGAATTTCCCGGATGTATGGAGAGGGCACTGCTGTCGAACAAAATGGTGCCGCCCAGAGAGTGCTAAATGGAATGGTCTATACTTCGTTTCAGCTTAAAGGGAAGCTAAAGTGGTTCTTGAAAAAAAAAAAAAAAAAAAAACGAGTTAGAGGTGAATTTTAGAGTATTTGTGTCCCGTGAATCTGAATATAACGTCCGTTTTGGGCGTGATATTCAGATAGAAGTTGGTGCACCGCAATCGGAATTGCCGTGCACCAACTTGCCAGAGACCGTAGATTGCTGGTATAGTAGACTCGTTAATTCAAACTCCAGGGAGCCAGAAATTTTTTTTTAATTATCAAAAGTTTTAATTAATAAAAATTCATAAATATATGATGCAAGATAACATTATGATTTGCCATATAAAGGGCTACAAATACAATGCAGATATATGAGGATTTCCTCTACATAGGTCTACTGATCATAAGCAGGTATGCCATACCAGGAACATTTGTGAAACGTATGACAAAAGTCTATTTATCCCTCAAAAATGTTGTTTATCGTGGACTGTTAAGGCGGCACATGACAATTCAAAACAAAATTAAGTTTTTTCATCAGGCAAAAAAGTTGTTTAATGTGAGCTTATTAAGCAGGAGACGCATGAGCAAGGAAAACGGGCACCGTGGGGCAGTTTTCATAGCAACTTGCGCAAACGCTGTGACGTGGACCTATGCCATGCCGCCACGTCACGGCATCCGTCCAAGTTGATATGAAGATTTCTTCTTGGTTCCCGTTTTCATAGCTCATGCTTGCCCCGCTTGAGCCCCGTCGAGTGCGCTTTTCACCGAGCACCGGTGCACCGCAGAGAAGCAACACCCGTGGAAGCAAGCTCTGCGGGTGTTGCCTCTCTGCAGTGCATCGGTGCTTGAAAAGAGGCGCTTACTCAATGGGGCCGCATGAACAAAAAGTAGGAATTCCACGAAAACGCAGTTCGAATTACGTGGCCTATGAACACACTAAAAACAGAGCGGGACAACCCAAATTTTGAAATTTGTTTGAATTAACCAGAAGTATGAAATATTAGAATATGAAGGATCGCGAGCCTATGGTAGACGGCTCCGCAAAGTAACCGCGGCATAGCGGTGCCATCGGGAAGTCAAAGACATGGGCTGTGGATTTGACTCGGGCTCATCTCGAACCTGTTTTAAATTTGGTATGATTGCTTTCGGGGCACCTGGCTTTTTTCTGGTTTTCTGCGCGACTGCTAGGCCGTTGGTTAACTCCGAGTGCCGTGTCGCCTTCATTTTCTTGGCAGAATGTCATTGTGACGCCCGTGAACGAGGCAGTGGAAGTAAAGTTTACGCCGATGAAGGTGCCTCCGGACACGGTCAGGGCGACGCAAGTCGCCACGGTCACGTACATCCGTAAGTGTTTGTTTATTTATTTAGGTTTCTCTAGAAGCATGTGTTTCTGTTTTTTAGGGGCGAAGTTTCTTAGGGTCTAGCCTTATCCGTCTGGCATCCGTGCTCACATCGATCTTGCTGGTGATCGTGATCGTGCTCGTGAGCTCACGAGCTCATGAGCACGTGAGCACGTGCTCACATGCTAATGTAAAAAATAAAAAAAAAATAGCGCAGTGGACAGGATTTGAACCTGTGTGAGGAGACCCCAATGGATTTCTAGTCCATTGCCTTAACCACTCGGCCACGACTGCGGGACGAGTAGGAGGCTCTGAAATGTGGTAGTAACTCAAGAGCTGGGAATGTCATGGACGAGAAGTTGCATGTAGCCGCTCAACGTCTATACAGGAGAGGGCACTGCGGTCAAATGCGTATATCATTGCGTTAAACTTTGCATACATTGGCTCATTGTTTATAGACGAGAGGGCACTGCGGTCCAATGCTCAAATACATATATAACCACGTTCCATACCACAAATTCTCTTTCTGACATGGATGAAAACGAGTGAAAAGCTCAGCATGCTGCGGCTCAGCGTCTACGCAGACAAGCACCACCAGAGCTTTTTAGTTTAGGCTCTATTTTAGCAGGCCTGAGCCACCCATTGCTGCATAACTATGAGCCAAACGCTCCTCAACGTTCACATTATTGTTTACCTACGCACTTCTGTACTGCTTCATTTCCTTGGTACCGAAAGCAGGGATTGGTTTCGTCACCCGCCATTCGGGGCAGACATGGGTTCCTCAAAATCAGAAAGCTTGAGAACCCCTACCCTTGCCCCTTTGAGTTCAGGCTTTCTATAGGTAGCGTGTGTTACTAGTCTTTTAAAGGGATACTACAACGAAATTTCGGCGCTCATATTTTGGTCTATATGTGTTCAAAAGAGCAGTATCGCATGGAACATACCAATATCTTGTTAAAAAAGTCTCGAAAAGGAATTTTAAAACGAATTAAACGATTAGCAAAGAGCACCTAATGGATGTAGCTAACGCCTTGTTTGTACTGCTCATCTAGGAACCTTGACAGCTAGTGACGGAGATTGTCTCGTCTCCGGCCACGACAAGAGAAGGGGGGAAGGAGGAACTCCCCTCTTCCCGAGAATCCCTTTTGTGTGTCGCAGAAGTCGCTATTGTCCCCCTAGAAGATTATAGAAGATTAACCCGTCACTCAAAATTCGTACAAAAGCAGCCGCTTCGGTGGCTGGAACGACTAGGCCATCCTCTCGACGTCAGCCTCGCCGTAGCTTTGCTCATCTTGAGACGACCTACGTCACGATTGCGTTGGATGTCACGTGCTCTAAGCTGGGCCTTCTCCGGGCGCTTGCCAGAGTGGGCCGTTTATAACGAAAAATACAGCCACCAGGATCAAAATACAAACGTGCAATTGTCATTTACGGATATTGTGGATCATATTCAACCTATTTTTGAACACGACGGGAATATTTTAAATTTCGTTGAAGTATCCCTTTAAAAGGGAGGCTCCTGGGAGCCACTACTAGTTTCTTTTATTGTTCCTTTTATAGTTCCTTTTTCCAACCTCGATCATTTTCGTTAGTAGTGTGGATTACAGTCGAACCCTGATATATCGAAGCAAAAAGGGATCGTGAAATAGCTCGATGTATTGGTCGTTCGATGTTCAGAAGTATGTTAACTTGAACTTCAGTTGAAATTTTTGCTTACGTGCGCACTTCTTCACACTGACGCGTGGTGTGCGTGGCCGCGACCTCAACACCACGGGTGACGGAAGACGAGAATACGTAGGAAGAAAAAACTCTCTTCATTCATAAGAGAAATCAAGCAAGCAACAAAAAAAGGGACTAAAGTAAAATGAGACAGCAAAAATAAAATGACAGAACAAAAACGACAAAGCAAGACCACGAAAAGAAAAAGGTAAACAAAGATAAACAAGGCGTTCAAAGCGTGATTGCACAATGGCCGGAGTAGAGGTGGCGTGTTGTTTTTCTCCCCTACTTCTTTGCTCCTTTTGCTGCCCGTGACCACGGTAGTTTAACCTCGGCACCTGCAAACTGCGCAGCGACGGCAATGTTCGGGAAAAGCCTCCCTACCAGGGGGTGCGGCGAGCAGTTCGATGTATTGAATATCCTAGGTGGTAAAGTTCAATACAGATGCACAAGGCACCTACACTCTTACGTGGGATTTTCAAGGGGATGTTTCGACTGTTTGAAATGGTCATTATTTTTAAAAATCCGGGTTCAACATAATCGAGCTCGACTGTAGTTTAACGAGCGATTTTTCAATTCTTTTATCATGTTTTTCTTGGAGTAAATCAAACAAGGTTTACTTATTATTTATTACTTAAAGCCCAACCTACAAAAAGGTTTTCCGCAAGGTAGGAAAATCCTTCTTGCTACCCTTCCCATTCCCCCTCTCCCACTGCTATCTTGACAGCAGTGGGGGAGGGGGGAATGGGGAACGGTGGCGAGGAGGATTTTCCTGCCTTACGGAAAACCATTTTGTAGGTCGGGCTTTAAAGGTTTTGCTCACCTAAATCAATTCCCCAATAATTCTGGTGCAAAATTAATTTTGCAATTCATTTGGCAATATTTCGTTTGGAAATTATGGAATGATGCAACCTGTTCAAGGTCCAGTAATCTTTTCAGATCCATACTGGACTAGACACTTCGTCCAATCGACTTCAGTTTGGTTTGGTTGGCTTGGGTCGCTGCCAGGCCAGTGATTAAAATGCGTCAGTAGATTTTGTGGGCTAAATGGAACAAGAAGGTCAATTGGTTGTTTGAACTTGATTTATTTGTTGGCTGGCTCACCCAATTGATTAGCTTGCAGACATAGCTGATTGTTGACTTCTGCTCCACTTTCTAAAAGTGTATAATCTTGTTGCAGCGTCGAAGGTAAAACACATGAAGCAGTGTTCGGGCAAGATTGTGGTCAAGTCCAAAAACAACCAGTACAAAGTGACCATACCGTTCCACGTGTCCTTCATGAATGGGTAAGAAGAACCTTCTTTAACCTCATCAACACCTGTCTAAAAAAACATGTGCAGTCTAAGCTCGTTATAACAGACCTTGATTTTGACCAAGATTTCGCTCTGTTGTAAGAGAAGTATGTTGTATGCAGATATGAAGTTGAGTCAATGGTATGTAGAGGAAAACCCACCGAACTTCACAAATCGGTATGCTATATCGAAATGTCTGTTGTAACCAGGTCTGTTGTAATGTGCTTAAGCTATATATATATATTTATAAATATTTTTTTTTTTTGCAATATTTTAGCGCTGCTACTTGCAGCGCTGAAGTTTAACGACGATAGCAGAAACACTGTTTTAATTAGAAACAAACAAAATGAGCTTATTTCTAAGTGTTGTTATTGGAGATCAATAAAGAATGATCGGTGCTTTCATACAGTGATCAGTTACGGATGTAAAGAAACGTTGGTGTAATACGAGAAATTGTCTTTTGAAAGCCGCTCGTCATCGCGAATTTGGGCGGTTGTGCCGAGAGGGGGGGCTGGCCACTCGAAAGTGCCCCTCCAGTACAGTGGCGCTCCTAGCGGCAGTTTTTGACCCTCTACCAAACCTTGACCGAAGTTTCGTGGCCAATAACGCATAGAAAAACTCTTGTATTACACGCAGGAAGTGCACTCTTATTTAGCTACGTCGATTCAGCATCACTTATCCGGGCTGTTTACAAAATTAATGCATTTTCCCAGTTCCTCCCCAGAAATTGTGTCTATATAGTGGGGTGTTCGTGTTAACAGGCTCCCTATTAACAAGACACAACTGTTCGGATTGTAAAGCGGCCATCCAATAAAGGCCACTTTGACGACAACAAAGCAGAAGGAGGGAAGTGGGAAAAAAATTTATGGCAAATTGCGAAGCAATTATGTTGCATACGTCAACTTTCCAGCATCGCAAACGTTTAGCGATACTTCGAGTTTCCATACGCCAGACGCCTACGGCGCTCTTAACCAGATAGTTTAGCGCGTACCATGTGTACACTCAAAAGTTTGTAGAATGAAGCGATACTACCACTAATCGGGCCAATAAACGTAGCAATACTCCAGAGCCCTCCATACTCTCGACCTCCTCTCCCTCGGTGCGCACGGGTGGTCAAGCTCCCCCTCCCCTCTGGTCACACAACCTCCCCGTTAACCAATCGGCATCGAGCGCCTCGCTTCTCCTCTCTCACCCATCGATCAATCGGTGTCGAGCCTTGCGGCCATGCTTTTATCCAGGCTTCACTTTTATGCGGGCTTCACAATATGCCAAACACCTGGGCTAAGAACGTTTTGCGTTAAAGCTGGTGCCAGCAAGTGTTTTCGGCGCGTCAACGATCCGTCTTGTTCAATCCAGATCGCTGGAATACAGCCTGGAAGGCACCCGGTTCTACATCGGGCGCGCCAAGAGCCTCAGTGTGGCCGACATCCGGCCGCTGAACCTGTCCAACACGTTTCCGGTGCCGGTCGTGATCCACAGTATCGAGCTTCAGCCAGAGAGTCAGCCCCACTTCACCGTGAGTCGTTGCTTCCGGAAGTAGACGCTGCATATTTCTTTTTGAACCCGGCATTTCGGCGCAACAAAGCTTTTAAGAAAAATTTAACATCACACTTTTTTTTTAAGACTAAATGAGTTTGCTTGCAGGTAGAAAGAGACCACATAGTCATTTTGGGGCTGCATCCGAGTTTGTGGAGAAGCTGATCTCTGGGAATGTGGTGAAGGACAACAAAATTTGTTTATGAATTCGTGCTGTGTACAGAGAGATTTACCTTACAAATGCGAGAAGAAAAGTTAAGGCTCATTCATGAATTTGCGTTTAAGAGGGATTACTGCAATGAGTCTTAACCACTTAACCCATTGCTTTGGGGAGTTCATTCACCTGAAAATCTTCAAATTTATTTTTGTGCATAACATAAAAACTGTTTGTATTTAATTTAAAGGAATAGAATGTTGCACCTTCTTGCGCTAAAATACAGAGAAGCGGAGACACTGTTCATTTTTACACGTCTGATTTTATATGGTCGGTCGTAAAGACAAGTGCTTTGTAGGTGAATTAAAAAAAAAAAAAAATAATGCCAGGCTTGGTTTGTAAATATTCCCGAAATTGCTGTCACAGATCATGTACTTGTTTACAAGTCATAGTTGTTGCTTTGCTGAGGCAACGTTGCGATTTCTGCATCTCAAAGCTTTGCGCCACTTCGGAGCATCTATGATCAAGAATGTGAAAAATAAAACACGTTTTCGGACAGAGCATCTAAATTGTCTCACCAGCCAGTGAACCCAAATAATTAGAAACATGTTTGGTATTGTGATTGATAAATGGCAGCACCTATAACCTCCATAAAAAAAATGGCACGCATTCCACGGGAGTTTTTTTTGTAAGGAAGTGTTGCACGTCTTTAAGACATACTCCCCATTTCGAGGTCAAAATAAATGTGCGTCTAAAGATGCGCTTCCCAGTTAAGGTGTTAAGATGAGATGCCGGCGCCATCTATCGGGTGGCCCTCAAACTCTTCCAATCTGCGCATAACCAGCAGAAGGTTGTAGTGTATTAGTGAGATGAAATCTCTGCATCACGTAGGAGAAATAGTCGCTTGTAACATTCTCAGAATTATTTTCAAGGACATTTGTAGTGCTGGTCCAGCAGTGGTTATACATACAGGGTGTGGCCGTAAGGACCAAGACATTTGGCACGCCTTGCCAAATACAAATTCCAAACATACGTACCTGACATCGGGCGCGTGAACATAGTTTCGCCAGAAGTTTTATGTCTATTTTTTCAAGAGCTCAATTCTGAGGTAGCACAATATTAAAAATAATGCAAAGTCGGAGGCCGTGTATATCCCATGTCTTATACCAGCCTGTTTATCGTCGGCACACTGGTTTATGAGCTTGCTTCCGGGTGGGTTCCTGAATGCAAAAACTGTAAAAACCAATAGCACAGGCTGGCGATGAGCAAGGTAATTGCGATAATTAGTACTTTAGCGAAAAGACAGTTCCCACCTGGGAGCAAGCTTTTAAACCACCCCTGACTTGAGCTCTAAAAAAATATACAAAAAACATCTTGCCGAACTACTGTAAAAAATCGTGGGAGTGCCTGCCTCCTTTTACTGAAAACTGGGTTAATCTAGGGCATGGGCACTTGTTCGATCAAATTGGGCGCATAACATATAATTTGCAGAATTCCCAAGTTTGGGAAACGTTAATAGTGAACGCTTCCGCTGTATTTTACGGTATGCTTTTGTGCCCAATTTCAGGTATGTACGTTTGGAATTGAAATGTTGTAAGGCACGCCAAATCCGTTGGACTTTACAGCCGCACCCTGTACTTGTCACCATGTTTGTTTGATGAGGAAAAGAAGAAATGAAGCTAAGCTTTCCGGGCAGTTGCCTGACATTTTGCACATGGCACCTGGCCGCGGGGTGGTCGCAGCTCTGGGGTGACTGTGTGCGACTGCGTAGGTGATCTTCAATGCCTCAACGGTGCTCCAACCCAGCGAAACGAAGCCCGTGGTGTACCTCCAGTTCCACCCCGAGGACTCGGCGCTCCAGCTCAACGCCACGCTGCGTCTGCACACAAACGTCTCGCACTTTGACATTCCAATCTCCTGCTACAGCGGGAGACTCACCCTGGTGAGCAAACATTCTCCATTCTCGCAAGGAGGAAACAAAAATGTGGAAGGGCGAGGGTGCAGGCCGACCGGACCGCCGAAAAGAATACGAGAAATGCATGACTCGCTGGTTTTGCGGAGCCAGTGGGTTTCGGCTCATTTTATGATGGGTAGCCCGTAAAGGACTGTTTGTTCTAGATCCTCACATTTCTGCATCATTTCGGATTTATGCTGTAGGGTATGATGGGTAATCGAATAAAATGGATGTTTAGACGGCGGAAGTTTAGCCTGCCCCTTGGGGCGTCTGTCGTTTCCGCTGTAGGCGTGCAGTTGGACTATTGCAGTACGACCGCTGGCCTAGGGTCTTTAAAGCGAATACTCTTTCGTCTCGGATGGTCACGAGTGGTGTCGACGCAGCCAACCACACTCGAGCGTAAATGCACGAGTCATCCTTAATGGTTGTCGTGCAGTAGTGATAGAGAAACGCACGCCGGTACGATAATCATGTTCTTTAATGCTAGACCAGAATGGCGAGCGAGCTTCAGTAGCCGTGGAATTTGAGCAATTGGCTCGGTTTGAGAGGGACTTTGAAACTTTGGCTGCTTTCTGTCGCAGCGTCGGGTGCACTCCCTGAACAACGACACCGTCCTGGACTTCGGCACCCTGGGTATCGGCAACCAGCGCACCATGATCTTTGCAGTCATCAACGAAAACCCCATCGAGGTGGGTAGTAAAACACACGATAGTCGTTGTACACCGTGGGGGGCTCTGTATCGTAGGGTGTCGCAGGTTCCTTATCTGGCAGCAACAGCACGTGCAGATGCAATATGGTGCGAGTGGATTTTCTAGACTATATGCGTGTAAAACTGAATTGCGGGCACAAAAACAAAACTTTTAAAATCATGCCTTTTAATATTTGAGTCTCAACTGGCCAGAGAGCTTTTAACGAGCAAGAACTGACAAAATGCAAATGTGGTCAGGATCAGAAAGGCGAGCAAAAACAGAGATGTTACGTACCGCTTGACCTACATATCCACAGTGTTGGTTTGGACCAGTGGTTCTCAACTATTAATGTTTTGCAGATCCTTTGTGGTTTGGCACAGATGATAGAGGACTCCTAGAATGTCTTGGCAGACTCCAAAAAGTCTGCGGAGCCTTATTTGAGAACCACTGGTTTGGACCATTTATACGCATGATTTTTTTCCGGCATCTACTCATGAAGTGGATTGCCCGACACCGGAACAATTCATAGCACACTACTACGACGTGAAAAAAAAAAAAAGATGCAGTTTTTTAATGCTTTCATTTGGGTCCTTCTTATCCTGTCAGGTGACAATAAGACGGTGGGGCTCCAACATGACCAAGTGCCAAGTGGAACCGGTGGTTCAGGCGGATGAGTTTGATGGCCTGGTGGGCTTGGGGAATTCCTCCAGGCTAGGCGAAGAGGTGCGTGGAACTTCCCACCTTTTGCATCGATCCGAAAATATATTGGCTAATTGCAAGAGCATTTTTCTTGTCATTTAATCCTTATAATCGTCAATAAATTGTTGGTGGCACAGCCCATTACAACAGACCTTGTTACAACAGGCATTTGGATATAACATACCAAGTTGTGAAGTTCGGTTGGTTTTCCTCTATGTGCCATTGACTCAACTTCATATCTGCATACAACATACTCCTTTTGCAACAGATTGAAATCTTGGTCAAAATCAATGTCTGTTATAACGAGCTTAGACTGTACTTTACTGAATAAATTTGTGTAGTTACAGTGCTACGAAAGATTGGACTTGTTGCTACATGTCCTTGTATTGGTGCTTCCATTATTTTATTTATGCAGTTGACTCTGAGCCCTTCTGGCACTGTGTTGGTTTGGTATGTCACATTAATTTTAACTACAGTTCGACACAGTAACCTAGTAATGTTGTTATTTTTTTTAATTAGAGTAATCCCTCGTTATAACAGTGCCAACAGCCTTGAAGGTGGACGGAAACACTGCGGAACAGTCTGACCGTATATTTAATCAATCAAACCTTGGTAATGAACATCTCGCAGCAGCTTTACCGAGTAGAAAAAAAATTAAGTGGAGTTTGGCAATAATTTCATTTGGACATCAGTTCTCCTCGAATTGTTCCAGGTATCGCAAGAACACTGTTACCGCCGCTGCACTGCACTTTGTTTCGAAGCAGCCTTAGGATGTTTTCCCTCTCTGCAGTCGTCGGCATTTCTCAAAGTGCCTTTCCGAAATCACTTTGTGTTTACCTTGGCCACACACAGGGTCTACGATCGCAGCATCCGTGGCAGGAGCAATGACGGGAACGACCGCTTCGACGAGCGCAAACGAATCGAAGTTATCCTCGGTGGCTTTGCCAACATGTTTTCACACACTCCTGTAGAGATTGTTACGGCTATGGAAACCATGCGCCGCTCAACAAGCATGCTTGCAAAAGAAAATCTGACGTGCGCGAAGCGATTGGCGATTTCTCATCTTTGCGTCGCAGGCGTTCTTTCTACTGCACGAAAAACTTCTTGAACCCGTCCAATGTGCCTTGCTTGTTCTGCAAAATGGTGGACAGTGTCGAACAGCCGATTCCGGAATGTCGAATTCTTTGGCGATTTCAGACTTGGGCCGGCAACTTTTCTCAACCTCGCAGATCTAAGCAGCTTTTGGTAAACACTCCCAATTTCCCTACAACACATGTGTGTATGTAGTACGCTGCAGGTGCGCCCGCACACGCACACATCGGGGGTTCCCGAATGGTGATCTCTTCCGCGCTCCATCGCCCCTTTGACCCAATTCCAACAGGAGTCGCGCAGCGTCGGCCGCGGATGCTGCGAGTAGCGTCGGAACGTTCATGCTGCTCCCGCTGCTCTCCGCCTGCGTCCCCGCATCGGCGCAACAGCATCGGAAACGGCGCTCTGCCAGCTGTGTGCACTCTGCCGTCCGTCACCCGTTTACTTCGTTTTCCCTGTTTGCCGTTTGCCATAGTGGAGAAGGGGAGGGAACGCAAGGGTCTCTGTACGCCTGTGTGTAGGCTTGCATGCTTTCGGCACTGCGGCCTTTGTAATAAGCGTGGTCGGCCGCCGATACACTTCGAATGATCCGGTTAAAAATGTGTGCATTCCGGTCGGGACCACGTTGAACTTTGATAGAAGCGATAATTCGAAAAAGCGATTTCGGTATAACGAGGGATTACTGTAGTTTTTTTTGCATTACTGTAGGTTAGTTAGTGCTGCTTTAGGGAGGTCAAGTTTGTACAAGGCAAGAGGTCGCATAGATTCCACATTACTGCTGTCTGTCGCTTTCTTAGAGTCCCATGTACTCACTTCCTTTGTTGATATGATGATGAAAGCATAATGAACATCCTTCTCTTTCTTTGTCTCTCTGTTAAGACTTTGAGACTGAAGAGAAAATGACAAGAAACAACACCAGATGACTAGGCATGGGCGAATAGAGGATCTTGGTTCTGAATCGAATTCAAAGTGAATAGTGATTTTGGCCGAATAATTTCGAATAGAATAGTTAGAATAGTACGAGCAACAAATACCACAAGATGTGTTTAAACTATAGTTTTATATTTGCCCTTATTTGGTATTAGATGTACTGTAATTGTTAATTTCAAATGTATTGAGTTCGGGAGCACGAAATGGTCAAAATGGTCGGAAGCTTGTGCGACTTGGCCGGAAATCCAAGCCAGAGTAAGTCAAACCCGTTTATACCGAACTCGCAAAAAAACTTCTACCAGTTCGATCTAGTGGGTGATTCAATATAAAAGTTTTCATGAATTTGATTCTCAAAAATCCTTTTTCTGTTGAAATATCACACAATAAAGTAGTCTTGCTTGTTCTGCTGCTTTTTCTTCATTGCATCTGCGATAATGATATTTTTCTACGCTATCGATGCTGAGGCCGCTGCCTTCTGTATTTGCGCATTAGTGCTGAACTATGCCGAGAGCACGGAGCACGGCTGCTATTTTTGTTCGATGCAACCATAGTTTTTGCTATATATTATCACTGTAACATCACTGTGCACAAAAAATGTTCGATATAAGGAATCGTTCAATGTAAACGGGTTCAATATAGTCGGGTTTGACTGTATTTAGAAGGGTCGAATAATCCTATATTGTCGAATAGTTAAATTCACTTTGAAGCGAATGCCGAATAGAACAGAATTCGTTTGGCTATTCGTAATAACCGAATATTCGCCCATTCCTACAGATGACCCAATCAATGTAAAGGACAAGATCTTCTACCGTTTCTCAGTTTTGTCTCTCTCTTTGGCCTCAAGATTTCCTCGCTTTCTTTGTCGGCACCCAAGCTTCTCCACTCTTGCCCCTTTACCGCATAGCTTATTTTCCAGTGTGGAGTCGCACACTTCTTACCCAATTTCCGTCGATGCATTTTGTATAGTGGTGCGACAATCTGTCTTTTTAATTATGAGTGTGGATTTTCACTGTGCAAGACGAGGCCACGACGGTTATGTTTCCCATTTGATTTGTTGACGAGAAGATCGAAGCTTGCTCTCACCTGCACATACATCGCATTCGAAACACACACATGCGGGCTTATATTGGTGCAGTTTTGCCGCGCCAACCGTACAAAGAAGCTCGACTTGTATAGCAACGTTTATGTGAAAACAGCCATCTGTAGGAGTGTGCAACTTATGGAACGGAAAATATGGAACTGCTACTCCCTCTGCACTTGCAGGAAGAAACTGCGCTATTGAAGTCAAGCCCAAGGGTGTTTATGAAATGCCGCACCATCCCATTTTCGTTTTCCCCAGATTACGCTTGTGCCAAAGCAGTATGTGCTGTTCCGCATCAGCGTGACGGCGCCGGAAACGGAGGGCATCTTTGCGGGGGAGGTGTTTGTCGAGACTATGCACGAGGCAAGTCGGACGACACACGAGCAGACCCTGCCGCCATTGCTGTTGCCGGCGTCGATAAGAACTATCGCTAATCTTGTTCTCGCTTTTTTTAGGTGCTGAAAGTTTACTTCACGCTCCGAACTGCCAAGGGAAGCCTCATGTCAGACCCCGTGGTGTTCGAGAACGCGTTTCCGGTGAGTTTCCCCGTTTTCGCCACAAAATCCAGTTTGCGACGAGTTTAGGGTTTGACAATCTGTTTCTATACAAAGCCCTGCCCAAGGCACCACCCAAACTTAGAGCACCACTAATCCTATAAAGCTACTGCATTGAAATGCATTTGGCAGAATGACTGAACATGCAGTCAATTTTCGAATTCACTCAATATTTTTATGAGTCGGTTTCTAACAAGTAGAATGAACAAATCCACACATATTTTTGCCTAGAAAAAAAAAGAAAGAATTTTGGAACAAATAATAGTAGATAACTAAGAAGTGGACAGTCATTTATGCAGACTGCCGGTGTGGTCATGTTTGGTAGTAAATAATTTAATAACATTAAGAGGAGACCATTCATTTTTAGAAACAATGTATGGATGCAGGAAAGCTGTCGTAAGTAATATTAGTTAACAATTATATGACAAATATTTTATAAAAGCTCGAACATGGCACCTCGAGCTGTCTGCAAACTCGACCAGCCACCCCGCGTTTAATCTCGCCCGAAGTCGCCCGGCTTTTCCGTCGGTCAGTCTGTCCGACAGTCGGGGATTGCACGTCGCACCTCACGGGGCCGCTCCTCTCGGCAGGGCAAGGTGTCGTCGCAGAACCTGTACATCCACAGCACCTTTTCGCACGCCATGACGGTGACCTCGGTCAAGACGGTCCCGGACGACTCGAGGTTTTATTTCGAAGTCACCCAGAACGCGTCGCCCGTCTTGCAGCCGAGGAGCAAGAACTGGGTGCGTGAGCGTCACCGGCACGATGTGCAGTCGAATCTCGTTAATTCAAACTCCCTTAATTCAAACTTGCGGATAATTCAAGCTAACATTCAGGTCCCACCCTTTGCGTCCCTACGGGAGGAAACTCCCGGTAATTCAGACTTTGCTTCATTCAAACAAATTTTCGTTCCCCCTCAAGTTTGAATTAACGAGATTCGACTGTATTTACCCCAACCGTTGGCCCGCCCAGCAATTGATACGCAGCCTCCCAACGGGCCGCTAAAACACCCCTCCAGAGTTATCTACACAAAGGACCAAAACCTGCTGCAGGGGTTTTCAACCTTTTTGAGCTCGGGAAACGCTTATCCCTCTTCTAGTCGACGAACCTTTCCTGGTCCCAGTATCAGTGCAATGATGCAGTGTGGAAGCCTACAGCCTTCATAAGCGATGACGCTCATACTAGGGAGAGTTTGGCGCATGCAGGCATTGAATCATCAAATGTCGTACAGTCATTAAATCATACTTTTTCATGTTTCGTAACAATTAATTTTAGCTTGCTACGATGCTGTTATAATTAAGTAGCACTATTCGTGAATCCTTTGAATAGTTGTAGCCTTTTCTGGGAACCTTTGAACTCAAATTCAAATTGAAATGTTTGAAATCGATTCGAAGCGTCGAAACCGACACTCATTAGGTAATGTGATTTTGCCGAACAAACTATCATTGCGTGTGACCAAAGTTAAAAATTGGGATTTTGGTCCGCCTTGTTTAGGCAATTCTTTGTCGAGTATCTCGTTGAAATGTATCTTTTTTTTCCACCTGTGTCCGATGCTTTTCGTCAGAGAAAGTGTGCATGGTGACTGCTGAGGTGGCTTTTTTTTCTCCGAGGGTTCTTTTTGGTCCTTGTTGCATATTAAGGGGCTCCTTTGTTTCAGGCGGGAAAGTTATATTTCGACCCCCGGCGGGAGTGCAAGCAAACATGCTACACTGGGCTGCCGACAGCTACGGCAGGTAATTGTCTTTTTTACTTTCATCGCTGCTTGACAGATGGATGCCCCTTGTTAGCTTAGCTCTCCAAGTTCAAATTGGAAAGTTCAGTTTATGGTCGGACGCTTTTTTTTCTCTGGCTTCAAACTCCACTCCTTACAATTGTATTGCACTATTATTGTGCTGTTACATGCGCGGTGAATGAAAAAAAAAAAAAAAAAAACAACTCTAAGAAAGCTTTTTTTTTTTATATATACATACTCTTTTAGAGGCTGGCAGGCAGCCATGATTTACACTGTGCCTTTCTGGAATTCTTTTGCCTAAGATACAGGGGTGGAACGGCTGCGCCATTTGCGCCATTTTGCGCCAGACGCATTTGTCTGCGCCATCCTGCGCCATTTTGCGGAAACTGCGCCACAGCTAATACCTTGCGCCATTATGCACCAAATCGCACAACGTGCGCAAAAAAAAAAAAAAAAAAGAATTGTATTTTGTTTTGGTTTCGGATTATGTATCGACTCAATTGGCAACAATGAGCGCGTTTAGCTTGGCCGGACTTGCAATCCTTTCTTCTCTTTACTCTCCCTGTGTATCCCGAGTCGGAAGCACGCGAAAAAACTCGCCTGCGACTGGATTGTTATTCTTCAACCATAAGCCAGTTAAGCAAGTCGGCCGAGGTGAGATCGAGTCGTTAAGCGTCGGATAGCCTGAGGGTGTGCGGCCCGGGATCCGGACGTCAGTCAGCTGAAAACAAATGTGCAAAAGATTCCTTTTAGTACTTCATCGTTAGAAGTTGGAAACGCATTCCCGCAAGATAAATTGTGGTTTGATAGAACTGAAACGCGGTCCGATCCGAAACCTTGCCGGCCAGCAGCTCTTACGCCAGTGGCATATCTGCTCGGCGTACATTAACCTTGCTCCTGCTTATCGCTTTGAATACGATAACTTCGTGAATCGTAGCCTGCTGCTTCGATATTGAGTTGCACAATAGGATAAACTCGAAATTTGTTGCCCTGTTGCTCCGCGCAACTGCACGTCCGTTGCTTACGCACGCCAAGAGGATCGCACATATAATTACTATGCCGAGCACGTGTGGGTTGCGCGATAAGCAGTGCTGGTTTGCATTTCGAGCAACTGAAAGCCACTCAGAAAATATCAAGGACGCCATCTTCAGAAACATATGGTACTTGCTTTTTGGTTCTCATTAAGGCTCCCAAAGTTTCAAGTTTTCGCATCTGTTACACTGTTATCCTATCTACCTAGGTCCCTAACCACTCATGTTCACCTGTGCTGCTAAGCACATTTGAAATTACTCCCGTGCTCGTCTAAGACACAAGCTGAAGTGCAATGCAAACTGATCTGGGCTGCTCTTAGCCTGCTCCAGAATAGAGTTTTAACTGCTCCCAACCTGCTCCAAAACAGCGGTTTCAGCTGCTCCCGTGGCTGCTCCCAAATACATTTCATGAGTTCCACCCCTGAAGATATGATGAGAGCATTTCAAACAATAAAAATGTGGTGCGAATCAAATACGCTGTTCAATTTATATTAAGAATTCGAAATGTTTGCCACAAAACCTGTTATAAATTTTACAGGCTGGCTCCACCTTGTTTAGTTAAAAGGAGATTTCATTTTATGCCAAAAGCATTAGACACACTTTACATCTCTGCTGGAAACTTCTGGAAAGTGAAAAAAGGAGGAGCCACTTATAATTGAGTTTCTTAGAATTGCATGCACATTTTTATAGCGGAGCTGTTAAGAGCTAGTTTCCCCAGTATTGTGTCCGCCAGCAAACAAATGATGACATGAAACTCTGGACAGCTACCACCATCTATTAGCGACGGCGGCAACCTTTCCAGCCTTTCCACTCTGGCTTGTCGACTTGCTGCCAGCCATTACTTCATTTCGACCATGGTACAGCTTCGCTGGTCTTCCTTCTTCACCAGAGTGGAAAGGCTGAAAGTTTTCCTTATATTTTACTATCTTGTGATAATGGCAGCATCAACCTTATTTCAAAGAAGTATTGTGAAGATGTGAATAATTTTCGTCCGTGTTTCCTTACTCTCAGAGGGTCACCAGTGGCTTTCCGGCCTGAGCCTCCCGAAAGGCACGGGAGAGGCAGACCTGGAGCTGTTCCTCGGCATGCACGGTCGTTGGTCTGAACTCCTGCACGGCAAGAAGCACATGTGAGCACTGTTTGAAAGTCAGAAATACAGCTCCACTTCACGCATAGGAAAAACCAAAAACTTTAAACAAACGATTAAACTAAAGTTAGATGTTCTTTAAAACAAAAAAAAATGCAGAAGGACGAGAATATTTTAAGGATAGGAAGTGCCTCACCGTAGATTCTTGTCCTTGAGGCTGGACTCGCCATGATTTGGTCATACTCGTCGGGCATTCTGAACCTGTCTAGTGTTGTGTTGAACCCATCAAGGGTTATGCTGAACCCGTGAAGTGTTGTTCTGAACTAGTCAAATGTCTAGAACCAATCAAGTGCAGTTTAGGACCGGTCAAGTGTTGTGACAGACACGTCGAGCATTTCATTGGGCACGTCAAGCATTCTGTTGAACCCTTCATGAGTTGCTTTGGACTTGTCAAGTATTGTGTTGAAACTTGAGCGTGTTGAATCGATTGTGTGTTGCATTAGACTCGTCACGTATTGTGTTGAACCCGTCAAGTATTGTATCGAACCCGTCAAGTGGTTTGCTGGACCCGTCAAGGGTTCTGTTGGATCTGTCAAGTAGTGCGTCAAACCCGTCAAGCGTTGCGTTGAACTTGTCGAGCATTGTGTCGGACCCATCGAGTGTTGTACCGAACTCGTCGGGCGTTGTGCTGAATCCGTTTAGCGTGGTGCCGAGCCCATCGAGCGTAGCGTGAAAGTACAACTCGGCAAAGCTTCCTGTAAGAGACCGAGTTCGCCCAGGTGGCTTTTGGCCCAACACTTTGCAGGTTTCACACTCTGTGCTTGCGGCAGCTTTTTATAACTAAAAGATTGCGGTGACTGGCCAGACTTTGTCACCGTGCGAGAGAGGTCTCTGACGGGGCACGTCTCGGTTGACTGTGTTGCAGCATCAACATGACGCTGAAGGTGGACACGAGCGAGGCCCAGGGTTTCCTCATGGAGGTGCAGGTGCTGTTTCAGTGGCCCAAACTCTCCAGCAGGTGCGCCCTCAGGTTCCCGGTCACCCAGGTCGGAAACCTCACGGTGAGCACCTCCTCCCCCAGCGTCCTCCTTGCTCTCTTCTTCCTCTCCACTGGACCAATCGGAGAAGAGGGGGGCACTCATTAGGGAGTTGGCAAACTTCAAACTTCTGGCAAAATTTGACCTTCGAATGGCGTTGCTTGATTTCTTCACAGACATTTTAGACTTTTTCTATTTTTGTTGTGCTTAAAACATATTGAGAGGACACTACCTGGGAATGTCGACTTTTAAACCGCTCACTCAGTCGGCGTGAACTTTGCAGGCGGTGTTTGTACCCATATAGAAGGAAGGCAGGCAAAGTTTCAGCCCTGTGGATGAATTTTATCGATTTTATGAGGTACCAGAACAAAGTTAAAGCACATGTTGGCATGGAATGTGCTCAATGAATCTATCGTAGAGAAATGGTGTTGATCACCACATATTTTTCTGATGGAATGCATACTGGAATACCTGTTGCCGGTTGCTGTAAAAAAATTATATTCACAAAATATAGATTTCTTTAGCTAAAAAAAGATTTGATGAAATAGCTTTTTTTCACATTTAGTTAGTGTTACAAATTACAATTTTTCTTATTAAAGGAACATGAAAATGCAAAATTTGAGTTTATAGTAATCGGCTCTATAAAAGTTTAGTATATAAGCCACAAAACTTAAGTTCCTCGATGATTTCATTCTGAAACGATAGTTATTAATTTAGATTTATGCCAAAAAGTGAAACGGAAAGAAACGTGTTCAGAGTTCTTTAACCTCTACCTTTTTTTTTAGCATCAGTGAACTGGAAATAATTTATAACAAAAAAAAAAAATATATATGCAGTTTGAACAACTGAAACTTTCTGGGAACACTCTTGATGTCGGTGGACGTAAAAATGGCATTATTCAAAATCAATTTTTCTTTTTTTTTTTTCTCGGTAGTATCCTTTCTTAACAAACACACCCTGACCAGCTTGGCCTCTGGTCATTCAGAGAAGGGAGGGAGCTTTTTATTGAAAGTGTACAACTCTTCCAATCTGCGAATGTATATGTTATAATTTTTTACGCATCATTCTTTCACTGTGTGCTCGAGGTACTTCTGGCAACGTTCTAAGCAACCGTTTCTTGTAGGTGGTGCATAGAGTTGGCGTTGCAAATACTACGAAGCTTTCAGTTCAGTTATATGCGGATGGGAAGTGTTCCGGGGCTGCCCGGTAGGTGGCGTCTAGAAGTCGCTGTATGTTGCCAAAGTATCGCATTCGACAGCGTCCACTGTTACTGTTCAATTTTGGCTTTGATCGGCCACTTTGGCGCCAAAACATGTACAGTGGAAGGGGTTTCAGGGTTTCGAGCCCCTTTCTCCCAAGCGGACATGCCGAGATTAATCACCCAAGTTAGGACGCACCCAGGTCGGGACGCGCTACCTGAAGTCGCCTCTGAGACATGGTGGTATAAAAACTATATTAATAGTGCCGCAAAACCCTCTAAACTAAAATTGTTTGAAAAATCACGTTTTTGTCATTCGGTACTGATCTCCAATAAAATTTCCTTCAAAAAGATCATTTTTCGTTTGTTTTTACGCAAAAACATGCTTTCTATAAGCTGATGGTGGCCACAATAAACAAAACAAAATTGAGCCGCCATCTTGTTAGCTCGAGCCTGGGAGTTTTCGGTGCTCCGGGAACATTCAGTGACTAGTGGCGTCGCTGTGCTAGTGCGGTTTCAAGCGATGGTGGCACACCCAATCCAACTCAAACACAGACGTGCAGACCAACCGTTCCGAATACCGAACCGGGCTCGCGCCGGATATGCGTCTGCTCACGTCGGCTTCTCTTTCCGCCTTGCGCCAGGTGAAGGAGGTGACCCTGGAGAACCCTTCCAGCCTGCCCGTGCTCGTGCAAGTGGTGCCCCTCCACGTTTACCCGGACGTCAAAGCGGCCCTGACCATGGCCGCCCACTCGTGCGGGACGCCTGCCGAGCTTGCCATGCCCCTGGGCTCGTCCAGGACGTTCAGCCTGCAAGACCTCGAAGAGCACAACGTAGGTGTCTTTATTAATGGTGCCCGGACGCGCCACCTAGAGTCGCTGAACATTTCCAGAGGGTCGCGTTCAGAAGCATCCGCTGTGACTGTTCTGTTTTAGCTTTGATCGGCCATCTTGGCGTCGAAACGTATGCTGTAAAAGGGGTTTCAGGGGTACCAACCCCTGTTTGCCTAGCGGACGCGCCGCGAATTATCGCCGAAGTTAGGTCTCGCACAGGTCGGGATGCACTACCTGAAATCGCCGGTGAGACATGGTTGTATAAAAACAATATTAATCGTGCCTCAAAATCTTGAAACTAAAATTTAATGAAAAAATCACTCTTCTGTCATTCTGTACTAATCTCCAATAAAAGTACCAGCAAAAAGTGCCCTTTCCGTTTGTTTTTACGTGAAAAAGTGCTCTTTAAACGCTCGTGGTGACCACAGTAAAAATAATAAATAATAAAAGATTGAGCCGCCATTTTGGGGCCATCGAGCCTGAGAGTTTGGTACTCTGGGAGCATTCAGTGACTCTAGCGCCACCGTCTGGCGCATTTTCTGCATCTTCAAATGAGGTCCCTCGATTTCCGCCCGACGACCGGCGTTGTAGGGCGAAAAACTCGGATGATTAGATTATCATCCGCGTTCCGCCACTGCTAGCTTTGCGCCTGCTGCAGAAGGGGTAACTTTGGTGCGTTCCCGAGTTTCCCAGGAGCTTCAGGTCGTTCTAAAATTGACTGATATAGTGGTTTTCGATTATGCTCAGCATGTTCCTAATTGAAAGCATATGATTATTTTTACTAATTAAAAAGTTAATTAAGGAAGTTTAGTTAATTATCCGACTTATTGCAAAGGTTAGCCACCTAATGTCCCCCTGGCACCTGCCCAAACTGTAGTAGTGCATCTTTTACGGAATTTTTTTTAATAAATCGGTTTGAATTAAAATGGAACACGCAGTATATTTATATATACGAAGGGTGATCAAAACGTTCCGGGACTGATTTTGTAGCGTAGAAAGTGAGGGCAGTACAGTGATGCGCGCAGCAGTCAAAGTAAAGAATCTTTGTGTCTCATTATACCAAAGGGCGTCGCTATGTGAACATTTGGAGCTGTGCTACACTAGTTTGTTTGACCACATGCACGAGCATGATGGCGATCTTTCCATACACTGCAAACCAAGGCAAGAACGAACATCAATTTTACGTCAAGCTCAGCAAACATAAAACAGAGACCTCTAAAATGATTTAGAAGGCTTATGTAAATAAAAAAGTGAGGTGTGCAAGGTCTTTTGACCGAAGTCAAGGAGAGGTCGGATAAAGTCGCCCCATCGCTCTTCGTCTTCCAGCGATGTTCTGCAATTCCCGAAGCCAGAGTGCCACTTAAAAAACTTTGCGAAATTCACTGCTTTTTTCACAAGCCTGCTGAATCATATCGAAGGTCTCTGTTTTATATTTGTCGAGTTTTACACAAAATTGATGTTCGCTCTCGCTCTGGTTTGTAGTCTATAGTAAAATCGCCATTGTGCCCATGCACGTGGTCACGAAAACTCGTGAAACGCAGCTCCAAGTGTTCACAGAGCAGCGCCCTTTGGTATAACGAGACACTGTGCTGCCCTCTCTTTTTACGCTACAAAATCAGTCCCGGAACTTTCTTATCACACCTCGTATATGTGTCTATGTATGTATGTATGTATTTCTGGCGGCGATTGCTCTTTTTAACGAGCGTTTATAATATATATATATATATATATATATATATTTTTTTTTTTAATAGAATGCACCGCATTTAGACACTCATCTACAAGTGCAAATGGGAAAGGGGTAATTCTATATACGCTTTTTTGTTAAGTTTTGGTTTTACACAGTAAATATACATGCCTCCCCTCAACGACATTAATATTTTCAAAGATTTAGAAACTTTTCAGCCTTATATAACATTTCTCTGCAATAGAATGAAATAGTCATTTTCACCACCTCTTCTGTGAGAGAAAATGGCATGCCAACCATTTGACAAACCAGGCAACGGCTCTGTAGTATATTAATGGAGCTCAACATCTGCTCCCTAAACCTCTGTAATACGAGACGCGAGTAGCAGTGCGTCCAGAGTTGTGTCTAAAGTAAGAGTTGAACTTTGTTTAGACGTTTTACTTCCCGTCTTCGACAGATCAACCATGTAAGTGGAACTCCGTGAGTAGCCCAAGCTAGATTCAATGCCCCAAAAAAATATGGCGTCTGCAAAAAAACTTTAAAAATTATAGGAGCAATCCTGAACAACAAATGTGACTGCGCCAGATGTCGACTATAGTGCTACAATGTGCACTATTTTTCTCAATGTTATTAGCGCTCCTCTTTGGACGGATGTCGTAGTGATCAGAAGCGGCTTGAGTTTGCGCTTGCCGCTCTTGAAGCTGTTCCAGCTATCCAGTGAGTTTTGTTCCAGCTCCAGAATAATACTCAAGTCTTAGCACGTGCTGTAAAGTATTCCGAGCGTGAGCGAGAATGTTTCACGTGACACTAGTTCTCTCGGCACACACTTTGCGCAAAAGCACCTCTACTTGGCTGGCCTCCGCTGCTGCCTTGGAGTGCATTTTTTTCTCCCACGAAAACAAGGGTAAAAAAGAAGCTTTTTCCGGCTCTGTTCCTGCAATCTGACAGGGAGCACAGATTGCTACCCGTTGCAAAAGAACTTTCAATCTTGAAGCTGTGAAAAAATAATCTCGATCGCTGGCGCCCAGAAAGCCGCTTCACAGCTGCCCAGGTTGCTTGTCCAATTGCCCGTCAGTGATGCACATAGGCAGGGAAAACTAGGGATTTTTCATTGTTGCCAGTAGAGTCACCTCCTGGAACATTCGCGGCCGGCGTGACTTTGAAATTAAATAACTTCACAAAACAGTTTTACTTTATAAAATATTTCGGCTATCAGTTTAGAAAGGGTTATTGATGCGGTCTGCCGATTTCCAACCAAATCAAAGACTATAAAAAAATTGGTGGAGTTCCCCTTTAACCTGTCGCCTACTTTGCATAGAGTGTGCGCATCCTTACGGCCCACAACTAAGGTAGTTGGGGGGTTCCACGATAGAGTTAGTCTGGTGACGTCTGCGTGTTGGTGTGTTCAGCCCAGCCCGGACAACGTGTTCCTGGCGTACGGCAAGGGACTGGAGGAGTACTTCCGTGTGCAGCCCAGCCGCCAGTCTCTGTCCTTCCAGCTCACTCCCGGCATGAGGGTGCGCCTCAGGGTGGGCTTTGCCCCCAAGGACGACCTCCCCGCCGCTTCCCTGCTCCTCGTGAGGTGAGAGAAGCTTCCCTGGACGCTTTTTGTGTCGAGTCGGCTTTTTTTGGTCCTGGCTGCAGGAGCCAAAAACCGACCACTCTGCCAGTTGTTCGTGTTTTGGGAGACTGCTTGGTTGTACGACAATTCAGAACATTCTTATATCAGCTGTCAGTAAGTCACTAATTTAATGAGATTGTTAGTCATCATCCACTAATCAATTAATCGTAATTTTGGGAGCCCTCAGTTTCGAGTGAATTGTAGATGTTGGGGAGTTATTAGCTACCAGTCAATTAATAATTAGTTAAGGAGTTGTCCGCTGCCAATCGACTACTGTAGAATACTGCAGGAGCACCCACTTTGTTCATGCACTCACCATTAACATTTCCCAAACTTGGGAATTCTGCAAATTATATGTTAAGCGCCCTATTCGACCGGACATGCCTGGCCCAGTTTTCAGTGAAAGTGGGGTGGACACTCCCCCGGTATTTTACGGTTATCATTAGGGAGTTATCAGCTGCCACTTGATTATTCGGATCGTTAGTAAGTCGTCCCCTGTAAATTGTTGGTGTAATCAGCTGCTAATCAGTTGATGAGATTATTAGTGAGTTATCAGCTGCTGATTAATTCATCAGATTGTTAGTCTGTTATCATATGTCAGTCAAATGTTAGAATGTGAGTTATCAGTCGTTAATGGGCCCATGAATTGATTGGATTGTTAGCAAGCTGTGATCTGCCAGTTGATCCATAAATTAATTAGGCTGTCATTGAGTTATCAGCTGTCATTCAGTTTGTATTGATCGTTAATGTGCTGACGGTTGTCAATTTAATTCTTGTGTGCTAACGGTTGTCAAATTAATTCTTACTTGTGAACTATTATCAGTTAGTCTATTAAAATTCCAAGGACACCCAAGCACTTCTTACGAGTTGTGAATGCGAAAGCATAAATGTCGTTCTTCCGCTTCCTTAGTTCGTCTGCGGTGTACTGGCGTAAATGGCCACGTTTCGCTACTGCCGAAATTGCAACCGCCGACGATATAGATGCCTCGCCGCAACATTACTCGGCGGTGAAAGGAACAGAACCATCTGCAGCCCCCTCCCCCTCCCCCGGCAACGCCTGACACGACAGCAACGGCCGAGCGCACTCCTTCCTGGCAAGCGGGTCGGAGCACCAGGAAACGGGCTTCTTTGCTGGGTGGCGTTCCTTGGAATTATACGCATCCCGGCTAATGGCTGTATGGGAGCTGTTTCGCTGGGAGTTACTTTCGTGTTTCTCCGCGGCTATTACAGTGGTTGCAGACGCCGCCGGTTGGGACAGTTAATGCTTTCACATTAATAAATTAATAAGTGTGTTAGCTGGTTATCAGCTGTCAATCAATCAATCATTACTAATAAGCCGTCCTCAATGAATTGATTATATTGTTAGTGAATTTGTGTATTTAAATAATCAATAACTTAAGGAGAACGTTCTGGAGCTAAGGTGTATTTTGAATAATGGTAGTGTGCAGGCAGTGGCAAGATCATTTTAACGTGAAAACGTTAACTGTCTCATCGAGCAGCCGGCGTCATTAGCCGCGCCAGGCGGCAGATAAATTGCCGAAGCCGCGATCCGAGGCATCCCAGCTTTGAATCCACGCAGAATGCCACGCAACGGCAGTGATATGAAGCCGCCGCACGTCAGTTTTAATTAGCGCCTCCCCGTGGCGCTGCGTGTCCGCGAGGCAACGACTCCACCGCTCCACGCCCAAGATCAGCGTGGCGAGAAGAGCTCGCGTGCGGTGGACCGTCGACGCAAGTACGCCGCAGACAAAATAAAGGAGCGGAGGAACTGCATGCATGCTTTCGCTCTCATAACTCATAAGAAGTGCTTAGGTGTACCTCGAGCCTTTCTCTTTATGATTCACTACCTAATAAATTTGGGACATATTGTCCCAAAAGATGATTCGAACTAGAACTAGGTTCATCTATGCCAAAAGTGGCTACATGAGCAGCAGATTTTCTCACTTACGTCGCTGATGCCTGTATCAGAAATAACTCGCATTATTCCAAGGTTTATTCGCCGATCAGGCGATCGGTTCATCAAGGGTTGAGGATTCTTATCACCGTGGGCAGTTGCTCCGATGCAGCTGCCTCACTTGTCGGCATTGCATCAGGGGTGGTCTGCCTGAAGGATGTGTTACATGCCTCTTGAGCACTTGCATGCACACTTTACACGTGTGTGCACGATTATTTGACATTTACTTGCTTTTGATCATCATGTGCTTTTCCGAATGCTCTTTGCATGAGGTTATGCGATCTGTGCGCCGCGAAATTCTCGATCCCCTATGGTTCTTTAACTGGGTCCCCAGGAATTTTGGGGGCACCACAGGGCACCTTCTAGGGCAGGGGTCTCAAACTCCCTTGAGTGGGGGGGCCAGATGGACCACATCCCCAAAAGGTCCAGGGCCAGCTGGAAGGTCTGGGACAATGTTCTGGTATTTTCGGCTGAAAAAAAAACAAAAAAACAAACAAAAAAAACAGCAACAGTGTTTCACATCGCAGAGCGGCCAACTCCCTGCGACACCCCCGGGATTTTACTGGGAAGAACTCGTGCTCTCCGCTTTTTCTAAGCTTGCTGTTTTGGAGTTCTATGGGAGGCAAACCGGTGGTTTAAAAAAACCGCGTTATACCCGGTCCTGCACTATAAGCGGTTACGTTGTAAGTGGTCTATACTGTAGTTAAGCTGCGACTAGCCAATTGCTAAGCGTCCACGGGCCAATCACTAAGCACCGACTGGCCAGTCGCTGTGCATTGACTGGCCGATAACTAAGCGAGTATTGTGCGTGCAGGAACAACCTGACGGTGGTGAGCAGCCTGCTGCTCAGGGGCCAGGGCGGCTACGGCCAGCTGCGGCTGGGCAACAAGTCGCCGGGTGGGGACTCCCAGCTCAACTTCGACATTTCCGAGGCCCAACTCAAGGACTGCGACGGTACGCAATGAGAACTCACCATCACGCGTACAGTTGACTTTCGTCACTTCGATTTTTCGTAATTCAGTTTTCCGGTTAGTTCGGCCCCTTAAGGCGGCTCTGACGGGCCACTCGTGTTCGACGACGGAGGAAACGCATCTGGCCAATTCGATTTTGCTGAAACTGAAGTACAAGAGGACAACTGGACACGGCGTCTTGTCACACCAAGTCCTGTCGTCCTCTTCTGTTTTGTCTTCTTTTTTAAAATTTCTTATTGCATGTATAATTAACCACAACAAACAACGAAAAGCGTGGAGGGTGGTGTCGCGGCGGGCTATCGCCCTGGGTGCCGCTGATCCTAGCAACGCCACTGGGAGCGAATCTTAGAGGCCGAGCGTTCGGAAGACATGCCCTGCCGTTTTTACTCTGCCAGTGACTATTTATTTTTTTTACTTTTTTTTTCTTCAGATATGCTTCACCAAAGCACGAGATGCCTATCAAGTTAATCGGTGCAACATCACCATTAAGCAAAATGCAGTATGATCTGTGTTAGCAAATATGTCACAAAAAACTGTCTTCCCCTCTTCCTAAAAAAAAAAAAATATATATATATGGGTGATTTCATCTCAAATCGGGCAGGCTAAAAGGGTCTAATTTTTAATTTTCACGAAAAAAATATATGTTTTGGGGGTATTTCTCAAATGAGGGAGGGCGCAAACCGCATGTTCTCCCGATTTCTTGTTCTCGAGTTACGAGCCGTAGAAGCCGCAGTGGCAGAAACTAGTGTTTTTGCCTGCCTTCGCAGGTCGCGTGTTTGACACCCTCTGCTGACGCTATTGTTTTCTCTACACCCTTTTAACTTTTCCCCCTCATTTAATAGGTATTATAAAGATACCTTGATGTATTCAAATATTTTTAGGAATTTTATTGTTTTCTAAAACACATGTCAAACTCGTCACTCCGGTCGCTTTTCGGTCAAATTTGACAGGTCATTACTTTGTCTGTACTTAAGGTAAATTTTCTTTCTTTAGATCTACAGAAAGCCCAAAGCAAGCCAATTATAGATATAATAATATCATTATGATCTGTCGACTAGCCGCTCTGCTACCTTCACGTAAACATTGTAAGAAATAACAAATGTTGAAAGTTTGAAATTGATTTTCTCAAAAACTCCATTTTTGTAAATTTTTATTTTTAAAATTATTTTAGACATATTAGTCGACTACAAGAAAAAACAGTCTAGAAATGTAATATTTTGGTTGTATGTCCTCTGTTTGAGCCGCAATCGCGTGAAATGTGTGAACATTTGTTATTTTTCACAACGTTTACGTGAAGGTAGCGGAGCGGCTGCTCGGCAGATAATAATGATATTAATATATCTATAATGGGCTTTCTTTGGGCTTTCTGTAGAGCCAAAGAAAGAAAATTTACCTTAAGTACAGACAAAGTAATAACCTGTCAAATTTGACCTAAAAGCAACCGGAGTGACGAGTTTGACATGTTTTTTAGAAAACAATCAAATTCCTAAAACTGTTTGAATACATCAATGTATCTTTATACTACCTATTAAATGAGGGGGAAAAGTTAAAAGGGTGTAGAGAAAACAATAGCGCCAGCAGAGGGTGTCAAACACGCGACCTGCGACGGCAGGCAAAAACACTAGTTTCTGCCACTGCGGCTTCTACGCTTCGTAACTCGATAACAAAAAATCTGGGGAACTTGCAGTTTGCGCTCTCATTCTTTTGAAAAATTCCCCTAAAACATATATTTTTTTCGTGAAAATTAAAAACTGGACCCTTTCAGCCTGCTTGATATGGGAAATTTCATCTCAAATCGGGCACAATAAAAAAGTCTGATTTTTAATTTTCACCAAAAAATATATGTTTTGGGGGCATTTATCAAATGAATGAGGGCGCAAACCGCATGTTCCCCAGATTTTTTGTTCTTCAGTTACGAAGCGTAGAAGCCGCAGTGGCAGAAACTAGAGTTTTTGCCTGCCGTCGGAGGTCGCGTGTTTGACACCCTCCGCTGGTGCTATTGTTTTCTCTACACCCTTTTAACTTTTCTCTCCCATTTAATAGGTATTATAAAGATACCTTGATGTATTCAAATATTTTTAGGAATTTGATTGTTTTCTAAAACACATGTCAAACTCGTCACTCCGGTCGCTTTTCGGTCAAATTTGACAGGTCATTACTCTGTCTGTACTTAAGGTAAATTTTCTTTCTTTGGCTCTACAGAAAGCCCAAAGAAAGCCCATTATAGATATAATAATATCATTATGATCTGTCGACTAGCCGCTTCGCTACCTTCACGTAAACGTTGGGAAAAATAACAAATGTTCACACATTTCACGAGATTGCGGCTCAAACAGAGGACATACAACCAAAATATTATATTTCTAGACTGTTCTTTCTTGTAGTCGACTAGTATGTCTAAAATAATTTAAAAAATAAAAATTTACAAAAATGGGGTTTTTGAGAAAATCGATCTCAAACTTTCAACATTTGTTATTTCTTACAACGTTTACGTGAAGGTAGCAGAGTGGACAGTCGACAGATCATAATGATATTATTATATCTATAATTGGCTTGCTTTGGGCTTTCTGTAGATCTAAAGAAAGAAAATTTACCTTAAGTACAGACAAAGTAATGACCTGTCAAATTTGACCGAAAAGCGACCGGTGTGACGAGTTTGACATGTGTTTTAGAAAACAATCAAATTCCTAAAAATATTTGAATACATCAAGGTATCTTTATAATACCTATTAAATGAGGGAGAAAAGTTAAAAGGGTGTAGAGAAAACAATAGCGTCAGCAGAGGGTGTCAAACATGCGACCTGCGACGGCAGGCAAAAAATCGGAAGAACATGCGGTTTGTGCCCTCCTTCATTTGAAAAATACCCCCAAAACATATATTTTTTTCGTGAAAATTAAAAATTAGACCCTTTTAGCCTGCCCGATTTGAGATGAAATCACCCATATATATACATATATTTGTGCAATGTTTAGGTTGTGAGATTCATTCTTAGTATTGCGGTTTGCTTTTATTTCGGCACAAGGTACCAAAAGAAAGTCAGGTTTTGAGATCGCTACTCACTCAAAATGAATCCATCAAAATAATTTCGTGCCAAGTTTTTTTTTTCTTTTAAGTTTTTTTTATGCTAGTGTCCTATCTGCCTCATCAAAGCACTTAGAAAACATCATTTTAGGAGTTCAGTCAGTGTCCCATTACGTCTATGAAGTGCGGGCCTCGTAGCAGAATCACTCCAAACCTCCGGAAGGGCATCTGACGGCGCGTCGGGGGGTATGGTGGTGCAGGCGCCAGAAATGTGGAGCGAGACGGCCCGCCCCACTTCTCCGTGCGGCGGGGCTTCCACGCCCGCAACACGGGCCAACTGCCCGTGTTTGTGCGGGGCTTCCTAGTAAACGGCCGCCGGTGCCAAGGCCACGGCTTCAGGGTCCTCGACTGCCAGCCCTTCGAGCTCAAGCCCAACACCAGCAAGCAGATCTTCATCGCGTGAGTGCCACCTTCACCGAGCGCCGAGATTATAGCAGGACCTCGTCGCGCAGAGCTTGGTAGAGGAACGAAACTTGGTTTGATTTCTCACGTCTCCAAGGGAGTCGTCCACTGATACCAGATTCCCACCATGGTTGCCGACAGAGTAAGAGCAGTCGAGCGTGTCTTGCGCTTGAAGTGAAACAGCCCTGCCGTTCTCGCCCTGCCGGCGACTATAGAGCAACAGACGGAAACGACCGACGTTGACAAGCCTCTTACCCGTGCGGCGCTCACGGGGCGGTACCTTTAGCAGGCTTGCAGCCTCTCGGTGCTCGTGAAGTAAGTGCAAAGTGGCTGCAAGCCTGCCAGAGGTATGTTCACGTGTACGTTGAACGTCCTCGAGGCCTGTCGGCATCGGTTGTTTCCGTTTGTCGCCCTATGCTCGTATTCACCTCAAGAGCCGTAATTGCTGCTTTCCTTTTCCGTGAGTTGAATTAAGATTATTGTAGATGCATCTTAGAATAGATTTGCGTTATTTTGTCGAGAGGTAAACCTTTGCAACACCCAAGGTGTTGTTTCTTCGTTTGACAACCAGGTCTCGAACTGCTTCGCGCAGCACACGAATAATGCGCAAAACTTCCTTTTTTTTCTCGATGGGACGGCGAGAATAGTGGGAGTCGGGCATGGGCGGGATATTGAAGTGCGCAGTTGGGCGAGTATATACATGATCAGAATAAATGAAATGGCGCAAAAAAGGGTGCAAGGACAAGCAGGAGATGCAAACGAACACAGGACTGACTATCTACTGTCATTTTTACTGCGAAAGAAAACGACAGTTTGCACTGTACTTGTACGTGTCTCTGGTACTAGTCCTCACACTTTTTTTTTGCGCCGTTTTTTTTTAAAATCTAGACGGGATAGCTGTACCCAGTCTGTGTCAAAATTTTGTCCGAAGGAATTCTATGGCATCTGCGGGTGCGGCAAGGTGCCGGTTTCAATGGCCGCCTTGAGGGAACTTTGCGGTCCTTCTCCGACTTTTGATTTTTCGTGGCAGTGCAGGTCATTCGTGGTGCATGCCAGTCAGAAACCAAGGCATAAACTATGAGGGATGAGCACTCTCTAGGATTGGTCGTCTGCAGACATCAAGCACATCGTTATGGGAGGCCGTGTGACGGGGGCGGATTTTGGAGAGGGGGTGGGAAGGGCAACTACCCCCCCCCCCCCCCCCCCCCAAGTCCTCCAAGCTCAACTTTTTAAGGAAAAAATTTATATAGATTAGCTAAAAGTTTAGTTCTCGGTGACATAGCAAATAATAACTCAACAAACTAGTTTTGGGCAATGTTTCGGCCGTAAACAGCAGACACCCCACCAGCCAAATGTCTACCCCCCCCCCCCCCCCCCCCCCTTCCCCCAACCTCAAGCTTGACCCGTAAATCCGCCCCTGGCGTGCGAGCTGCGGCACGTTTGGAAAGCAGAAAAAACAATCGGCCACATTGGCGCTTTCAGGATTGCGACATTGGACAGCGTGGAACGCTGGCTCCCACGACGTTCTTCGTTGCCTGTTTTGGAACCCCTTTTGATGCTTGGACGGGACAGAATGACAAACGAACCAGTCAAATACATGTTCCTTACACCGGTGTTGCAAATCTGTTGGCTCCCCTGAGAAACAAAAAAGATCCATTGGCAGATCCTTGGGGAATGCGTTAACATGACCCTTAAGAAATGCCGTGCACATCCCCACGCTAACAGTGACCCCTTCGCTTTTCTCTTTTGCTTCCTTTATATTTGGCTGCCTCTTTTTGGCTTCGTTACGAGGTCAGCATTGACGTTTCCCCAAAAGAGGATATGTGTGGTGTTTCCCAAGGGTCATGCTGACGCACTCCCTAGGGATCCACCGATGGATCTTCCTTTAATTCTACTTACACCTACTGGGACCAGTGCTAGCACTTGGTTCACTCTCCATCTTGTAGCACAATGCACACCTGCTTATTCAGACTTGCCCCAGTGCGCAGCGCAACCGTGTTGTCGCCTCCCTCTCGCCTTTGTCCCTCATTACTCTCCTCCTCCATACGAAGCGCGCATCCCCTTCCGCTGTTTTGTCCACTGACGGACTTCGTCAGCTTTTTCCCGTCACGTGAGCACTAATGCTGACACAATATTAATGAGATCGCACAACCGCGCCGCCCCAGGTTCTCGCCGGACTTCACGCTGTCCCACGTGGAGCGGGACCTGGAGGTGGAGACCAGCCTCGGCGGCGGCGTCCTGAAGTACAGGCTGGTGGCGACGGTGCCACGCCACCTGCTGGCGCCGTGCGGCGCCGTTCTGCCACGCCCCCGCTGGGAGCCGCTGGTGCAGTGCTCGGTGCTCAGCGGAGCCCTTTTCCTGTTCCTGTGCTCGCTGGCCTACGCGTACCTGGAGCGCGACCGGATCCTGCGGGCAGGATTTTATCCCCTGGCGACCCTGGTGGACTCGTCGGCCGTGGCGCCAGGCAGGCTCCAGCCGTTTGATCTCAGGACCACGGGCGGCGGGACGACGGCGGCCACGGCGCCGGGTGGGAACGAGAATGGCACGACGAGGTAGGTGTTGCTTGGATTTGGGGAAAGCATGGATTGGGGCTGCTCGGCGGTACCGCTTGACCCTTTGACGGTCGAGTTTCCTTTCCCCGAAAGATGGTTCCCAGCGATCAAGTTTTGTTTCCGATGGAATAGTATAAAGGAAGTATCAGTGTGTGTGTTTTTTTCTTAATTATCAGTGGAAAAATGTACAGCGCTTGCGAGCTGTCCGGGTTAAAAAGCATCAAATGGAAATTTGGAATGCAAGAAAGTTTTCACACTTCTTCCATTCGGCTTTATATTGGTGCGTCTGCATCCGTGATATTCCGGCAATTTCGGAGTCCGAATCAAATCGAAGGTACTACAGTGGAGCCCGGTTATATCACATTTGGGTATTTTCAACTATTGTTTATGTTAAACAGTCCAAAAATCTCCTTGAAAATCACATGTAATAGTATAGGAGCATTGTCTTTGTGTATTTAACTCCCATGGCGGGGACACTCCATATGGCGAATGAAGCCCGGCCGTTTGTTGCTTTTCCCGCGATTCGATTGCGTAGGTGGCAAGCACATTGCTTGCATTGCGTGGCAGCCACGCAATGCAATGCAAGCGGTGGAAAGATAGCAGCAAAAGAGCAGTTGGAAAAAAAATAATAAGAAGCCGTAAAAAAAAAAAAAAAAAGGGCCAGGAAAAAGGCACGCGCTCACATGCACCTAAAGAAGGCAGGGAGTGTCGAAACAGTAGCCTGTGCCCTTTCCCCGAACACTGCTGATGCTGCATGACTCCCTAGCCCCAAATTAAAAAATAAGCAAAATTAAAAGTCTTCGACAAGTCGAGTGTGGGAGTGTTTGGAAAGCAACGGTTGTGGAATCACATTTTGAACTCCTTATCTTTGTTTACCTTTTTCTTTTGCCGTTATTGCTTTGCCCTTTTTTTTTTGCCTTTTTTGTTGCCTAAATTTAGTGAGCTTTCATTTTGTCGCTTGCTCAACTTTTTTCTATGGATCAAGAGAATGTTTTGATGCGTGTCTCACTTTTCTGTTTTTATTTCAATTTTTTTTTTTTTTTTTTTCATTATTTTTATTTTTGTGTTTTGTCACTTATGTTGTCTGGAGGTCCCGGTCAGAAGCGCGTGTAAGCATGGTGGTGTTTGCGGTCTCCGCCAACTACGCTCTACTGTATTTAGCGACTCTTGGATGCTCTTAAGAAGCTCTCGTTTGTCGCGACCTTTGGTATTAGCAGAGACGCCAGAAAATTTCGACTCGAGCTTAATTTAACATATTTTTGTATATCAAACTATTGATATATCAAACTATTTTATGATCCCCTTTGAATTCAGTATATCGGTGTTCGACTCTACCAGCTACCGATCTAAATTCTAAGAAGCGTTAAAAGTATGAATCGGAAGAGCAAGCGCTCCAATTGTCACTACCACCAGAACAGTCGACACGTGAAGCGAACATCTTGTGCGTATCATGTGCGCGGAGCATCTAATTTCAAAAACTATAAATGGCCCCGGCAAAGTGATAGAATATGCTGACATGATGTTTATGGCTCGCCAGAGACGTACAGAATAGCGACACCTCCCGCAGTGCCCTCGATTTTGCGTTTAGGCGGGCACTTTCAAATGTATAATAGCTGCCGCACGCGCACGGCGGTGACCGTCAAAGGTGCAAATTTTGTGTCGCTCGCCCAAAAAGCTTCGAACCCAGTTTTGCTGAGGAGCGTAGACTAAATCAATTTAGGAAGAGATAGTTCTTTCATCGCTCACCATAGAGTTGTCAGGGAAATTCACCGCCTATGTGAAAGGTAAGCTTCGGAGTGTTTCCGTCTATCATGCACATGAATGTGCTGGAAATTGGGTTTTGTTGTGCCAAAGGCAGCGTGCAAGTTTTCACTCAAGTCAATCCAAAGATATCGTAAAATACCGGGGAAGGGCTTCCAGCTTCCAGTAAAATGCTTGAAGCTGGGTTATTCTAGGCATGGGTGTGTGTCTGGTCAAATTGGTAAAAGCCAAGATGGCGGCCAATAAAGAGGTTTGAAGGCAGGGTGAACGGAATCGGAGAAAGCACCCCTATTTTTACACGATACCTCTGTCATAGCCGCCGGCGGTCTTGTGGCCATCATAACGAGGTGAATGAACAAAAGACAGACAGATTAACGATGTCAACAACACAAGGTCTTGTGTTGTTCCTGTCTTTACTCCGCCCCTGTCTTTTAGAAATAGTGTTGTGTGTGTGCTTAGACAGCCAGAACTTGTTCAGCCTCAATGGGCATCTGGTGTCTCAGCTGTGGATAAGAAATTTAGCCAGTGCAGCACAGCCGCTAGCCCGGGGTCTTTGACGTGCATACGCAGTAATGATACTCGACCGCACGCCGGTATGACATTCATCCAGACCGGAACGGGCAAGAATGGGGATTGAACCCAGGATCCTCGGGTTCTGCAGCGCAAGCTTTTTTTCCACTCCCTTCGAGTGGGTGTGCGCTAGGCCCATTCGGACACCGATGCCCCCCCCTTCTCTTTTTTCCTGTCTTTTACCACTTTTAGTACATTTTGAACCAACTCGTCATTTTGTGGCACACATAAACCTTTTGCTAAATGGACCTTTTTCAAGTAAGCCTTTGCGCCCACGTACACCCTCCACCTGGTCCTTTCTTCACACCGTGGCCATTTTCGGAGGGCACCGTCCAACACGGCCGACGTTGTCGGCACCCATTGTCGCGCACATTTAGTCTTTTTTGACAAACCTTTCACGAGCGTTGGTAGTATGGGGCACGAAAAGAGATGAAAACCGACACAAAGGCACGACGCCGACGTGTTTTGACGAGTGGAGGCGTGTTGGGCTGCCCTTAATTTGTAGGTTTCAGAGAACCGCCTCCCCGACAGCTCTCGTTACTCGAAGAAGGTCCATTACCCAAACACGAAAGCACAAATTGAACCCCCCGGGACTCGGGGACGAAAAAGTTAACAACAAGCAGTTCTCAACACGACACACCGTTTGAGACTCGTGTGTGTGTCTACACTACCTCATCCCCATGTCTCGGGTGTTCAGGATGTCGGTAGGTTCACCAGCTCACCTGTACGTTCACCGTTACTTCTATCACAAATTAAACTGTATACTCCCGTTTTTTGTCAGTCGTTACAGGGGAACAGGGGGCAAGCGAAGAAACGCGGACCTGCCGCAGGCCCGCAATTCGTCGCCGCTCTCCGGTTTGGATACTCTAGCCGGATTCTCTTCGAACAAAGTTACTGTGACGTCACGGTCCACGGACGCGACTCAGACGCGCCGCCCGTCAAGGGAGCCCGAACCGGACCGCTCGGGCAACAAGGCATTACGGCGAAGAGTGTCGTCCAAACACAAGGCGGAAACGGCGGCCCAAACGACAACGCAGTCGGCAGTGACGACGCAGCAGCCTGCGGCGCCCGTCGCGCCGAAGTTGTCGTCCGTGAAACGAGTGGAGGTGTCGAAGGCGACGCGGAGTACATTGTTGCGGCGGTTGTTCGTGTGGCTCTGGGCTTCGGCCACGGTGAGAACGAGCAAGGCGGCGGCGGGGACGGAGGCGGTGGCTAGCGTCGCAACGCAGACGGCGACGGATGACAAGCGGCTGGCAGAGAAGGAGGAGGAGGAGAGGAAGGGGAGGAGGAAGAAGGTGGCGGCGGAAGAGGAGACATCCTCGACGACGACCGAGACCTCCAACGCCGACTCGGATCTCGGAGAAAAGGTGAGGGGGAAAGCAGAGTCTGTGCTGTCGTTTTTTAAAGCAGTAGCTTTATAGGCCCAACCACGCTCAAGGTCGTGTCCTTAGGATCACGTAATGCCCGTGGCTGAAGCTCAAGGTTGCGTAATCGAGGTCACGTAAGCACCAGTGAGCTTGTATGTGCCGGTAGTTGAAGCTGACGTAACCTTACGTCCTTGATGTCGACCTAGAGGTCAATATTTCGAGATAAACATACTTATTTCACGAAATTACTTCGGGACAAGATAACAAGTGCCTGTCAATCTTCAAAAAGCACAATTACAAAAATCTTCGTTTTTTTTTTTGCCTCAAGGAGCAGTTAATAGAATTATTCAGGGAAAACCTGAAGAAGTAGGGGCATTTGATTGAAGCAGTAGACTTTTTGCCAAATTACCCAAGCATCTTGGAGAATGCTGGGAATGTAGCTAAATGCACTGCTTACTCTCTCCATCTCTCAGGGCTCTCCCCACAGTGGGTGGCAGAGGTTTTGCTGCTCGCCAGTCTTGCTGACTGTCCAACCCTATGTCCAACCCACCTCTATATTTTGCCCCTGGTGAACAAGACAATGCCGATTTTTAAAATGCAGGACGCCCCAGGTTGTTGTGTTTGCCATATTTGTGTGTCATTAGATAACAGAACTGCATGACCCTTGCAAACAAACTTGCTGCTCTGCAGCGGAGAAAGTGCAGAGGACAACAAAAATTGCAGCAGTCGCCCTCTCCTTCTCCCTTCAGCACCCTGGAAATTATTGTATGTTCAGATCTCAAGAAGTTTCGAGGAGAACCCTGCCTTCTCTGTACAAAAGATTTGAAGTAAATAACTAAAATAAGACGTTGATGAATGCGCACGCAGAGTAGAGCACCGCACGGGCCTACTTTTCTAGGTTTGCTGGCTTTTAGTTTTACCTAACCCGGCCCGATGGGATGCCTACCTGATCAGGCCCGGCCCGGGCCCAGTGAGAGACCAAGGCATGCGCCCTATTTCTTAAATTCAAAGCTGCCCTGGGAAGGTGTTGGTGCATTTGATTTGTTTAGGCTAATTTGCATGAAAGACACTGTCATTTCGCAATCACATGGTGAACCTTTGAAAGCTTACACAAATATAAAAGACAACTTATTTTTGGTAGCCAGAGGGCATTTTTCTTTCTTGCCTGCTGGCAGCTGTCCCACTACGCTGATGGAATCCCCAGGATTCTTCTGTGTATCTCGTGGGCTTTGAGTCCAAGACGGCTTTCTTTATTTTTAAGATTTTTTAGTGGCGTCGTAGTGAGTTCACACTTCGGCCTTTTCATTTCTTTTAAATCTAAACGATCAATGCATTAGCATTTTCTTCTCAACATTTCAGAAAGTGCGCTGCACCATTGCCCAAACTCGGCCCGGGCTTTCGAGTTGGCCCACCCCCGTGCAGAGCTCTAACGCAGGGTGCCATTTGTTTAGGGGTTTTGCTTTAGAACTGCCAGTGCCGCAGCACAAACAGTGCGTGTAACTACGCCCACGCGCTCTTTGGCGCCTGGGTAGTTTAGCGGAAGATCTGTTTGGTAGACACCCCAAGGACGTACCGCCCGGCTTGACAGGAGCACGGGATGGTGTTACTGCCGGACGTGTGCGCGTCTGCCAAGCTGTCGTCCAAAGCCAAGCAGCGCTCCAAATCCAAGGGGAGCCGAGAGCAGGGCAGTGGCAGCAGCAGCGGGAGCAGCAGCAGCAGTAGCAGCTCCTGCTCCCACGGCATGCTCGTCCCGTTCCTCTCCGAGGCCGGGCTGGCCGACGACGCCTTCGAAACCAGGGGCAAGGGCAAGGCGCAGCGCAAGGCCAAGGGAAAGAGGAGCCTGGGGAGCGGGGAGGATGCCCTAAGGCCCAGGTACGTGCCTCCCATTTCGCGTTGAGCCACAAACGAACGAAGTGCCTTCACGCTGAATCACTTGGAAGGTCAGATCTGGGTGATTCGGCGCAGACGGCGGACTTGTTCCCTTCCTCGTCGACGTATGCGGGGGGAAGACCGGAAAGATTTTCAGCCTTGCCGAAAACTTCGTGCCTCGGTCGAGGGGGCAGTGCAAACCGGAGAACAACTCTGAGCAAGGGCGGAACGGGTCGAGCGCAAATTCCCCGCTCAAAACTTTGTATTTGTTTCACATTCGCCCGCACTCTTTATCTCTTGTATTCCTCGCCTTCTGGCTAACTTAGAGTTATCGAAACTTTTTCATTTCGAGGGACCCCTGTGTGCCTCGAGTGAAGGCTGATGGACGAAGGTGTTCCACGAAAGGACGAAACCCTAATAAATTTCTCTGCTTTCGGTAAATACTGTCAAACCCCGAATTTCCGGTGCCCTTGAATGAGAAGTATCCAAGCTATGCGGAAAGAAATTCCTGTCTACGACTTTATTTTGCGTCGGCCAGGAATACCAGCTTGACTGCATTTTTCGTTGGAACCGCGCCCCGGTGTCTCGTTTTCCTCAGTTATCGGGACCTGGATGTTTTCTATGTATACAGGTCACGCGTATGTTCTTTCGAGCTTGGGAGATTTTGTGCCCATGCCTTTTCTTTAATGTGAGTCCCCATAAACACCAATTTTTTTTTTCTAACATCGATGATCGACACAGAAACTGTGGGACAGGGATGGGCAGTATTTCAAATACAAGTATTTGAAATACGTATTTCAAAAACTTTGTGTATTTTGCATTTGTATTTAATTACAAATTGGGTGATGTATTTGACGTGTGTATTTAAGTACTAAAACGTGGGTATTTCAAATACAATTGTAATTAAATACAATTTTGTGGGCGAAAATACATCCCTCAAATTTATTGTCACTGTCCAGAGCAGGAAGAAAACTACGTTCTGCACTGGATGCAGTGTCTCTCAATCAACCATAAGCGTTTAGTGACTTTGTGATTACGGTGCTAGTCCAGGGCAAGAATAGTGACGAAATCGACGTTCACAGGCAGACTGGCTAAATAAGTGCCTGTGACAACTTGTGATGCTTTCCAGCCTGATTTCCATCCATATTTTTGCCTGGAACATTCTAAATGCGCGGGTCGTCCAGATGTTCGTAACTGGTGGGTGATTCCACGTCAGTTCATGCAATGATGGTCCGGGTCATAATTTTGATATTTTTGTTAAAAATATATATGAAAGCCACGTTCTTGGGATGAACATTAAGCTATATATGAACGTCGTGACAAGTTTTTTCGCTGAGATATAAAATAGAGAAGCTCGTGGCGTGGAAATCGAGAAGATTTCACTATGCTACTTTGCGCAGTCGTCGTTTTCTCATCAAAGCTTTCACGTCACCATAACTTTTTTAATGCATTTTACAAAAGATATACAACACATACACAAAAACGTAAAAATATCAATAAATTATTTCTATGCAAACAAAACAATCAAACATGTATTAGAGACATATTTACAATTTTTTTGCAAATAAGCTATCTTCTACAATACTTCACAAAACATATCAAAATGCACGCCTTTGAATTATCTTTACAAATGTATAAAGATAATATGCCCACCCTTAATTGTCTTCTTGCTATTAACGCGGAAATGCAGCTGATTTTTCGAAATGTGGCAAGATTGGGCGTCAATATTTAAAAAAACTCCATCTTTTATTTTTTTTAAACTTTCCTTGGCACTTTGCAGTGACTTGAACTAACTTGTGATGGCAAAACATTGAGTAACATATGACCTCCAAACGGGAAAAGCTACGACACACCTTCACTCGGAGCGAGCCGACGTCTTCGTCATAGCGGCTTTGCCGCACAGCACCAAATATTTTGAGCGTTAGTTATGGCATGTATTTTATATTTTTCAAATTCATTTTTTTTCAGAAGGGGTTAGTGTAACTGACACGAAAATGTACTTTAGGCTGGAATACCATTACTTAGCTTACAATTCACAAAAACAAAACGGCCCCACTCTGCAAATTCGCTAACTATGCATACCTAAGCTTAAAACTCTCAGTTGCGCAAGTGGCCATGTATACATCCGGCCTCTCGGCATATGATGACTTCCACAGATGAGATGCCTGGATTCCTCTCACAGGTTTTACGGTGGCCCACTCTACTTGCTTCACCGCACGAAACTCTCGAACCCGTTCCGCATAAAGCCCCTTGATAAAGGCGCGTCTTATAAGTACCGCCAACCATTGTTGTGGAAAAGCGCGAGACACGTGCCACAAGCGGGTGCTTCGCCACCATTCGCTTCCCAGGGCCGCTCATTTCAGTACTGCGCCGCCATTTGCTTCCAAAGGCCGCTCCAGACACGGGCCTCGCGCACTCGCGCATTTGACGCTACTTGCAAGACAAACGCAAACATATCGAGGGGCTTTAGTTCCGCAGACAGGTGGAACATGCAGACATTTGTTACTTTTTCACGCAGCACTTCCACGAAGGCTTTAGCGGTGACAATCGTTGAGTTGAGGGAAGATCTCAAGTTGGTGAGCGTTGCGTGGTGTTTAAGAACACCACCTACTCCATCACAAGCGCTTTTTCCGTGTCCAGTGGCTGAAAATATCCATCTTGCCAAAGAGTAAGGCTTCCGAGATAATTCGTGCAATTGGAAGCGATTCTTGAAATGTGCCGCCGATCCGTCTGATACAAAAATTATTTCAGAAAAGAGCGGGTAATGTTCATCAACTTACTCTTCTATGGCTTTTGTGGCTAAAAGAGCGTGAGCTGTGTCATGTGTCGTGTCATCGCTGACAACGGCAAAGCTTTCTGTGCCTTGCGTGGACGTAACCACACATGTGAAGAGAGACACTTGAGTTTTTTTTCAATGAAAACTCTGCACTTCGGTTGGGAAGATGACTGTCCAATTTTCCGCAAAATCGAAGTGGAACATCACTGCCTTGGGTGGTAAGGCGGTTCTTGTGTCACGTATCAGGCTTCGTTGAAGGTCACGGGTGTAAGAATGCCTCGTATACTTTTCGCTCCATGACTCCAGTTCCTTTAGGAAACCGGAAGTGTCCATAACCTTTTTGACGAGTTCGCCGGCGTCCCATAACGCGTAACAGATCTCTTCGTCTTCGTCGAGATGGAGCGACTGCAGCGAGATGCTCTGCATTTTTGGGCACTTTTCGCAACAGCGCAGGAAGCAATCGTTTTGTGGAGCGCTGCAGAGGTAGATGCGCTTGAAGTCGTCTTCAGTAAATGTCTCCTGTGAGGCATTTGTTATTGCCGTTAAAAGCAACTGAAAATTGACACAATATATGCGAGCGCACACCTCATGCTCGGGACTCTTTTTTACCCATTTTGGTCGTAGGGAATAGAACTTAGAGATGCCTAGTTCTCGATGGGGATGGTCCTTCCTAAGCAGCTGGTAAGCTTCCTTAATAGAGCGGGTCATAAACCTTTTTACGACTTTGGTCTTGTTGTCGTTGATCATGGCTTTGACGACGTCCTTTTTGTTGGGGCTTTGAATAGAGCATGCGAGGTCGTCGCGTGTGTAGTACTCAAGTGCAACTCTCACGTCTTCGGCATTCGCCTTTTTCCCCATGTAGGGATCAGGGGTTGCCCATACACGACCTTTACCCTTCAGTTTTCTTGTTTGATCACTCATGTAGGCAGTCACTTCTGACACCAGACGCAATATTTCTTTTTTTCGAGATGCTTGGTGGCAGAAGCGTGTACAATCGCTTGCGTTCCTGGTGGGAACAGCATGCCTTCGGCGCTTCGCGGAACGCGTCAAACCACTCCGCACAGTGCTCACAACTGTCTTCGCCGGTTTTCATGCCATAAACGCCTGACAGCTTTCTTCTAATCGAAGAACTCACTTGAGCTTGTTTTTTCTTCAAATATGCTTCGCGCCTTTTTTTTTTTTTAATGGTCTTACGTGGTTTCAATGGAGTTACCGACGGACTAGCAGCACACAATTCTTGACTCACTTCAGCCAGAACTTCATCAGAGTCCCGGAAAGAAGAGTCTGATGTACCCACGTTGTGAGGAGAAGCAATCTCATTCTGGAGGTATTTGTAGCAATGTTGGCATAAAAGGTCAGATTCTTTCACTGTCCGTGGAGCCAGTAGCTTTTCCAACCGCACTTTGTTGAGTCTCCCTACCGATACGAGGTGCTTATCGCTATACACTTTCTTCTTGTGTCTCCGTAGGTAGTCCACACAGAACAATCGCACGGTGCTGAATCGTTGGGCCATGGCTGTTCGATTAGACACTAGACTCTTACTCGCTTCGTAAATGACAGAACGTCAAACGTCCTCGCAAACGCCTATTTGAGAGGTTCTGAATTCCTCTCTCCCGGCTCCGAATATCCGGTCAGAGTTCGGAAAGAAAATGTCCTTGTGGTTATCAACTTCTGTCTTCCATTGTAGATATAATCGGTGCGTCGCGCATGGTTAAGCTGGTGTTGTTTGTTTGTAGTACCACTTATTGAGCACCAAAGACACCGAGTCTCCTGTAAGCATAGCGATAGTCGGCCGTCTTTTTTTCTTTTTACCTTCTAAAAGTTTTTTATATTGTAATGTTTTTGGGGTTTTCGGTGTTGGAGTGTAGTTTGTGTGTGTGTGTGTTGGGGAAGGGGGTTACGGCAGTAAAATAGAAGAGGGGGTTAGGAGTTCGGTCTCGGTCGGTTCGCATAGCGTGGTGCAACCCATCTGTTCAGGTCCTTGGGAGAGGTGCCCGTTCCCGTTGCTGTCCTTAACCTTGGAGTGATTTAGTTTGTCTGGTTAGGTTCGGTCAAGTCTTTGCGGTCGCATGTCTTGATCTTCCCTATTTTATTTCTTTTTGCATGGACATGCATTTATTGTCGTTCTTCTTGTGAATAAGTTCAGCTGCGTTTAAGAGTTCGTTTTGCACTGTCCGTTATTTTTGTTTTTCCTCGTCTCTGGGTTTAGATTGAAATGTTTCCTGACCAACTGACATGCATATTTTCCCTTACTACTACTCTCGCCTTATTTTGCCGTAACTGACTCTTCACAGCTTTGGGTTTCAAGGCAATGTGATGTGCTTACCATTACTAACTACCGCAAGCAGTGACGTTCGCAGGCGTTTCTTGCTCGTGTTAAGGGGCGGGAGAAGAGGGCAGGGTGGGGGAAAAGGGGGGGGGGGGTATAGTCACACAACAATAAAGCAATGCTCGGAACAGCAGGACTTTCCGCTCTCTATGACAGAGTCCCGCTTTCCAGCTTTTGACGCTTCCATGAAGGGGACGTTGTGCGGCAAAGCCGCTATAACGAGACGTCGACTCGCTCCGAGTGAAGGTTTGTCGCAGCTTTTCCCGTTCGGAGGTCATACGTTACTCAATGTTTTGCCATCACAGGTTAGTTCATGTCACTGCAAACTGCCAAGGCGAGTTTAAAAAAAATAAAGATGGAGTTTTTTAAATATCGACGCCCAATCTTGACACATTTTGTGAAATCAGCCGCATTTCCGCACTAATAACAAAAGGACAATTAAGGGTGGGCATATTATCTTTATACATTCGTAAAGATAATTCAAAGGCGCGCATTTTGATATGCTTTGTGAAGTATTATAGAAGATAGTTTATTTTCAAAAAAATTGTGAATATGTCTCTAAAACATGTTTTTATGCCATGTTTGACTTTTTTGTTTGCATAAAAATATGCCATTGATATTTTTACTTTTTGGGTATGTGTTGTATATCTCTTGTGAAATTTATTAAAAAAGTTATGGTAACGCGAAAGCTTAGATGAGAAAATGACGACTGTGCAAAGTAGCATAGTGAAATCTTCTCAATTTCCACGCCTCGAGCTTCTCTATTTTATATCTCAGCGAAAAAAAACGTTACAGCGTTCATATATAGCGGAATGTTCCTCCCAAGAACATGGCTTTCATATATATTTTTAACAAAAATATCAAAATTATGACCCGGACCACCATTGCATGAACTGAGGTGGAATCACCCTGGTGCGAGTTGCAACAATAAAAAATTCTCTAGCTAGTGCTGCGCGTCTTGGTCGTCTCGGTTCTTTGTTGGTCGGTCTATACCAAATTGCAATCGACAAAAAAAGCTGCTTGAAGCTCTGTACTTTTTTTCACCTATTACGTCGAAGCAGATTACATTTTTTTGTGATTATATTTATATTACGTTATTAGAGCCTCGCACACTAACTCCCGAGAGTGCGATGCAAAATTAAAATGAGATGCGCAGAAATTCGTTGCAGGTGCCCTGAAGTCGCTAACGCAAATTTTGAGGAATGTATTTGGAAAAGTATTTGGAGGAGACCAAATACATTTGGTTGCATTTGTATCTTGTACTTAAATGCTTTTTTGGAAATGTAATTCGATTTGTAATTTTTGACGAAGTATTTTGTATTTGTATTTTGATACATATTTGCATGTATTTTGCCCATCCCTGCTGTGGGATAAAACAAACGCCAAAAAAGTGCCTTCGCATTCGAAGAGAAATGAACCTCGAAAAGACCAAACCCTAACCGTGATGCACACAGTTCAAAGCGTTTGGCTCTTGATCGGGCACGAGCGGGTGACTTAGGATTGCTAAACTGGCGCTTAAACCGGGAAAGCTGTCGCTTTGATCGGGAGTCGGGACGGCCCAGGGAACTTGAGGAATTCATGAGGGTACTCCCAGGGGGAGTCCCTGGGTCCGTAGGAGCCCAGTTTGAGGACCTAGCCCCGTCCTTAACCTCATTGTAGCTTCTGCTTCGATCTCGACTTTCTTTTGTCTGTTCTTTCTGCCTACAGCAGCTTGGAACTCCCTTACAAGCCCAAGGTGGAAGGAGCCAAGGAGACACATCTTCCGCGACCAGATTCCCTGCGGATCATTCCGGCGGAGCTGAGGAAGGCGGCCGAGCTCAGGCTTAAAGGTGCGCTCCGCCGGGGTTGCCGTTGCGGTTTCGTTACAGCGCCTGGAACGTGTCTCCGATTTGAGTGTATAGCGTCCTCTTCCGTTTCTGCGTCGAAAGCGGTCCCAAAGTGGCAGCAAGTAATGTCACGGGAGGCGGTGTGTCTTTCTGTCGGACGTCGCAATCCTGGTGTTTGGTCACGGAAGCTGCGGCGAAGGGCACAAGGAAAGGCGAGCGTCGTCATCGTCTTCGCGGCGTTCAGACTCCCAGCTTCCAAAGCTTCCGCGAAGCATGTGGCTGGAGGGCGACCCGTGGCAGAACGGGCGTCCGCCACCGTGATCGCGGTAGGTGACAACGCAGTGTTCCTATATGACGTCGTCGAGTAGAAATCGAGGACGCGCGGCGAAAGCATTGGTCGAAGAGGCGTTCTAAGCGCTGTAGTTTCGTTGGTGTCGAGAGGTGAAACGTGGTGTTTTTGCATCCGTCGCAGCAGGGCGGTCCCTGTCCTTCGACAACGACAGCGAGCCCAACTCGAGGAGGGGGTCGCCGCCACCCGTCTGGGACTCGCCGCCGCGGGGAAGCGGGCACGGTGAGCACGAACTGTTCTTACCGCTTGCACAGTGTCTCGCCCAAATTTTCCTTTGGGCTGGGTTTGCCTAGGGTGCCTCGAAGTCCTTCTGTTTAGTGTGATGCCATTCTTTGTAGTACCCGATGCTGACAGCAGATTTTCACAGGAAAAATACAAATAAATCGTCGAGAACAAAATGTTGCCATAGCACAGTCAGCGTCACGAGCGCGTGCAAAGACATGCTCTTTCACATGCTTCGGAACAACCTCAAGGACAATCTCAAGGAAGGTCGTCCTTGAGGTCGTCCTAGACGTCATCTTCGAGATTGTCCTTGAGGTCGTCCTAGGTGTCATCCCCGAGGTCGTCCTTGAAGTCGTCCTAGACGTAAAAATAACAGCTTCGCTGGTCCTCCATCTTCACATAAAGTGGAAGGGCTCTGCAATTTTTTTTTTTTGGATTGAGCAATAACTGAATTGTATCCTAAAGCTTTCTTTTTTTCTATGAATTAAGTAGTAAAAGTTTGAACATAAAAGAAACTTAGAATGCGACTTTCTCAGCTTAGTTTTTTTTATATAAGGTGGCGTTGCCTTACGGAAGTTTTTGATAAGGTTTGCATGAACGAATATCGGTAAAATTGGTAGTGTTGTTTCCAGCAACAGCGGAGCTGTATCCTAAAGCTTTCCTTTTTTCCCCTAGAGTCAATAGATTAAAAGTATTTAGCTAAAATGTTGACAAATTATGGCCAGATTTTGTTTGCTTTTAGGTCTGTGATTTATTTATGGTGAAAAACTGGCTTCATAAAGATTCTATTAGCTTTGGGATGTATGGTGAACCTTTGCAAATCACTGTACATTAAAGACCACCTTTAAAGGATGCTGAACCATGCTTCAGTGTCTATAATAAATGTTGCAAGAACTTTCCCCGAGCGAGCCGCCGCCGGTGTGCACGAGCACACGCAATGAAATTGACGTCATAGCCCCCATTCACGCTTCAGATGGCAGTGAAATGTGTGTGCTCCAGGGAAAAGGAGAACAAAGACAGGCTTGTCATCTCCATAGTGGGTCTAGTGAAAAAGGTAGGTGATCGATTGGTCTAACAAGCACGTAGCTTTCACTTGTGGAGATGAAAAGCCTGTCATTATTCTCCTTTTGCCCAGAGTTCAAACATTTCACTGTAATCTTAAGCATGAATGGAGGAATATGACGTCAATTTTGTTGCGTGTGTTCCTGCACATCGCCTGCTGCTGGCTCGTGGAAAGATCATGCGCCACTTATTATAAGACAATAAAATGTTAAGGGGGGACATAAGCCTAAATTTTAAATTTTTTTGAAAAAATTCATTTTCTAATTTTGACGATTTCAGTTTTAGAAACTAATTATATGCCCTTACACCAAATTTGATAACCATACGCTCAATATTTTTGTTGCTATAAAATATTTTCAACACATTGTGAGGCAGTAACAAAGTAAAGGAGTTCAATGTTTGAATGCATTTTTCTCTGAGCCACTTTTTACTGCAAATTTCATACGAAGGAATCTTTTGCTCGAAAGTGAAAGTCTTCCGATACCACAATCAAGATGTTTCTGAACTGAAATTTACTGGGGAATCGGGCTATCTACTTTATTTTGTTTTAAGTTGAAGTCCTCAGTGATAAAAAAACTAAGTTTTCAAAAATTGACATAAGACAGATTTGCATCTCATATTTTGAGGTAATAACGCTTCCTGAAATATTTACATTTGAGTTATAAAATCTAGATAGCCCGAAGTGCCACATCCCCCACTTTATATTCTAGCAGTCAAAATGGTGGTTAATAGCTTCATTTGCATATCATAGATTTCTTAAAGAGTGACACATCGTCTTATGCAGGTATGTAAAGTTGTCCTGGAGAGCTGAAAGTTTGCACAGTACACCTACATCTGACGTTAAGTCTCCCCTCTAAATTTCATTCCAATCACTTGAGTAGTTAAGAAGTTCGACCTCTAGCCAGTGTCCCCCCTTAAGTTCAAAATCCCTTTAGCATTTCAAGAGGACGGAAAACCATTTCCTGTGATTTCCGTTAAAGCTTCAGACATCCGTCAAGAGTGATTGTACAGTAAACTTTCGTTAATTCGACTTCGACGGGACCTTGAAATTTGGTCAAATTATCCGAATGATTAAATTAAAAAAAGGACAGAAAAACGGTTAAAATTAACTTCCTTTTATTGTCCAAAGTACTCACGGATGGTCTAATGCCCGTCTCCATTCTCCATTCACACGATGGAGAAATCCCGGGGATTTCTCCCTTGTGTGAATACCTCTTTAAACGCGTCGTGTCCAAAACTATGCTTCCAAGAGCAGCATAACTAAACATCACCTCCCCAAAAAATTCTGCACTACAAAAAAAAAAAAAAAAAGTGACTTTGGCGTTAGTCCAAAATCAACTCTGCGACAAAAAAAAAAAGGAAGAAATGGAAAAGAAAATTTGTGTTTTCCGACGCGCAAGATGGACCACACACGATGTTACAGAGAAGCACTTTCAGAGCGCGCGCTGAGAAAGCTTCGGTTTCGAGCCGACTTTGGCGCCGAGCAACTAGATCGTCAACAACAAAAAAAAAGAAAAGGAAATTTATGTTTTTCGGTGCGCAACATGGAGCGCACACAATGCTACAAAAAAACGCTTCGAAGAGCGCGCGCTGGCTCATGCGTGCCCGACCACGTGCTATGCTACTCCACGCCAGATTGGTTGCGCTGGCTCCTGTCATTCGCTAAGGTCCATCTCAATGGCGTAGAGGAGCAGGCGCATATTTGCGCACATTCAACTTTGCAGCAAAGGGCCCATGTTTCGCGGTACGTTGGTGGTTTTTCTGCCGTGGTACCATGCAATGTGAGCTCCTATAGAAATGTATGGGCGCTCGCCGGGACTTTTGAACACGATTGAATTAAACAAAAAGTCGAATTAATTGATGTCGAACTAACGAAAGTTTACTGTAAACGCCAAGGAGGCTGAAATGTCGTTAGCTTGAAGCGTAGCCTATTGGCGGCTCTACTGGGCGCCAGATTTTTTACAGTGTCTGGTTTGGCCTGGCATTTTTTAATTTTGCAAGTTTGAAGCTAGGCTTGTAGTCAATGCATGCTTTTTTCGTTGTTTCTTCTCTGCTGCAGACGAAGCACTTGCGGAAATAGCCAGGCAGACGGAAAGCTTTGCTCTTCAGCACAAGGAACCGAAGACCAGCCGACCCACCAGCTACTCCGCCGCCGTAGCCGGCGGCGGACTAACCAAGCCCACCGGTGCCATCGGATCGGCTTCTTCCGGTTTGGCCTCGAGCCGCAATCCGGGTTAGTGGCCGCACAGCGCGTTTAGCTTCCCTGATTGGTCTCCGGAAGATCGGCCCAACTGATCGTGCTTGCCGTGTCGCGCGTCCAGAGATCGTTCTCTGCTCAAGAATTGGCACGAAAGGAAGCAGAGAGATGCTGCCGAAATAATTTTACTCGGAAGTGCAGTTTGTGTTATGGGACTGAGCAGTGAAAGCTTGCGTCTGGCACGCCCACTGCTGGTCACATTTTGGTATAGAGAATTACCTTGGCCACATTCTGTGTTAGCTGCAGAAATTTATGTTTCACATGTTCTGATGGAAACTACCTACCTATATATATAAGAAATGTATAAGAAATGATGAGGACGTGTATAAAAAGTGACGAGGAGAGGGCGAGCAGTGCCTCTGCTATGAGTGGGTTTTCGTATTCGTACATAAGCATTTTTTTGCTGGAAACAAATGCTAGCCAACTACCGACGTAAAAATAAAAAAATATTTAGGGCAATATGTTTTTGTTTTGAGACAGATTTTAAGATAGTAATGATTACGATGTTCCTGCACATCCACCCAAACTAGAAGCAAGTCGGAATCGCCTCTAGAAACACAGAGCTCCCCCAAAAAAATTATTTTTTAAGTGCTTAGATTACATAGAAATCCAGGTCTCAAAACAAAGTTTACCGACAAAGAAGAAAAAATAATTACTACAGTCAAACCCGTTTATAATGAACAGCAAGAAACACTACGATCAGTTCGATATAGCAAGTAGTTTGATATAGCAAAAACCATTTACAACAAACTTCCACAATGCTTTCGTTGTAAGGCGAGAGTTTCTCTTTGTTTCTCATCTCTTCACTTCCGCCTTGTAACAACGCGCTGCACTTTTTTTTTTCCATGCGTGCAGAGTGTTTTTGTTTTTTAGTTCATTTTTTTCTGAATTTTCTTCGTAAGCAAACGCTTTAGAATTTTTTTTTTTTTTGTGCGTGCGTGCAGAGTGTATTTTTTTTGCTTTTTCCCCTTCTGAATCGCTTCTCTTCGCTCAATTTCGTTTGCAACTTGAGCTTTTGGAATTTTCTTTCTTTTCTACTTTTTTTGGGGAAAGGGACAGGCTAGAAGACAATTGTTTGCGCGTTTTTGGAAGCCTTCCCGAAGGGAAAAAGTTCGATATAGCCAATATGTTGTTCGTTATAAAAAGTACTTTTTATATGCATTTTTATTTAAAATTTTTGTGAATTCCATATTGACAATAATTCGCTGTACGTGGGTTTGTTCTAAACGGGTTTCACTGTATGCCATATTTACATTGCGAGACTCATTTTGAGTGAGGAATGATTCCGACGGATGCCTCTATTGGGACACGTCGGCCAGAAACAAAGGCATCTAGCAATACTCAAAATGAGTCTTACAACCTAAATATTGGGCTTTTTTAACAGGAGGGAACCATAAAAAAAAAAAAGTTGTTTTGGAAAAATGTTGTATTGTAACATACAAGTTACGGCCAGGCTTTTTTTCTCGGGTTTTTTTTTGTGACTTGTGTTGCATAAAAACACTTAATTCATTTTTTTTTTTCTCAAGTGTTTTTGTTTTAACTGTTTTTTTCCTTGTTTGGCGTGACAAACGTAGGTGTGGTGGGCCAAAGGCCCCCCGGATTGGTGGGAGAGCCGAAGACAAAGCCTGCGCTGCCCAGCCATTCCTGGGAGCTGCCCCTGAACGGACCGCTGCCCCACCCGGCACCGCTGGTTGACCCCACCTTTTCCATGGTGGGGGACACCTGCTCTGCCGGGACAGACCCCAAGCAGGAGATTGCCCCTGTGCTCAGAAGTGAGCAGCCCATTTGCTCATCTTTTAACGTAGTGTATATTTTTGGTGAGGGCAACTCTGTCAAGACAAAAACGTCGCAGAAACGAGGTCGGGTCACGTGACCTACGACGTCGTCAGTCATTAGACCCGGGGACGTCATTTCTGTATATGGTGCCACCGCTGCTGCAGTGTTTCCTCGCGACTGGCACCTCACTCCCATCCTGATCTTGATTTTTATGTAGAGTATATTTGCGACTCGACGAAAACATAAGATGCAAAAGCGTTGAGGAAATGATGTTGTCAGGGCACATGACCTACGACGTTATGAGTCACGAGACCTGGTGACGTCCTTTTCGTATAAAGTGCAATCCACTTATAACGATATCAGATACACTGATGTACTGCTTATAACGATCAGTTTCTAGAGTTTCTAGACTAGAAACACTCGGTTTCTAGTCCAGATACAGCAAAAAGTTGGTCTTAACTGTTGAATGTTCGGGGTTTCTTATTATTGTTATGAGTGGATTGCACTGTATGATGTCACCACTGCAGCAACGCTCTCACAGGTGTACCTTACTGCCATTGGCAGACATGAGCAATCATGTGACTATAGCGACAAGCCAACTGCGTTCCAGTCGGAAGTCGTGGTACAAGTCTCGGTACATAAGCGATCGTGCTACCAAGATTTGCCGACCCAAAAGCACATTTCTAAGTACGATCATTTCATTGAGTACGACCAAAGTTTTTGTGGCCAATGTTTTTAAGAGTAAACTTGGCAGTTCCATCAAGGCGGACCCCGAAGGACTCAACGCCGTCTTTCTGCCCGCAGACATGTGCGCCTCGTTTTCGCCCTCGGGACTGAGACTGCCGTCTACGGAGGGCGCGTTCTCGCCCTGGACCGCCGCACCACCGCGCCACCCGGGCTTTACGCCGTGGAGATCGCCGGCAACGTCGAGCAACGGCAGCGGCCACGCGCCGCCGGGGCTACCCGCCAAGCCGCAGTGGTCGCTGGCGCACGCCCACAGGAACGAACTGCCTGGTGTCACGGGTCGGTGGTCCTCGGGAGGGAACCAGCCGGCCTTCGGATCGTCGGAGTCTTTTGTGAGTGGAGCCTTTACACACGGAGCCCCGTTGTCCTTTGTTTTGTTGGTCGTCGCAGTGTTCTTGTTGTATTCAGATTAGAGCTGGAAGGGAGTGCTTGAAACTACGCTGATGGTCGTTTTTGGTTGCGTCTTGCGACAGGAGCGAGAGCTTGTACTTGCCTTTCTTGTGGCAGAAACATTTCAGTTCATTTTTTTGTCGTAGCGGGGTAAAAATAGAATGAAATTCTCTGGACGATTACGTTAAAGGGTGGTCGAACTGTGACCCGTGTTTGGGCTCGTTTTTCGTTATTTTCAAGCACTTCCATTATGGCGAGCCTGAGGCGTCATAAGGATGCGTACGAGTTGTAAATTATACTTCAACTTTTATTTGCTTGATAGTCAGTTTGTAGCAGAGTGTCGAACCGATATTTTTATCGGTTCGGTTCGGGTTCGGGTTCACGGCTTTCGGTTCAGTTCCGGTTCAGTTCCGGGGCGCAAAAATAACGGTTCAAACCGGTTCGAACCGGTTTGAACCGCTAAATTGAGAATATATTTTCTGCGTTGTTCTGTCAAGAGGCACTATTTAGGCCATGAAACTAACTGCTGTAAACAATCTGATTTTTGCGAGGACCTATTTTTGAGAATTTCGCAAATCGCCTACAATTCGCGAAAAATGGGTCCCGCGAACAATTTCGGTAAAATGTAAACAGATTGAAATTTATAGTGAGATTCCACCGCGTCGAGAAAATTACAACCCACGAATTATTCCAAAACTTCAGCTTTGACCTAAATCGCGAAATATTGAGCCCACGAAAAATAAGTCGTTTACAGTATATAGTTTTCTTTTTTTTATCGTTTGTTCAATCCAGTTTTATTTTCAGGTACAAAAATTATAAAATTCTGTTATTTATACCCACACAAAAGAAAGGAAAATCTCCATTAACATACCAAACGTCGTGTTTATACGACTCAACCTCCCTTCGTTTACCAGAGTCACATACATTGTACCTGAATCGAAATGTTTTCGCGAAGTGAAGTAGGTTGCCTAAAATACCCGTGACAGGTACAACTTTGTATCGCAGTATTAGATGTTGAATCGTGGTTTTGCCCTTGAACTAAGAAATTAATTACAGTGAATAAAATCAGAGAAATGGGCACCTCGTGGCCATATATACCATAAAATGTGTTTTACGGAATACATTTTACAATATATATATGACGACGAGACGACTGATCTTATGGCAATATAATTTTAAAAATGTCACGAAAGTCACGGGACAAGTCCTTCCACTCTATATTTTATAAAAACACTAAGCGACAATCGCAATGCTTGTTTTTTCTAACTAGCATTGTTTGCTCTCAGCACCATGATGCGGGCGACGAATCATGCGAAAAGGAGTGGCTGAAATTGTTCACTCTAACCTATGAGCACCTTCGTACTGAGATCGAATCTGACCTAAAACAGTGCTTACCCATGCAAACATTTTCTATATTGGATAAACTGGCATAGCCTGGTTCTGAGGTTTGCTCTTTGCAAAATGCCGGTCAATTTAATTTGCAAATAAGCATCACCCTCTCTAATTGATGATTTTTGTCAAATAGAACAAAGTGGGATTTCATGCTCTACTCAATTCGGAAGCTACTTAATTGGACACTTTCTGAGAGTTTAAGTGTGCAATCGCATTAGTTCCATCATTCGTTCCAGTAAAAAAAGGCGATAATAAAAACACATAGAAAACGCAATAATAAACTTCTATATATTTGAGAAGTTATATATGCGTGAGGAACACATATAGTTATTTAAATTAGCTTCAAAATAAAAATAACAACAACATTATTTAAAGCTTTTCCAAATCACCTATAACGTGTCTATAGAGGATAAAAGCGCCGAAAAAGATTTGCAGAACATCTTTCAGATATTTTAAAAGTGCATTTACATATATATCTTTGAGGTGAGGATCTTCTATTTATGCTGCCAAATCTTCAGACAGGAATTAAGTATATTTGTATTATCATCGATAAATTTGACTTTATGAAGTTCACATAACCGCCTGAGACCGACACGGAAGGACGATACTCGAAAATACGCCAGCTGTTGAGACTTCGGCAACGTGCTTTTGTTAGCTGTTTTGCAGTGTAAAATACTGGGTTGCAGGGTATGCCAAAAAACACTGTGGTCACATGATATATCGCAAGGCAAATACACGAAATGTGCAGAAATAAGGAGATGACACGCAATTTTTTCTAAATAATCCCTTACACAACGCTTTACTGCAAAAAGAGATGCATAGAAATGCATAAAATGATATTCCTAATTAAACATAAATTGCGCGAAGGGCAAACGAAGATTCTTAGAATCCTAATATAAATCACGTTTGGGCATTAGCTTGCCTCAGCTCGAAACGTCGCGAGATACTACTAATGTTATCTTAGGTTTTACGTGCACTTGTTTTGGGACCTTACTTCACGACTGTGTTCTTTATCAGTCATGTGCTGCAAGATTTCATTAGGCTGCCGTATATCATCGCGAGACTGCTATAAATACTACACAACTTTACACCTTGGACGTCTACTGCTAGTGTTGCGAACGTCGCACTTCACCAGAAAGCTGAAGTATTTAACATGGTTTGCACGTGACGTAATCGCACTAGATACTGGTTGTCATTGCGAGTTGTTCTTGCTGAGAATATCAAATCCGATGGGGCAAAATGCACGCTGCAAAATTTTCGCGCTCAGTGCAAGCTATGTATTTGAGAGGCACACATTTTTCTTGTTGGTGCATCGTCGTTAGACACGGCGCGAGTATCTGGCGCGGCGAAAACGTTCTTTCTGGCAAGAGTGTTTTTACAAATAAAAGTGTTACCAACTACCCATCTGTCACTATCGTTTCGAGGCCACGCTTTCTAGTCTGCGCCGAAAGTGCGCGGTAGAGGAATCTTTACGACACAGAATGCTTCAAAACTACCCCCCTCCCCACTCCCTTTTTTTTAGTTGCTCCTCAAGATACTTTTTATTCCTCAGGGATTGCCTGCTCCGTATTGAGTGGTGTTCACTCGACAATTATATTTGTGTCACTCGTTAACAGTAATTTTTTCTTGCTTTTACTTTGCACCAAACTGTGAAGGTTAAACAAACTACAGGGCGGTCGAAACTTGGAGAACTTGAGAACGACACTCCTGTGACACTTAGAGCGGCTGCCAACGTTTGGCTATCCCCGTGAGACCACTAGGATCTTTCTTTTCAGCTATCCCTCACGTACACACTAATAGTTCCATGTAACGTCGGACTAATACGTCACATTTAGACCCTTTAACACTTCTATTCTCGGTACAACTTTCTGAGGCAGTTCAGCAATAACGAAAACATGTTTGGGAGCCTCAATGGTGTGCATACATGTAAAATGGGCCGTGCAGCATTTTTTTTTACCTTCAGTTCAATAAATACCGCCAAGTTGTAATCCCTGACGTTGATAACTTGCAAAAGCATCCATTAGTTTGTTCCTCCGAGAAATGAGAGACAGTCGAAAGAAAGAAATGAAACAGCTTTCCCCTCCTCAACTCGCAATTAGAACTATCAGCCACGTGATCTGATCCTAATACATGCAGCGTCAGTGTTTATCATAGTCATAAGCAGGGTTGGCAAAGCGAAGCATGGGCTAATCTTCAGATATAGTTTTAGTTGGGCTATAATGGGGCCCGAGCCCCACTAAAGCGACAAACAGAAACAAACGACAGCGGCTAGCCTTAAACCAGAGTATTTCGCGATTTGACAGGCTTCGTAGAATAAAGAAGGCTATGCTTAAACACGAGTATCATGCACACGATGGTACCATTTGCAGGCTTGTAAACACTCCTGCTAACTTCGCGAGCACCGAACAACTCAAAGCCGTATAAACGTACCATCGCGAACATGCTGCATGTGTTTGAGGCTTGTCGCTTTCGTTTGCTTCTGCTTCTAGCTCTAGTGGGACTCGGGCCCATCATAATCTTTGAGTTAAACACGAGCCGTTACCCGAATGTTTGGCGATACTGATTGTCATGAACCAGAGCATTTGACTCGGGATCATGACAATCGGGTACATCATGGTGTCATGGGACTCTCAGTGCGAAGTTGTGATGTCATGTGACGTCACGGTATCAACAACGTTAATAGATCTAGCGACGTCCCCAATTTGAATCGACTTTACGCGGTGAGTCACGTGACGTCACGGGGTCACGTGATGTGACATTACTTGACAGCATGTCTTGACATTATGACGTCACGTGACGATGTGACACATGGCTATTCATAGTGCCGATAAGAAAGCGCCGCAAAAAACCAGGATTTATTATACATTGGAATTCTGTATATGACGATTTGATCAATACTTAGAGGAATTAACGTGCCAATTTTTTATTCCCAAATAATAAATTTGTAATTTTAACAAAAAAAAAATTACCGTGAACCGTTGTGAACCGGTTACCGTTATATTTTTTTCCGGTTCCGTTCCGGTTCAGTTCCAAGATGGCGGCGAATATTTCGGTTCGGTTCAGTTCCGGTTCGGCTAAAAATAACGGTTCTGTTCCGGTTTTCGGTTCGGTTCGGTTCCGGTTCGACACCCTGGTTTGTAGCGGCTATGAAAATAATTTGTGATATACACATATTTTTTAAAAATAAATGAACACAGAGAAACATCAGCCAATTTTCCTTATAAGAAGCGACAGAAAATTGCAGCCTAGCGATAGTCGAGTGTACCAGTGTCAATGTCTTTTACACTTCAAACTTTCAGGACAGCTACTGGGACTCCTCGTCGTCGAGCTCCGTGTGGGGCTCTCACTGGTGGAGTAGTCCGGCGAGCGGAGCCCTCTCTCCCGCCAGCCCCGTGGAGTCTCCGACGGACTCGATGGCCGACGTTGTTTCCTCCCTGGGCATAGACTCTCCCGACGCCAGCGTGGACCCGGCCGCCTGCTTCGACGTGAGTGCAACTGCACTTTCCCGTAGCCATCGATTGCTTGCCTGCAACGATTGGCGAATTTTTAGGGAATTTGTTGAGACTTGTCCCTTGTCCTGTGAAACTTCTCGGGAAGTTTGTGGATCTTTTTTTTTACCTAGGGAATTTTAGGGAAATTCGCAAAATGGTTTTTACTTTGGGAATTTTCAGGAAATTTTGAGGAGGTTTTCCTTTCCCCTGAAAAATTTTGCAAATAAATTTTAATAAAAACATTTTTGAAAAAAAAAAAAAAAAAAAAAAAAACGGAAGTTTTTTTTTAAATTTTGAGTCTTTTTTGGAAAAGTATCTTCCCCAGGGAAATATAGGAATACAGTTGAACCTCGATGTAACGAAGTCGGTAAAATTCGCAAATTACTTCGTTACATTGAAATTTCGCTAAATCGAAATTTGGCTTTAGTATGCGAAAAAAAAAAAAATTTCCCAAACATTTTACGGGTATGAAAACTCACCGAAAATGACATTTATTTAGGGGCAAAGTAGTCCGCGAGTTTTGCTTGCGCCTTGTCCGACAGTAGCAGCGGCGTCGGCGGCGTCATACGGCCATACGGCGTTCGAGCGCCCAGAGCGCTTGCACGGCATCTTGCTGCCCATGCGACGCCGTGTACCTCCTCAGTACGTCCATTGCGTCGAGCACTTCCCGAGTGCTCGTGATCTCGGCAGTTTCTTCAGGATGGCGTCCAAAACGTTTGCTTTCTCATCCAAAGAAAGAACTTTACGTTTCCTTATGGCAGCAAGCACGTGAGTGCACCGCCCGGTCGAAAAATAAAGCTGTTTAGTTTAGGCGGTGCCAATGTTTCCAACCTACACAGCACTCTTGCCTGCACAGTTTACTTGCCCCCTTGCGCCCACAGTGTGCTTGCGCCTTTGCTTTACATCACGGTCGCAAGACTATAATCGGTCTTTTCGGTCTGGCACTGCCCGTGCGGTCGCACCATCACGTCGCTCCCCCGCTGAAGTTGGCTCTTGCGCTACCCGCGGCACAGCGGTACTATGATGATCAGTGAATGTCAGTGGTGATGCTGTTACGCCGTGTTAACTTTTTGCTCGGCATTTTCTGGCCAGCCTCGCGGAATCCGCTTTGCCGCATGCCTCGCCGGCGCTACCGGCGCCGCATCCTCGGGCAGCCTAGGAACGTTGGAAGGCCTGTCCCCGTGAAGTAACCTATCAAGCGCTCGCGTTTGCGCATAATTTTTTTTTTTTAACCACAATTTTTTTGCGAAGTTGTTTTTTAGAGTTTATTTATTTATTGCCTTCTATGACAATGGCGCTTCGTTATATTGAAATAGCAGCAAAATAGACTTCGTTATATAGGGACTAGAGAGAGAAATTAGCATTTATTGAAAGGAAGACAGCGAGGTCAGCCAGCGCTTTGTGCCGGCTTGCTACGCTGTGAAAGAAGATGAAATTAAAAAAAGAAAAGGAAATAAAAAGAAATAGTATAGACAAAGATAGCAAAGATACGAAGAAAGAAGATAAAGAGATGAAAAGAAAAAAAAATGTGCACGCACACAATACACACACACATACAAACTCACAAAACTGTTATGTTGGCAAGTGCCAACATAACAAAACTGTTATGTTGGCAAGTGAAGGCAAGACTAAAAATACATGGGGTCTATGGGCAAGAAATTATGAAAAATAAAATACTTTGTTAAATCGAGGATTTCGTTACATTGAAGTTCGTTATATCGAGGTTCGACTGTATTCACCTTTTTTTCCCCTCGGGAATTTGGGGAAACAGTGTAAAAATGTAACCCTTTCCCATGAGTTTTTTTTTTTTTTTTTTCATGTTTGTATGAACGTAATTGTTCTTGGTGCACTTCAATCTGCATGGACCTGCCTCCCCTCCCCCCCTTTCCCCCCCCACCATGCCCTTATTGCGTCAATTACTTTGACACAGAGCACTGCTTATTTGAATAAATCTAATAAAACTATGTATGTGCTACATCGGGAGTTTGTGAGAATTGAATGAGCTTGCATGTGTGGCAAAACTAAAAATGGATATTGTGTTCTCCAGTAGTGTTTGTTACAACAGAGCCTTGTTATAAGTGAACCTGTGATAAAGGGGGGTGCACAGAGCTAGTTTCGATCTCTTGGTTCACGAATTTAGTAGTCTCGCCAAAGTGCTAGACTTCTAAGTGGCCTTATGGTTAAACGTGGCAACAGGCCTGTCCATTTTTAAATGGGTGGCATTTGTAGGGCTAGCTGTTTGCACCTACGTGTCTGTGGGATGTAACATCGATGGTGACATCACTGTTCATGTGAGGTCAACCACGACATCATCCCGTGAACACTGCGATGCCGTCAAAGTGTTCATATGACGTCATCAGTGTGACGATTATCGCATGCCATTATGGTGTTGCCTCGCACGACACCATGACGTTGGGTGACGTCAATGCATCACAAGGGACTTGGAAATGAGAAATGCTATATACCAGGGGTGGCCAAATCGCGGCTCTTCGCTGGTCCAAGTGCGGCTCGTTGTGCATCGCTCGTAAGGGAACCCCCCCCCCCCCCCCCCCCCCCCCCGCCCTCTCCTTCCGCCCTTTCCGCGTTTCCCAAGGATTTCAGAACAAAGAACAGCTTGTGGTTTGGCAGCCTTGTGCCCCCATACTTAAAGTCGAACCGCTTTTCACTTGTATGTTTCTTTAATTGTTCGAGGGAGTTTGCCGGACCCTAGGAGGAAAGGCATCAAGGACAGGGACTGTCGAACCATGCATGCACGTTGGCTTGAGGGCGAGGAAATGTTAAGTCTCGCGGCCTTTGTCACTCGCCGGTGATAGTTGTCCCCTTTAGATAAAGGATGCTCCCTACCGTTTCTTGTTGAAGGTCGCGGAAGCCCGAGTTGACATCATTCATAGCCTCCCCCCCCCCTCCCCCTCCCTCCCCGCGGCTCTTACAAGTTTCTTGATTTTGTTTGCGGCTCATAGGCCGGGTCAGCCTGGCCACCCCTGCTATATACTGTGAACAACGTATTTTTTGCGGGCTCAATATTTTGCAATTTAGGTAAAAGCTTAAATTTTGGGAATAATTCCCGGGTTCTAATTTTCACGACTCGTTGGGATCTCAATATAGATTCCAATGTGTCTACATTTTACCGGAATTGTTCGCAGGACCTATTTTTCGCAAATTGTAGGCGATTCGCGAAATTCGCGAAAATTAGGTCTTTGCGAAAATTAAGTTGTTTACAATATTTATGGTGCCTTTAAAATGTACCAAACACCAGCCATTTTTTTTTTTTTTCTTACAAGCAACATTTTTGTTTTTTGTAGTTGGCCAGTACCTCGAGCACAAACGGCAGCCTTTCGCGCAGCATCTGGGCCCATCCCACCTCGAGAGTTTCGCACCCCTGGAGCTACAGCCTCTTTCAAGAGGAGAAGACAGCCCCCGCCCGCTCGTCCCAGACCCCGCCCCTGGGATGGCAGGACAAAGAGACCCTGTGAAGACGCACCTCGGTTCCCTCGCTAAAACCTCGCACGCACATCCTCCCCTTTGATGTTGCGACCTTGGGACTACCTTGAACGTCCTTGAGCACCGTCGGAGGCCTAGAACAGTCCCCAAACGACGAATCACCGTCTAATCCCGGAGTTTTCGCTTTGGAACGTTTAAGTCAACGTTCTGTCGAGGCTGAGATGACCTTGCAACGACCTTAGAACGACCCCTGAGCGACGAACTGCAGTCTGGTCCCGACACGCTTAGGCCAACGTTCTGCCGGGACGGTCGACTCGCCGACAGTCTCTTTTGGAGTGTACCCAGTTCTTTCGTTAACTTATTCGTCGAGCCAGATGAAATGATCTTGCGTTTGCGTGCCCGTCTCGAAAGTCGTCAGGTTTTCTTCGGTCGCGTCTCGGCTGGAGAGACCCCTGTTGCGGTGTTGAGTCACGTTGCGCGGCCGTCCGTCGGCAAAAACGAAAGGTCTCAAACGTCTAGAGCGTCTTTTGTTATTGTTTTCAGAAGAATATTTATTTTATCTTCTTTGACTTCTAAGTCAGGGTTATGCCAAAATTTCGTGCATAGTATTTTATTTTTTTTTTTTGGCGTGTGTTTATTTCAGAATAAGCTTGTAGTGGCTTTTTAGGAGAAAAAAAAATCCTCGCAACAAAAGAAGAGATTTGCTGCTTTTTTTTTTTATGCCGTCGTCGTCGTTTCTTTGGACGGTTCGTCGCACAAGAAAGAACGCTTTTGCTGCGTCAAGCCTACTACTTAAAAACCGCATCGCTTGTGTCGTTTGCGGGCTTTTCGATGCGGGGGGCCGCCGTTGTTGGAAGCATAGGACCCAAACAGGGTCTGCTGTGTTCGTTAGACCACCAGTCCCTAGTTTTTTGTCTCGAGAAGAGTTGTCTTGGTTTTTTTCCCCTGGAAATGCTGCAGGTTGCCTAACCGGTACACACTGCCACCACCTGTGCGTGTGTGTGTGTGTGTGTTGTTTTAAGAAGTCCCCGGAAAGTTGAGAAAGAGGGCGACTTCTGAGAGAATTCAGAGGTGGGCTCCTAGGAATAAAGATCGGAGTGAGCTCTTGTATCTGTTTACTGTTGTTCATATATACAGGGAGTTCCCGAAAAAAGTGAGCAGTGTTTTTCAGCCCGGGTAAATAAATTATGCATCACAGAAAGTTCAAACTCTGTGAGAATGTGACGCTGGCAGTTGGGATAGAACGCGAAAGTTTCAAAACATGATGTTACCTTGATAAATTGATAATTGAGGAAAGCGAAATTTCTCTAGGAGCCGACATCCACCTAAGCGTAATATTGTTATAACAAGAAATGACACTGTAGGAGCATGTAGCATCTACAGGGTGTCACAAAAAAAAATTTACAGGTTTTTTTTTACCGCAAAAATAAACTAGGCATTGCCGAACACCCATCCTCCGCCCAAAGGTAGCGCTAGAGGTCACAACCAGATGCCAAAGTTTCAGCCCGAACAGACACCTTATTCAAAAGTTATAAGTGATTTTCTGAAAAGTTCAATGGGAAAATGGAACCCATTTTTGCCCGTTTTCGGTTTCTGGCGCCATAGAGCCCCATGTATTCGAAAACCTCCGTCAGCCGCCATTTTTCCAATGAACTTTTCAGAAAGTCACTTATAACTTTTGAATAAGGTATTGGATCAGGCTGAAACTTTAGCATCTGGTTGTGACCTCTAGCGCTACCTTTGGGTGGAGAACGAGCGTTCGGCAGTGCATAGTTTATTTTTGCAGTAAAAAAAACCCTGTAAATTTTTCTTTTTTGTGACACCCTGTATTTGTTAAAAGAAAGCTTCTCGGCAAGGAAGCGGATATTGTTTTCTTGCTGACAAGCTTTTTTTTTTTTTTTTCACTAAAATAGATGCAACATCCTCTAGACCCTGAGATGGGGAACTATAAAAAAACGGACGAAGACGACGAAATCTTGGAGATTTTGTTGACTTCGTCTGTTTTTTTATCGTTCCCCCATCTCGGGGGTCTACAAGATGTTGAATTATTACCAGCTCGCCTGCTCTCTATCACTGCTTACAATAGATACAGTGTCCTTTCTGATTTTGACGATATGGGGCTTAGCCGGACGTCGGCTCGTAGCGAAATTTCGTTTTTCTCAATTATCTTTTGATCCAGGTGACATCATGTTCTCAAACTTTCGTGTTCTATCCCTACTGCCAGCGTCACATTATCACGGAAGTCTATCTTTCTATGATGCTTATTAGTTTGTTTACCCGAGCCGAAAAACTCTGTTCTCGTTTTTCGGGAACTCCCCATACCTTTGTTTTCATGCACACTACAGTTGAGCTTTGGCATGCTTTGGCAGCACCGAAAGATGGGTGTAATTAAGCAGAATGTCTTCGAGAGAAGAGCAATTTCGGTAAACAAAGTAACGCAGGCACCTTTGCCGCCTCTTGATGTCGACCCACTTGATCGGCAGCGAGCATCGCTCTCTGCGCTCTTGCCCGAAACAGACATTGCCGATGTTGACGTCTCGTGTAGCCGACGACGCACTATTTTCTCGACAGCGGAGGCACTTTGAGCAGGCGCATTACACCTGTGGGCGGAGCGGACTCTACACGTATCCCGAACAAGGTTCCATCTGCCTGCTTGGAACGTCACAGTCGAGGCGCCGGATGGCTTCTTCCTCGATCGACGAGGAGAGAATCGCACATTTCAAGATGTATAAAATTGATTGGCTTCTAGATCTTAATTATTGTGAAACACCACTGCAGGTTGCCTTTTGCGGTCCTTTGGTTCGACTTTGGGTAGAACCGGTATGATTGGCACAGTGCCGGTGACTAACCACGTGTCCAAGCTTTCAGTGTTTGTAGAATCCTGCCCCCGCAGCGTACATTTCCGCCGGCATCTCTGGTATGTTGTAATGCCCCACAAACATCCAACGAATGTCTGTAGGACCACCCGCTCACTCAGATGTAGGTCTGCATTCTGGACTTGTGAATGCCTAGGGGCTGTGGGCACTGTCTTGCTACTTTGCAGTTCAGTCGCACTTGGAGGCAGCAATCCGGATAAACAATAGTCGTGATCAAATCACACCTTTAACATGTCCATGCCGGGCCAACCTTTGATGTAACATAAGAATGCTGAAATACGGTCTGTGTGCAGACAACCTGGTGGAAGTTTACCACAATGGCAAGGCCTGTCCCAGTTTTTTTTTTTTTTCCACTCAAAATTATTTGTTGCTGCCGCAATCTTGGGTTAAATTCACTGTGATAAGAATGCTTCCAGGCATCAAATGATTACAAATAAATATTTTTGCTTTTAGAATCTGAATGTGCACCTGTCCATCAAAAGCATATCTGAGATGAATGGGTTACGAATTAGTGTGCCTGGATTTGAGAGGTTGCAACAGGTCGATTGGGGTTGCGAGGGCCCTTCAACTTTGCTGTCCCCTTACCCTTGCTGTGGGACAACGCACGCATTAACAAGCTGGGCAAAGAGGTAGGGTGCCTACATGTCTGTCTCAGGGTCACGGTGGAAGAAACGCGTTTAGGTGATGCCACTAGCCACTCTTTCCGCGGGGAGCGAGCAAGCAGATTGTGTTTGGAGCTAGCCTCGAACCAGGAGTAGTTAGTTCCGCACCGCCGCGGAGGGTGCTGAGGTATGAGGTCCCTCCTCGGCGGCCGCAGTGTCGGCGGTGTAGCGTGCTTGCCTTTTTCGTGGTGTGGTGGTGGTATGCGGCCAGTGGCTGGCCTCGTGTTTTGCTCGGTGCTGTGTCGATCACAGGTGCCACCATCGTACACGAAGGTGAGCCTTAACCCGAAGAAGGAAGAGAACACATTTTTACGGACTCTGGCGGCGGTGAAGTACAACAAGGAGCGGTGTGGGAGGGAGTGCTACGAACAAGCTTTTACACGGTCTCGTCCCCCAGCGACGTTGAGGAGTATAGCGCGTCAACTGGTGTCCTGTAAGTTTCACCTCTGATGTTCAGAAAACTATGCCCGAGAGTGGCAGCCGTCTACCAAGACTGGGCCACATCCTGTAGCATGGTAACACCACCAATCTGCCGGGGCTTCCCAGCCCCTACGCACGGTGAAGCCACCGAACACCACCCGGGTTGCCCGGACGCTTTCCCGGGTTCAGCCATACTTGAGACCAGTTGAAATAGAAACGTCCCAGCGAGCAACTCGCTAAACAACATTGGACCCACATCACCCGTAACATCATCCCGCCACCCTCGCCGACAAGCTCCATTTCAACATCTTCAGCACCTCTCTGTCATCTGTACACAATCTCATCCCATCGTCCTTAGATGCGGCGCCGCAGGCCTTCCTGGTATGGGCTACTTGCCTTTCTGCGGCACCGCGGTTCTCCTGAGCCAAAATAAATATTATTATTATTATTATTATTAATGGCGGGACCACTGTTGGGAGAAACAACCAGAGCGGTCGGTTTGGGAGGGACCCATTCTTGGGCGCCACCTATCCTTGTGCGAGTGAAGCGCGTTCGGTACGCCGAACATAATGTGGCCGCCGCGTCGGACAGAGAGTTGTCACCTAAATGTGTTTCTTCCACCGATACAACAAGAATCGGTGAGCGAGAGAATGCAGGACCACCGCTGAGAGAAACAACTGGTGCGGTCGGTTTGGGAGGGACCCCATACTTGGGCGCCATCTATCCCCATGCAAGTGAAGTGCTCGGTGCGCCGAACATAATGTGGCTGCCGCGTCGGACAGAGAGTCGTCGCATAAATGTGTTTCTTCCACCGTGCTCGAGGCGACGACATCTTTTGTCGCACTGAGTGGGCCAGCGCATTACGTGCTGGCGCACTCTGACTAACTCAGGCTGAGACTACACTACACTGTACTGAGACTCTGTGTGACAGGCATCTATGGCTCGAGCTAAATCGCACAAAATTGCGCGCACATCAAAAGAAACAGAAAAAAAAAAAAAAAAAACGATCTGGAGCGGAAAAGGGCTGAGATGTCACCACTGTGGATGTCGCCACTGAGCAACGTTGCCATTGAAGCAGAAGCGCGTGTGTGGTGTGTGCGTCAACTTGGTGGTGTGTGAAGAAGTTTTCCGACTTTACCTTTCGCTTTCTCTTTGCTGCTCTCTGTCATGAATGAAGGAATGAGCGGCGACGGCTGCGAGATCGTGTCAGTCGGATTCAGCGATAAGCGAAAACTAATATTTTATATATTTTTTACTACTTCTGTTACAATTTTATTGGATTTAGATTACTCTGTCGAATAACGCTCGGAGGCCACTCGACCGCAGCTCGACCGGCGACCATCGCGTCTTCAAGCGGGCTTTTTTGAAAGCTAACATATCCGCCGCGACATTCGGCGATTTTGTCAATTTTGTTCCGCCGGCGGCTGCTGTGTTGTTCTTGTGCCACCGCTTCCTGGCTTTGATCGCTGGCTCGGTGCCCGATTTAATCACCCGATTACAGCATTCCCTTTATTTTTAGCCATCGACGCGCGCTGCACCACATGATCCACGTTTCGGTGAGTGGAACACAAACCAGAGCAGCCGGCGTAACCGCCCACCAAGGACGTTACAGGCGTGCTTACAACAGGCTCGCGCCTTGGCCATTTTTTTTGTGTGGGACCATTGTAAGCCGAAACCACTTCCTCTGAACTCTTGTTTTTGAAATATTATTCAGCTATCGGGTATTGTGCTTTTCCGGAACAGGGAAGGCTAGAGGGAGAGATAGCAAATAGGTAAACAAACCCAGCAAACGCCTCTCGTAGGCTTCGAAAACGCTCAGAAATGTAGGGTAGTTGCGACCTAACATTTATTTTATAACCAACTCCGACAGCTATGGGTATTAAAACTATTTTATAGGAGAGGTTAGCTAATTCCTCTTTTTCTCTCCCCCTCCTCCCCCTTATTCCCAGGTTCTGTAGTAGCCCCAGCGTAAAGGAATTTTTCTCCTCTTGGAGCTTTCGGAAATCTGTGTCCTGCTGTCCTCCTTGTCCCCACTCTCCAGAGTTAAAATAACGTTTCTCCTCTTGGTAGCTTTCACAGTGGTTCTGGACGCGCGGCATGCGCCATGGGTCCGCGGGAGGAAATAGTAATCTAAGGTAAAAAAAAAAAATATTAGCCTCACCGATGCTGTTTCACTTTCCAAAAGCCGATGCCTCTTCCATTCTGCTCGAAGAGTTCCATTGAGCAAAAGTCTGAGAACTGTTTCATGGTCCGTGCAAAAATTCCCGCTTTATTCACAGTACATTGCAATCACCAAGGTTACCGCACATAAAAAAATTAAAAAAAAAGTTTTGTGGTATTTTTAAAATTACATTTCCTTTTCTATCCCTCCAACCCCACTGAATAGGAACTTAGAATATACCCCTCACGTTCAGAAATAAGTTGGAGATGAACTCTATTCACTAGTGACAGTCATGCTTGTAATTTGAATAGATGGCTATATTTTTGTTCTAAAGAACCGACTCCAGCGAGCAGTCGAATATCAGGCATTGGGGAGTGCGATGCATCCCGGTAGACGTGACGTCAACTGGCCCAGCACCGGCAAAGCTGCTTGGGGGCTGGCGTGGTTATGAGCTTCGCCACTGGGTGTCGTCAACACGTTACAACCTGGCCATTTTTAGTTGCCCCTCCCTGTTCCATGCAAGAGTTGAATAGGTCGGGAGAGAAGAGAAATTCGGTTCGACGGGGCTTGCGTGCACGCAGCTTATCGCCGTACTTTCGCAGAACGTCGTTGCTCTTAAAGGGCCCCTGAAAATAAAAAAAAAATCATGTTTTTTCTAAACAGTCTGGTTGGGACACACGTATCAAAAAATAGAATTTAAGCATAAAAAAAAATGTTTTGTTTAGAGCAATATTGATGGCGAGAGATTTATTTAAAATTTTGCGCGCAAAGTCCATGACGTCATGGAATGGTCATTCGCTCAACGAGATAGTCATGCGGTCTTTCCATCTCAACGTGAAAGCGAAGCCGATCCACCTCTCCTCCATGCCCTCGAAATGCTGAGAGAAAAAAAACAAGTGAAAAGGAGGTGACTACCAACTCAATCGCGTCTCACGCCGTCAATATATCTCTAAAAAACTTGTTTTTTCGTGTAAAATAATTTTTTGACATGTGTGTCCCAACCGCACTGTTTAAAAAAATCTTTCTTTTCCTTTTCAGGGGCCCTTTAAGAGGGTCGGTTTATTCTTTTTAAAGAATGTTTTAGTGTTTTTTCGAGCCAAAAAAAATTGGTGTCTCTGTGGTGTGGCCAGGACGTAGTTGACATGTAGACAATAAAATAGGAGCAAGAATTTTGTTACAGTATTCCTTTAAAGGGATGGTGAATCGAAATTTGGATTTCAGAAAAACAATGCTGGAGACGTAGGCGGGACGCTACAATCCCTACAACACTACTAGTAAGGCGATATCTCAAATGGACGGCCGTATTTTTGGAAAAGGGAGTCGAGATTGAACCAGGCCGACGAGGCGCGCGACGTCAAGATACCGAGTTTCCTCCTCTCTTCGCTTCGCTCCCTTAAGGCCGCGAGGCGGAGAAGACATGAGGCCATTCCCTCTCCTTCTCGAAGAAACATGACGTCAACATTCCTGCCAAATGCGCCTCTTTTTTTTTTTTAAATACGGTCATCCGTTCAAGATATCGCTGTATGAGTGATGTTTTGGTGTTTGTAGCATCCCGTTGCACACTTTTGCCGCACGTTATGGGGAATCCAGATTTCGGTTCAGCATCCCTTTAACTGGTCTGAGTTGACTCTCGCTTGTTTGCCAACTGGAAATTATCAGACCTGCTGTCTCTCAATAGATCCCTTGCAAAGCGTAACGCCGAAAGGAATGCCGGGAACTGAAGGTACGACCGGTTATGGCAGATAACCAAGGCGACCTTGAAAACGACATAGAGCGGGCGTAGGCAGGCGAATAACTGCGCCACGCTCTCGCTCTCTTCAGTGTCACGGGGGAGGCAAAGAGGAGTGTACAGGCCTTCATGTGTGGCATTTTAGGATCTTTGCAAAAGGTCTCTTGGAAATGGCTATGACCAAGTGACCCCTCAACTGGCTTGATTGATCCCCAGTTGGGACCAGTTTGCCTCAGTTGAAAGCACTTAAGGCTCCAACTGGTCTCAGTTTATCGCAAGCTCCGGTTATCAAAATCGTTTGATGGTCCCTTTGAAATCTCTCGGTGCAGTGAACCCTTGTTTGGCAGCCCACGAGCGCCGCTTCCCTGAAGGCAGCGATCCCACGCCCGCTCCGAAAGCAGACGTGATGGATGCCCTGCGCAAGAACCACGACGAGGCCTTCCTCTACGTGGCACAGGGCCTGAGCTACGAGGAACGCGGCGAGCACGCGCTGGCGGCCGAGATGTACCAGAAGGGACTGGAAAGACTCGACACGGCCCTCGGCGTTCGGGCTGAGCTTCCGGATTGCGAGGGGCCCCAGTGGGATGAAGTCCGCACGCTACAGCGTAAGATGTGCAGCATCAGGAACGAGGTGGAGTTCCGGCTGCAAGCCATAGCCGAAGCCGGCAGCACCGACGCGCTGTTTGCCGACAGGCCGCCGAGTTACGACGAAGCGGTTGGCGGGACGCAGCAGCAGCAGCTTGACAGGAATCGAGGTCACTACAGGGACGCCGAAGTACTGCTCAGCATCGACGGTGGAGTTCAGGTATTCTGGGTTTCTTTTCGTACGTGTTTTGTCGGAGCTGGGGGAAGGTCTGGTGAGGTTGGCTGGTCGCTGCGGATGTCGGAACCGGGGGGCAAAAATAGCCCTAAGAGGGATTTTATGCATTCGCATAGCTTAGGCCGTAGACTTTCTGGTTTTAACCGAAAAACACCGATAAACATGCGTTGGTGTCAGTACAAAATCGCTTAAAATTGTAAAACACCAATAAACGGCGGTTGGCATCAAAAATACATGCTCGATTAAAACCGAAATGCACTGATTTCTTGGAAGTTTCGCTCCCGTTTAGACTCCTCTTTTAGACTTCAACTCTTAGTTTTTCATGAGATTTTCTCACCAATAATCTCAATTTCTAGCGTCGTCCGAAACATATAACCAAAATACATTAATACGAAATATGAATAAACAACAGTTGCGAGTGCACCTAGCGTTCTCACCTCTTCTTGGTCCTTGTAGTTTTTTCGGCAATGTTATATTTTTTAAGCTTCAGCAGCCAAGAGTTGGTGCACCGCAATGACGGCCACACTCGCATTCGCTCGCGCTTTTTACCAGGCCTTCTAGCCCCGACCGACGACATGACACGCCGGCTTCTGTGACGTCATTCGTTGCTGCTTCGGGACCTGGCGTGTGGGCGGGATGGGACGCTAAACACACCAGTCATAGACGCGTTTCGGGCAGTGCAGTCAAAACGGCGGAAAATACAGCGTGGAGCCGACGGACGTTGTTACAATCGTCGTCTGCTCGAGCCCCTGCCCGACCCTCGATTCTAGATGTTCTACGTGTCCGCCGACGGTGCCGTTACTTCGCCACCGGCGTCCACGGATCTGCGAGTGTACCGCTTCGCAAGCAGGCCGGACGCGAGGTCCGACAGTGGGCCCAGCGTTCCCCCTGCCTGGCTCCAGGTGGGGACGTGGATCTACCCTCTGGTACCAAACGAATCTCCAGCGCTGCGGTCCGCCTACGGAGCGTACCTCTTCCCAGACGTGGACTCCTCCAGGGAGGCTGGTGAGTCAGCGACTTTTGAGCTGGGGTCGTCATTTATTTTCCTCAAGGACCTGCGAGGGGTTTTGCACGAGAGAGGGGGCATACGCGTAAGTATATAAATATTTAAGAAAAATTATGAACGCAGCATTAAAACATTAATTAAATTTGAGGGGAATGATGTCGCATGACAGTGTGACGTCGGGTGATGGGGTCACGTGGTTTTACATCGTGCGAGACTGTTACGTCATGTGAAACTGACGTCATTCGAGACTGATGTAAGCTGAGACTGACGTCACGTGAGACTGACATCACGTGAAACTGTGGCGTCTTGTGAGACTGACGTCACATGACACTATGATATCATGTGAGACTAACGTCATATGAGATAGTGACGTCACATGAGATAGTGACGTCACATGAGACTGACATCATGTGAGACTGTGATGTCATTTGAGACTGTGACGTCATGTGAGACAAACGTCACGTGAGGCTGTGACATCATGTGAGACTGTGACGTCATGTTAGACTGGCATCACGTGAGACTGACGTCATGTGCGACTGTGACTTGATGTCAGTGTGAAACTCGCTGTGACATGATGCCAGTGTGTGACTTACATTATGTCAGTGTGAGGCTGACATCACGTGACACTGTGACATTATGCGAGACTGTGACACGACGTGACATGGCGACGTTCTGTGCAGGTGCCACGGTGGGCATCCTGCTACCCTCTGATCTCTCTCCCGAGATGCACGCTGTGTTCGAGTCGCTGATGGAGGACCTGACGGCCATGAAGATTCAGAGCATCGTGCTGCGCGGAGAGACCAGGAATCTGGAGGCCCTCTCCGAGCCGGTCAGGGTTCGGAGGGACCTAAGGTTCAGCCAGAAGATCTCTGACGGCATCGTCTCAGGTGTGGCTGGAGGAGCTCTTGCGTCCTCCTTCTTTTCTGCCGCCTCAGTGTCTCCGAGGCAAAGCGCCGGCCCATGACACCCCGATTGGCAAGTTCGAATTCCGGACGAGGTTGCCACAGTCTGGCGGAGCCACGTTGTAGAGAAGTTAAAGTGTAACCAAGATTTCGATCGCGTGTCTAAAGATCCCCAGGTGGTTAAAATTAATCTTGCGTTCTCCGCTGCAGCGTGCCAGATGCCTTTCGTTGGTTTTGCATGTAAATCCCACATACCTGACTTTATCAGGCGTCCTTTCTTCCGCAAATGCCCTCAACTGTGCTCTGTTTCACCTTACGATAGACCGCAGTGGAAGCTACGAGCCATCCCAGCCAATCCGACGTTGTGAACGTATCGCGTGACTATGAGTCTCACACGTCTCTGCGCCTCTCCCGTCACGTGACGCCCACATTGCAGCAGATTGGCTAGATGACTCGTAGCGTCCACTGTGGCTCTTCGTAAAGTGAATCGAGGTATGATCCAATGCAGGTTTGAAATAGCGGGGCAAGGCCCTCTCACAGAGTTCTCCGCTCGCAACGACTGGTTGTTCTCTCCCCTTCAGCATTCGCGCCGCTGAAGTGGAGAGGGTGGAGGGCTTTTTGAGAGGAGCTTGTCCTGCTCTTCCTAACCTTCAACAGGCCATAGTCGCTGGCATAAGGACACCGGTAGTTTTCCACCTAATGACGTCGTAGAAGTGCCACGCTGTTGCCAGTCGAAATCCTGGCAGTGTCCCAGCAGCGGTGGTGGATGTGGCAGACGCCGGTTCTGCTGCAGGTCGCTCTCCAGCCCAACAGTCCACGGAAGTTTCGACAGTCCGGAGTGGGGACGCCACGACGACGAAACCCTCGCTTTCGCTCGTGCTTTTCGTCAGAACTTGTGCGATCAACCAGTGGGATCACAACATTTGAAAGCAGGACGCTTCGGCTTTTGAGACGTCATTTGTTGCCACTTCGGGGCCACATTCGGGGCACGGGTGGAATGCGTAGCGCAAGTTCATCTGCCTCTTTCGTAGGAATTGCGGTGACGTCAGAACGCCGAGTTTTGATTGGCTCTGATTGGAAGGATAGTGGGTAGACCTCGATGCTAGCTACCTTGAGGTCTGCCCACTATCCTTTCAATCGAGCCAATCGGAGCTCGGCATTCTGACGTCACCGCAACCCCCTGCACAAGTAGCAGACAAACTTACGCACCGCATAGGACGCTAAACACACCAGTCAGAGACGCGTCACAGGTGTCGTAACGCTGCGAAAAGCGGCAGTTTGGACAAGTTGGAAGTGCATGCGAAACAAACGAAGGCTCTGTTTGTGTTTGGCCGCAGGTTCCGAGATGCTTTCCAAAGGTCTTAACAGGGGCGCGGTGCTGACGAGCGAGGCCCTGCGCATGGGGGCGGTGCGGCTGAAGCAGTACCTGCAGCCCTCTGCGGGCCCGGTCCCAGTCGACCCCCGCATCAAGCAGGGAATGGAGCTCCTGCGCAACGTCACGGGCTCTGTCCGCGGGGTCAGTGAGGTCGTGGGTGAGTGAGCCGGGCACGTTGTGCTCATTTAAAGTTGATGAATCTGCAGAAAGGAGGAAAACCCTTCTCTTTTCTGCGTGGAGCGGCTCCTGGACTTGATCTTGTTGGGTGTGGGGAAAGAAAGAGCCAACACCTCCTGGATGAAAACCTGTAGTGCTGAATTTTTGGCGTCGCCTAGAGGGAAGGCTAACGCAGGGCACAGATTGGATGCGAGTGCTGCGTCGGCGTTCAGCTGGGACTCCTCTTACACCCACAAAGACACGTGTCCCAACCGAACGCTGATGCGGCACTCACGTTTAATCTGTACCTTGCATTGGCCTCTGTTGGCTAACATAGAAATCCTGCACTGCGGCCTTGATATCTAGGAAGCAGTAACGTAGCCTGAAATTTTATAGCGATAGCTGTTATGGCCTCTTTACACGACTTGAAATGACGTCCGTTGTTGGTGTTGTAGTAGTTGTAGACGTCGTTGATGTTGTAGTGGGCGTCCGTCGTCGGTGTTGCAAAATCCGTCAAAAAAGATAGACCGCCGCCGCTGTTGACGGGAATCGAACCCGGGTCCACTGCCTGCATAGCGGAGACGTTACCACTGAGTTAAGACACACCGTTCATAACCTGCTCTATGCTTCGGGTTTTTGTACTACCCGATGCCCACTGCACACGCTCTCTGGAAAAAACAGCCTATAACAAACTGCCATCGCAGCACTGTCAATGCCAAGAGCTCGTGCCGGAAGACACACTTTCATGCACTCCAAAACAAAAAAAAAACAGAAGCGTTCGGAGTTTGTAGTGCCAGATGCTCACTGCACGTGCTCTCTGAAAAAAGTCAAAGAAATAACTAATAAAAATTGCCGTCGTAGCACTGTCAGTGCCAAGAGCTCGTGCCGGGAGACGCGTGTTTGCGCGCTCCGAAGCAAAAAAGAGGCAAAAGTGTTCAGAACAAAATGGTCAATGCCTATTTTGTTCCAATTGATTTTGTTCGTGCATCCCACCGTCCGTGAACGCGACGCCAATGCTCAACGACTTCGGTGTGACATGTCGCAGCTCTCACTGTGACTGTACTGTAGACTAACACAAGACTGCTAGTTTTTCTTTTTTGGGAGTGGGGGGTGGGGGGGTTAAAATTTATGTGTATAGTAAGGTCGGCTGGATTTCAAGGAGGAGGCTGCAGCTCTGGAAGCCTTTTTCACTGCTGGGAGATCTGTAGAGAACACAAGTAGGAGTGAAGAGAAGGACATTGGGGCAGGGTTGTCTGCACGGCAGAAAGCACCGCCTTCTTGTTGGCCTTTAGGGTGCCCAGACATGGTTCCTTACACAATTTCTCACAACAGCAAAAGCCAATAAAAAATATTGAGGTACACCTGAGCATTTCTTTCGAGTTGTGAATGCGAAAGCACGCAAGCTGCTCGTCCGCTCCCTTTTTCGTCTGCTGCATACTTTTCGTTGCTGGTCAACGCGTGTGCTCCCCTGGGCATGGTGACCTTGGACGCTCCGTGCCCAGGGGAGCAACGGCGCGCTAATGGACACGCAGCGCCATGGGGTGAGCGGTCATGGAAACTAAAGAGCGCAGCGGCCAATGGGAGCCCCGTCGACGCGCGCCAGCCGATGGAATTGAAGGATCAGGAAAACTAGGTGCCGTTTTCACGCTTCAGACTGATGACATCAGCTCATTCCCTGAGACAGTTAATGCTTTCGCATTAAAAGAATTCAAGAAATGCATGCTTGTGTAACATTTGGACATTGACTGACGTTTCCCCGAGAGACTTGGAGCAGAGCTTCTTGTTGTATTGAGGTCTCTAAGCAGTAAAAATCATGATGGGAGCTTTTGAATTCCCTGTGGCATTCCTTTATAAAAGAAAACACCCTATTTGTTCACCCTAGCCTACAATAGTGAAAAAAACCTCCTACTTGCATGTTTTTCATGCCAACCTCTATTAAAGGGGCTCCCAATCTTTAGATCTCCAAGAAAGCATCTTTCGCTCGAATCATAGCTGAAGAGCCCTCCTCGTTCTTTTCATCGATTCAATAAAGCAGAGCAAAAGCTTGCAGGGCCTGTAAACAATAATGTGCGTACTAGAGATTGTGTCTGACTCATAGTTACGCAGTGACGGGAGGTTCAGATCTGCGAAAATAATGCTTACACTGGAAAAACATGTTACCCGGGGGCAGAGACGGGCGAGGAAATTTGGGGGCTCGGGGAAACCACGAGGTCGTCCCGGCCAGGGCACAAGGGTGCCCTGGCCGAACCCCTCGATTCCCAGGAGCCCAATATGCGAAGCCAGCCTCTTTGAGAGTGCATGCCTGTTGTGTGTTTTGTGTCCAGTGAACAAGGTGGGAGACCTTGCTGTGGCCTTGGGTCAGCGCGTCGCCAAGAACGTGGCCTGCGAGGGCTGCGTCGCCACAACGAGCGGCGCCGGCGCCGGTGGCACCATGAACGACGTCTTCGTCATAGCCTCGGGCGGCGTGAGGGGTGAGCGTCTCTCAAACCGAGACTTCGGCGCCGTGTGCCTGGCTTTCCTCGCCCTCACCCTTAATTCAGAGATTTCAAAATTTTGGTTGTCCCGCCATGTTTTCAATGTATTAAAGGGCAACTCTGGTCAATATTTTTTTTTAATTTGGGGTTACGACCTTTTTTATTTAATGCAGTGTCTCTAAATTACATAGTATAATTTTTTTCTCAATATTGTGTGTAGTTTTATAAATATTGTGGCTCGAAGTTTGGTTTCGGGCATCTATGGCAAAACTGAAACTATCTGCTAGAGCAGTGGTTCTCAAATGAAGGTCCGCGAAGCCCTGTCTCATCAGTCTTTTTGACTTTTTGAGGACTTTTTGAGGCTTGCTGGGGTTCCCTAGCATGAAAAAGTTTGAGAACCCCTGTACTAAAGGGTTGAATGGGTTTGGCAGTTTTGCGAGCTTCTGCCTTCATAGCATTGCTTCCTTTGGGGTCATTATTGTATTTTAAGACTTTTTTGCAGCACAGACTACCGAACAGAAAGTGACTCTTTTGGTTCTAGTCTAGCCTTGGCAGGCTGGTACACAGACCTGCGCATTTTACAAGAAGGTTTGCGAGTTTGTGAGAATGACTTGTGATGAAGATCACAGACTGGTTACTACGAGTGTTATAGATGCGGGCCTTACATCCTTTCCAACTAGGGTGACCAGACGTCCCGTTTTGAGCGGGACAGTCCTGTTTTAGAGGTTCATTTACATTGTCTCATCACTTTGCCTCGAAAAGCCCCATGTCTCACTTTCGCAGGAATGTGTGGTTGAGAAATTGCTACTAAGTGAAGGGAAGAAAACCGAAGGAATGTTTATTTTCTCATAAGGTAATTTTATAAAAATAAACATACTACTATATACAGCACAATTTCCAGCTCTTTCCCTCGTTGCATCTGCCCATAAGTCTGTTAGACTTTTCTCGTAGTGCTACCGAGTTTGACATGTGAGTTTGGGAACAATGAAACAGTGACGAAAGTCACTTTGTGCGTTTCTGTGTGTTTCTACGCTCAATGTGCGTTTCTGCGCACAGTCTTGCAGCCTACGCTGCAAGCTGACAAACCGATCAGACAGCGTCAAGAGCATACCATCGGGGTGTTCATCGTGCTTTTGTATGTATTCTACCATCGCCGAACCAATATCGTAAACAGAAAAGGCTTAGTGACTTGCATCTTTTGACGCTGCTTTATTGGTGCCATTAACTCGTAGCTTCGGCTGCATCTGGACTTAAGTTGAAACAAAGTATAGTAGCACGCTCGTTTTTAGCCCCCTTGCCCCCAAAACCCGAGTGTCCCGTTTTCTACTTCGAGGATTATGGTCACCCTGTTTTAAACAGATGTGGGATGATGGATACCAGCAGATTGATCTCACCAGCCAGTTTAGCTGCACTGCCAGTGCTCCAATGCATCGGGGGAACTTTAGTCTTTTTGCACAAGTGACAACCTTGCTGCTGTTCTGTGTGCGCTGAGCACAAGATTGTACAGGCATTCTTGTTCTCTGCCACTTGCCCGGGGACCAACGTTATGGCGGCGTCGCGCGTACGCCGAACGCTTGGCGAGATCGGTCTGTTGATTTGAGCTTCTGCCTCCTCCCAGGTGTCTCGACGCTCTACATGGGCTTGGAGAATGCGGCCAAGACTTTGGCCTCGAGTCTCGCCAATGAGACAGTTCAGATCGTGGGTCACAAGTAAGGGTGCCCCTTTTGTTCTCTTTATTCTTGCATCTTGCCTTGCCTCCTCTTTTGAATGCCCCCCCCCCCCCCTTTTTTTTTTGTAATTCTAGAAAAGGAGTGTCACTCAGATTTCCTTTCTTAGTTTAACTCGGCATTGGTCTGAATTTAACCTTGGGGTTCTTTTGGTGCTCGTATGAAAGAATAATGAGCATAAAGGTCTAATTGCTTTAGTTTAAGTGTTTTGCTTATTGATTTCTGAAGTGATTTCGGTTAAGATTTTAATTTTTTATTGTAGGTGACAGGTATTGGTTCATTTGCATCTAAGCATGGATAATTAAAACTTAAAATAAATGCCCAAGTGCGAAAATGATTGCAGGCACTTGTTTTTTTGTTAAGACTTTGCTGTGTGTCGCAGCAGGTGATCCTGGCGGTACTCTAACAAAGCATCTTTAGGTACACTAACTGTTCAGTGAACTTGACCTTCACTGTTCTTCCATTGAAGTTCAAAAATCCATGCCTATTTTCACATCACCACAGCACGTCCCAAAACTTACACCAACGTGCTCGAACGAGCGGAGCAGTCAAAATGGAGTAACAGTCACTAGCTAGCCTGTTGCCACAATAATTTTCGGGACAGAAACGGAGATTAATTGTCGTTGCTTCTGGCGCCGCGCTTCTAGAAACTTTGCCTGGTGTCGTTACTGCGGCATATAAAGACGCCATGGATGGATGCGTATGGCCAAACCCTTACAATGGGGCGGCGGCTTGCGCCACCTAGCCAGCGTTTTAGAGCGCAGATCTTAGGCGCTCGTTCCCGTGTTTCATGGTGTCGCTGTCAGCGTAGCTGTGTGCATTGCATTATGGGACAACATAGACTTCTACACCAAATCAATTCCCCGCTAAATTTAGCAAAGAAATAGAATTGGTGTGTGGGCCTGTGACATCCCATAGTGCAACACCGCGCATTCAGTTTCCCCACTAAATTTAGCGGTAAACCTGACGTCACATGACCTAAACACCAATTCAGTTTCCCCGCTAAATTTAGCGGGGGAATTGAATTGGTGTTGATGTGACGTGGCGTCATACATAAATCAACCTTAATATACTTCATTATTCATAAAAATCCTTCACGTCTTGTCACAATGAACGGTTTAGAAAAAAAAACAAATCCTTGTAGATAATCCGCTTCGGGTAAAATATCAACTTTTAAACATGTATAGTCCACGGACTAGAGTCCAGAAAATGCAGTACTTTTGAATAATTAACTTTATAGTTAGTAAATGTATGGGTATGGTTTCAATCAGAAACTTGCCAAGGACCATAAAAACCACTAAATCAGCTCATTTTAGAAGTATAGAAGGCACGTACAATATTTTACAGCGTTCAAAAAAAGATTCTCAGTTTGGGTGTGCTTTGGCTTCTCATCGGAGCGCATGTTACAGTTTCGCCTCCCTTGTAGAGGGGGAGCGTTGTGTCGGAATGCCATAAAATGCTGTATGTGCCTTTTATTCTATTTCTGAAATTAAATTTATTGGTTTTGGATGATCCTCAGCAAGTTTCTAATTGAAACCATACCTAAAAATTCACTAATTAAGAAAGTCAATTGTTCTAGAGTAATTAAATAAGTAATTTTCTGAACGGTATTAGTTTTCCCAAATGGGCCCTTTTGGCAGAAGCCAAAACAACCTCAACCTTTTTTTTCAATGCTTTTCGCAGGAAGGATTCGGCCCAGATTTTGGGGAGTACCGCCCCGTGTAGACATTTTTCGTTTCCTTTTGTTCTCAGTCACGTGGTTTCCATATCTGGTATGCAAAACGAAAACAAATAATAAAACATTTCAACCTGGAATGTGCGAGAAAGTAGAGATCAAAGCAAAACAACAATGCATTACAATCACGTTCTCGTATGCGTTAAAACAACGTTTTAATGCATACCAGAAGTGACGACATTCAAGATGGCTGCGCCCTTGTGGAAAAGGTGTATAGAGAACCTACGTTACAGAGAGCTTCCGACTGCTTGGTCGGACAAGGCGGCAAAAGCGTTGATCGTCTACAAACGTCTTGGCCTTTCCGCATGCTTTCCTCCTTGCCACCCGACGATGTAGCACTTGCACCCTCGTGATCAATCGGTGCAAGGGGCATCCACCTTTAGATTGCAATTTAAACTCCCTAGTCATGTACTGTGTCTCTGTGCCACGTAGCCACCTAGCCACCGTTTTTGATGGTTCAACAACGACACCTCGCAGGTACGGCCAAGACGCGGCGCAGGTGGTGGACCACGCCATCTACTCGGTGGGCAACGTGGCCCTGACGACCAACAGCGTGCGCAGCCTGGGCGTCAGGGGCTTAGCCAAGCGCACGGCCAAGGAGACCGGCAAGGCCATCCTCGAGGAGTATGTGAGCAGTCTCGAGAGGGACCCCCGGTTCAGCGGCGACCCCCTGGTGGCGAGCCTGCGCATGCAGCCGAAGTAACGCCACCTCGCCACGCACCGCGCGAATTCGAAACTCTCGCGAGCTGGAGCCACTTAATCAGCCGCACTTTAGAGTAACGACACTTCAGCAGTCTGGAGGTGTGGAATTGGCTATATCCTTTGTATCGGGGGGTAGCGTGTGCCATCTAACCTAAAAACTTTTCTGCCCCTCGTTAACCCGTAGAACCCATTAACTTTGTGTTCAATTTCGCACTTCCCTAGATCTTTTTCGTTCATTCTCTAACCTCCTTTTCATGATCGCACCACATTTCCGCGCCAAATGTATAGTCCACACTGGCAAATTTCTGGTTAAAAAAAAGTGTGAATTTCTGGCTAAAAAAAAGAAGTGTTTCTTTAGTTAGTTTGTATCTGGTGCATAGTCCGTCCATACATAGTGCCTAGACTGCATATAAAATAAAAAGAATTCTCATATACAGCACACTTTTACGAGTGCCAGCTTTATTAGCTCACAAAGAAGCTTGTATCATACATAAATCATCTTTAACATACCCTGTCATTCGCAAAATTTGTCAAAGCTTGTCATAATGAATTATCTAGGGAAAACATCCTCGTATACTCTACACGTGTAGATAGTTTTGCATTGCATAATATTTTCAATTTTGAAACGTGTATGGTCTGCGGATCGTAGTCTGCAAAAGACGGTAACAGCTCTTCAGCTGGCTTGGTACTCGAAAATTTATAATGTCCAGTTAGCTTCATCCGAAATAGCAGAAAACGCTTTTGCATCCTTCAGGAACGTCAGAATAGTTTCCAGCCAAGCAAAGCGAAATCGCCTGAACTTCCCGACACCGTCCCCGAACCTTGGGAAGTCGCACTTTCAAATCGTAGCCATTGACGATTGCGTCTGCTCTGCACTGGACACCAAAATGGCGGCGCCCACAAGAAAGTCGGGTGATGGAATGTCGACACTCTAGACGTAGCTCGTATTTAGTGGCTCCAGCGTGCGAATCTCGCGGACATCTCTACCAACCCTTGGGGTTCGCACGTGGATCATGTGATAAGGCGGCCATTTGCGGGTTGCAAACAGTGGGGCACGTTTCTTTTGGCTGTCCGAACCAGAGTAAAAAATCTGACATGTTGGGAAAGCAGCCTCGCAAGTGTTTGCTGTTGCATGCGAGTTGCACCCATGTTTTATCCTCGTTTGCAAAATACAACTTCGGTGCCCGTTAGGGAACAGCTCGGGGGCAGTCGTCCGTTGTCGAGCGCTGTGGCCGGAACCTAGTTTTTTTTTTTTTTTTGTCTTCATCGTGTGAAGGACATGTTTAAACTCGTTGAAAAGTTCCCAACACATTGGGTTTCCGTGTAATGCGATGCAAACGTGTTTCTGTAGCGGTGTTCAGTGATTTTTGGAAAGTTGGAGGAGGGAAGAATGCAACCAGGTCACATCAAAGCCCCTTGATAAAGTTCACGCTTCGCGTTTCTTACAAGTACCGCCAACCATTTCTCCGTGAACGTGCAAGACACCTGCTGTGAATAGGGTACTCCGCCGCCATTCGCTTCCTAGGGCCGTTGATCTCGGTGCTGTGCCCCCATTTGCTTCCAAGAGCCGCACAAGGCATGTACCTTGTGCACTGGCGAAGTTGATGTAGCTTGTAAGACAGACACATCAAGGGGCTTTAGGTCACACCACTTTGGTGAATTTCTACAGCCGTATCCCATCTGTCCTTATTACACCCTGGTGCGAGCTCGTGTCTGCAAGTCCTGAGCTGCGTTCGAATTCGGTTCGCACGGCAAGAGTTTACAGGCAGCTAAGACACTGTCGAGCGCGGCGCACCACATTACGGTAGTCACAGTGCAGCCAAAAAGATGTGTCCATCATTTTCAACTGATAATCGTGACTGGCGTCTTTAGAAATGAGGCGAGCGCACAATAAATGGCATGAATTGGCGATTTGGTGATGATAAACATACATACACGCACACTAAAGCGTACTGATGTAGCAGTTTTGCTTGTAATAAAATTTCAATGGTTAACATTTAGGCAATCTAAAATTTCAAATGAAAACCAAATTTTTCTTTAATCTGGGTTTGAAAAACCTGCATTTACTTTTGACTTTTGAGGGTCTGACTCTTCAGAGTTTGTGAAGATTCCTTCATCTGAATGTATGCATCCTTGTGTTGAACCGCAGATAAATTAAACAGTTCTCCTGCTTTCAATCCACTAAGGCCTTTGTTGTGGTCGACCCAAATCGTAAGCAACTTAAAATTTTCTTTAAATAAACTTTTATTTGATGCAGCAGCTAAAATATTTTTGTTTATGCGAAGTTTGGCTTTTGTCTTGCTGTTCAATTGCCAATTTATGAAGTTTATCTTGTGGTCGCCTCACTATCGAATTTGCTGGGGGAAAAAAAAATGGTCTGCCCTTCCTTACACAATGAGGGGCCCTCTTTTTATTGTTCTGAGGAAAACTCATAATATTGAAGGGAATGGCCACGGTTTTAGCAGCAACCATTGAGAACTGCTGCCAGTGTTATTTTTTGGCACATTGGTGGTACGGTATCCCTGTACTGCTTGGTAGACCCTTTTTGGAACCTCATTAGGCAACATTGGCGGTCACCATTTCTTGGTCACATGGCGTGCAGATCAGCGTTCTCGCTGAATGCTGTTGCAGCACTTGTGTTCACTAGTACATGCTTGGAGTATGTGATTGAACAGTGGCGGACGTGCATGATTGGCAGAGCAGCTTTAGATGGCGCCACACTTTTCAAAAGGGTCTGTTGTAGGGGACGTGCTGCTGTTTGTGTCAACCAACTTTGTTTTCTTGCGAAATCTTTGGATTGTTTGTTTCTTAGTCTTCCAGTGCTAACTCGGCGTTAGTCCTTTCATTACCGTAAGAATGTTAGCGCTTTGCAGAGTGTGTAGCATAATCGCTAGTCTGTGAAAATGGATGCTACATTAACTATTTACATCACGGATGTTTTCTTCCCGGTCACTGTTTTGTACCTTTTTTTTTTCCATGTCTTTTGCCTTCCCTTTTTTAGCTGGCAAGAGTGCGCGCGTCCGAAGGATGCCATATTTCAGACGAAGATGCCACAGAGGACATATAAGATTGTTGCTGCAAATACAAGAACTCTACGGAATTTGCTGTCACTGAGATCCCGTAGACGAAGGTTTTGCAAATGAAGTGAAACCCTGGTCAAGTGAGAATACACGGTGCTCAATCAGTTTTACACATTTTTGACTGTCTCTCCATGTGACTCAATAAAGTTTGGACTACAGATGGATATTTTTCTGCAATAAAGCAATTTGAATCTTTTCTGTGTTGACATCTGCCTGGCAACTGATGGGGCATTATATCAAAGGTCCTACAATTGCTTCACAGTGATCTAGATGGCCCAGATTACCTATGACCCCTACAGCAAAGGGAAGATTGCAGCGCTATCGTCAATATGCTTCATTGCAATTTTTAAGACCGAAAGCGAGCGTCCCAGAAGAAGCTTTTGGGTTACGTGGCTAAAATGACCGGACGTCCCGATTTAGGTGGAACAGGTCCCGCCTGGTCCCGCTGTCCCGCCAGCGTGCTTGTGGGACAGTGGTTTTTCCCGCTTTGGCTCCCCCAAACCGCGAATAGATAAGACTTGGTTAAACGAGAGGATCGCACCAGTGAGAGGGCGCTTTCTCTGATCATGGAACAAGATATGCTTGGCAGGAAAGATGCTGATGCTGAACTTAATTTGCGTTTGACAGGTGAATAGACTACTTCCATAAAGCCCTACATGCAACACGGCGCGCGTTGCACTCTGGGAACTAGTTGGCCAGCCAGGGAGGAGGGTGGCATGGTTTCGGTTTCGAGCGTGGACTCTTAACGGCCGTTATCTCATGTTTTCTGGTCCCGAGAGTGTCATTTGTGGCCTCTAAACTAACCTAAATGGCCAGACCTTGAAGCTTTAGACAAGCCCGCGACGTATAGTTTGTATTAACTCATGCTCGTTGTATTTTTGTACTTGAGCCTTTCTGTTAGCGTTCCAATCGAGGTATGTGGACGAGCCAGTGCTGGGAATCTCGACGCTGCGAAGCTCGGGGATCTTGCCTATGTACGAACCAACAAGCTGTAGCAACCAATAAGTATGCATACATCGAGCTCGCGCTTTTACATTAGTGTTGTTGATCAGGAAGTTTGTTTGTTTCGTGCGTCCATAGACGAAAAATCACTTTTTGCAATTACTGTTTTTCTTAATACGCCTGAGTACGCGAGGTAAAACTCGGAGGCGCCATCGAAAAGCTCAATTTTAACACACTTCTAATCTCTTATCTGTACTGACCCGCAGCACTGCACGAAGTGAGGTCCCCACCCGCTTGCATTCCACTAATATTCAACATGGCGTATGTGCATAAAGTTACATTCGCACATACAGACCATTTTTAGAAAGCAAAGGTCGAGCACTTGTGTGAAGAATGTCGCACCGTTCGCCGGAAGTGCGTCGGACGGGCAAGAACCCCATATGCGGTGCGACAAACGAACGAAATTATTCAAAGCGCGTTTGACAGTTGCTAATGGCCATAATATTTGTTATGTGTTTGCTTTGTTCCTGCCTGAGTATGTCGAGATAATTTCAGACACACCGTTCAGGCACAGATCTTGGGCGTCAGTAAAAGCTCGACCAAAAAGGCTTAGCGAGGACTAGGGGACGCTTGTTAGGGCCTCCGTCGTAGCTAGCCGATCTCAGCGTTTGCAAAAACTTAATCTTCTATGAGCATAAAATTTGAGTGGGAGATATATGATGACACGAGGAAGACATCATAGTAACTTTTGTGCAGTAGCGAGGTCGAATTTATTGCGTTTCCTTAAAAGTTCATGCGTCAACGCTGGGCTCAACTTTGATACTCCTGTGAGAATGCGGCTTGCTTTTTGCCCAATGAAGTAACAAGAAGCGGACGTTTGGCAAACAAAATAGGTGAAAGGCTCCAGGTGAACAAATTTCAGTTCTAGTTCACTGGTACTAGACGGGATTATTGAAATTGAACTCAAAGATGCACTCGTTGGGTGAGGTGACTAAGCCACGTCTTACTACGTTTGCATACGCACTCATAATATCCGGTGTTTCGGGTACCAAGAAAAGTGCCCCGGTCTTCGTTTTGTATCGCTCGAGAATGAGTGTATTGTACGTTCTTGAAAAGTCAGATATCGAAAACGCAAGCAGCGCGTTCGGTCGCGGCGTGATAGCATGAGATGAAGCTGCTCAATCGAAACCGAAACTGAGCGGCCAACTAGTTCCCAGAGTGCACTGCGTGGTATTTCGTCGCGATGGGGCGCGTCGGTTTTGGAAGAAGTCCATTGTGCTATGGACATAGTATCAAAGATAAATACATTAATACTAAAGTTTAATATTCCAACCAAATGCATTAGATGTGCATGCCAAACAGTATGCAAATCGCAAGGAAAGAAATGCTCACGGTGTTTACGAAATAAAAAAAGTTGTGATTTGCTACCGAAATTGTAAGCTTTGAAGTCTCAACACAATTAACGCCCCCCCCCCCCCCCCCCCCCCCCCCCCCCCCCCCGCGCTTAGGGGCTGAGGAATACGGTGTCTTTATATACGGCATATGTAAGAAAACACTACGGGCGGTGGCTTTTAACAAATATTTTTATTGATCTAAAAATGCTACTGGCCCCAGCAGGAGTGGATACAAGCAAATGACGCAATCGCTCCCGTGAACATCCGTGAACTCTGGTTAGTGAACCCAAACAGTATTCGAAATAATTACTGATATTCGTAACTTTCCAGATAATACATCAGCTGTTGACTTATCAACAGTGTCGATAGGCGCCTCTATCCATAGCTGCGAAAGCGCTTGTATGCCTAGGTAAGTTTGTGGCGCACTTCTCCGGAAATGTCCTGGCGACGCTCGTTGTGGGTGGCGTGGTGGCGTGTCCAATCGACGTCGATATCAACGACACCGAGAAATCAAGATGGCGTCCTCCATGCCGTAAATTGCACCATGTCTTTGCTCCGTTCTTTCATCACGGTGTTTCATTGATAACACGAAACGACACGCGACTCCCGAATAACTAAAAATGGTAAGAAAACTGCCTTTTAGCTTGCCCAATTTTTGTCTCATTATTTTCTTACTGGACACCACTGCTCGCGTTTTTAAAGCGCGGGCCGCAAAAGCCGCATGCCGCAAGACCCCGATTGTGGACGAAGTTCGGAAAGCTTGTGAATTCTGCGTGCTCGCTAACCGTCAGCACCCCGTGTCTTTCTTTGCAGGCTAAATACCTAGCGCAAGTCATTGTTGTTGGAGCTCAAGTTGTGGCCAGAGCTTTTGCCAGGGCTCTTCAACAAGAATACGCCGGTACGTGCGATCGCCTTGACCTTGTGCGCGCCACTCTTGCGGTAAGCTGAGTTACTGAGTATCGTTGACTCTAATATCTTTACATGTGGCTGTTTCTGCAGCGAGCCAGGCTGCCGCGCAGCAAGCTGGCGGTGGTAGAGGCGGTAACACGCAGAGGGCTGCAGCCAGTGCAAAGTTGGGCATGAGCATACAGGTAGTTAATTTTTTCTTTTTCCACTTTGTTTGCTTATTGAAAGTATCGCAACAATGTGAATAGCTTAGGCGTCGTTACTAAAGTTGGCGTTTCGAATTCCTATTAAAGAATGCCAGTGAAATTGTTAAGGAAATTAGTCGTTGACATGATGAAATTGCTCTGTTTTTTTTCAGCTAATCGTTTGTGTTTTGGTACTTCCCTAACTTCTCGTTTCTCCCTTGTCTTGGATCCCAGACCAAATTAAGCTCTTCTTTGCAGCTTTTTGTCTCAGATCCTCGTTAGTGTTTCTGTAAAATAGAGTTAAATTGATAAACGTTATTGTGCCATGCTTTGGCTACTCCTTTGCTGAGCAATGTACAAGGTTGGTGAGATCTTGTCAAGTAAAATTCCTTTTTCTCCCACCTTGCCCGACTTAAAGAGCAACTCTGCTTCATTTTTGTTTTTGAAAAAAACAATGCACTCCTCTTCAGTATCCCCTAGGAAGACCACACTTCAAATATTATGACATTTTTCTGTCTGAATGTTTCTTAAACGGTCCGGCGAACTTTGCAACTAGCCAAGTGGCTGAAATTGGCTTACTCGAGTGGGCGAATTGAGGTGCAACCAACAGCGCAGTCAAGGCTACATACAGCGTGGGCGTAGCCAACATTGAGCTAAACATCATCACAATTGCCCCCTTTTGCTTGTTTCTACTTCTCCGGGCAAGCAAAACGGGTGACATCAGCAATGTTTCCTCTTGGTGCGCCAGCACAGCGTGCTTCTTGGGAGCCGTCCGGCCGCCCCGCCGTGGTTTTTGCCATTACCGCCCTCTGTCGCGTCGGAATCACCATCGTCGTCTCACTATTTGTGATTGTTGTCTCTCGGATTTTCGTCCCCACTACGGACACTATGTGCGCAGACTTACGCCGCAGTTGTTCAGATGTCGTTGAATGTGGTAGACATTAAAACGTGGTGAAGAGTGCGGTGCAGACGACACTTGCCCCTGGCACGCGTCCGCCCGTCGTTGCTTAGAGGATCACGTGACATCTCGTACCACGTGACAGCCATGTTTTTGGCGCCCCGAGGCCAATGTTGCTGAATGGAGCCGAAGTTTCGGTTTCCGCTAGAGTTTAAAATTATAATTAAAAATATATATCCCATTTTTTTTGCGAAGAAAATGACATAGTGTCTTTTACTAGGGCTTTTTAATGCAAAATCACTCATTATCCCAAAATCTTCAGAATTGAGTAGTTACCCTTTAAGAAGTCTGAATAAGGAATATTACTATTAAACATTGTATGGTACCCATTCCTTATTTAATATGTGTGTTCTAAAGGCATCATGAGGCGACATGGACTGACCTGTAAGACCAAAAACTGTGGAAAGCCTGTAATAAAAAAATATAAAATGGTAGTTACTGCACTTTTTTTTTTCTTTTTTTTTTCACTACAGTTGATGTGCACAGAGCAAGGACTGTTGCTTACCTCAACTTATATGGGTTCACATTTCTTCTCATAAAATTGAAGCATATTCTTTCCAAAAGGGAGTTAGTACAGTGCACTGTGACTAGTATATGGAGGTCTTTGAGTTCTCTGCAACAAGCTACTAATGTGCACTCTTCTTAAAAGTAATTGTGTTGTGTGTATTTAGACAGCTGGAATTCAGTCAGCCCCAATAAGCACCTGGTGTCTCCGCTGTACAATAGTTGAGAAACTTAACCAGAGTAGTACAACTGCTAGTCTGGAGTCTTTAACCTACAGGGTGCCCCCCAAAACTTTACAGGGTTTCTTTTACCGCAATAATTAACTACTATGGATCGCCGGATGCTCATTCTCTGCCCAAATGTGGTGCTAGCGGTCCAAATTAAACGCCAAAGTTCCAGCACTAACCATTATTTTTTTCAAAAGTTAGACTTGATTTTCTTAAATTTTCAATGGGAAAATGGCGGCCGACAGAGCTCTCTGACACACTGAGCTCTATTCGCAACACCAGCCCGTTGCTCGCCCTCTCGAGGACAAACGAAGAACCAGAGGAGCGGGGATGACGGCGGATACGGTGGCAGGGACTGTTGCCCTTGGTGCTGTTGTTTTCCATGGCGTGTTTGTGCATCGTGCAGTTTTTATTTATTTATTTATTGATACTGTCGGCCTACTGGCCATTGCAGGAGTGGATTTTTCTACAAGTATACACGGAAAAACCGGGCGTGTTCAAATAGGAATTGTTGTGGTTCGGTTTGCTACAGTGTTACATGAAGGACCGGTATGTCTCATTTCACGGGACTTTTCGTAGACTGCATGCGTTGCGGATTTTGGGTCCTGTGGTCGCCAGCACAATCTGTGCACAACGGGACGGCAAAAGCTCGCCCCAAGTAGTGCAAAGCTCTTGGGTACAATTTTCGAAAAGTTTATTTTTCCCACAAAGTAAAAGAGAACTGCTCGGACAACAGTGTATTGAGCAATAGACATCAGAAATGGGTTCGCATTTCGTGTGCTGCAAGGCCGTGACGAGAAACACGGCAGTTTGCTCCAAGCACTTCTAAAAGACAGACTATGCATATCTGCGTTCTGTTAATTACAAAGGCAAATAAAGAAATGCTCCTAGCACCAGAGAATTGATCGTGAGGTGTGCTTAGGACGGGCAGTTTTGGTGAGGCGGGTTGCGGCGATGCGAACAACAGTGTGCCGGTGTAGAATACTGTATATGTTAATATTTATTTTGACAGATCAATACATAGAACCCTTAAACACACCAATGGCATTATTATGCAAGTTTTTGCACAATGTTACCGCAGGCTACAATAAGCATGGCAACATTTTGGCGCGCGCTAAAAATCACGTTTCAGAGGTGCAGCGCTAACTTCTGGTCGCAATTCCTCACTGCATGGTAGCCTGCAGCTACGCTATGCTAAAATTGCCCACTAGTAACCACGGCGCAGAATGATTGTGTTGCGATGCACTTAAACAGCGGCGGTGTGCAGTGAGCTGTAAGCCTCTGACACAGATACCATTACTGTGAACGCTGTTCTAAAGGGGCTTGACGGTCACCCTGCACGGCTCACGTTGTGGAGCACTGGTGGCCAGGCAGAGCGCAAACACTGCAATATCTTCACCAATCAAAAGAATCTTGTGCCACACAATGACGCAACCGGCACCCAAAACTTGCTCGCCCTCCACAAAGTCTTGCAAGTTCTGTGATGTTTCCACGTCTTCTAGAAAAAGAACAAGCTCATTTTCCTAACCCGCGTCATTTCTCCAACACCTGTGATATGCTTCCGCCCTGACCGTTTAGCATTTGAAGCCAAATAAACTAAGCACACTGACCAGCATCAGCGAGAAAGTGCATAGAAAATCTGTCTCCGTCTCTTCCATCATCTTTGGAACTACTGCCCTGCCATCTATAGGGCATTGGAGTTGCAAATAGCACCAGTTACCGAAAGTGGGCAGAAGTGGGCCCCACTTCTGCCCACTTTAAAATAAAATTTTCAGAAAATCACTTATAACTCTTGAATAAGGTAATGGTTAGTGCTGAAACTTTGACACCTGGTTTGAACTGCTAGTGCTAGATTTGGGCAAAAAATAAGCGTTCAGGCAATGTATAATTTAATTTTGAAAAAAATAAAAAGGTTGTTATGCGTTGATTAATGTTGCAGTAGTGATGTACGACTGTACACCGGTACAATACTCATCCAGATCAAAATGGGCAGGGGTTATGTTTGAAAGTACTCTTGTTGACTTTGCAGGAAGCCCTACAGATACTGAATGTGGAGAAGTTGGATCCGGAGAAGATTGCTAAAAACTACGATCACCTGTTCCAAGTGAATGACAAGGCAAAAGGCGGTTCTTTCTACCTTCAGTCAAAGGTGGCAAACTTTGGCACATTGTTCATGCTGCCTTTAGGCTATGATAAGACTCGTTAAATGGACCTCCAACCAATATCCTTTTAGCTTTGGCAGGCACAAGCTCAGAACAATGTCTTTATGCTCATAAAGGGCAGTTCACATATTGTGGCACTAGGAGTGCTGACTTGAACATAACTTAACCCTGATGCAGTGCTGTATCATTACAATAGTGCAAAGTCATTGCTGCACCAGCAATGTCAGCACTAGTTCCAGCTCTAAGTTAACACTGTAGTGTATGTGTGGACGGGCATTTAAGCACGCACAAGACATCAGTTTCCTTCTATGCTTGCTATGGCACATTCGTGAAAAAAAAAAAAAAAAAGAAGTCCAACTTTAGGTTTTTTTTTGTGTGTCTTGTGTTTCATGGTGAAGCACAAGGACTGTTCTTTATTTCAAGACCATTAGATGGCCTTCGTGTAGCCTCAGAGGTTGCTGGCTGAAGATTTTGTGAAATTCTGCTTGGAGGCGCAGGTCAAGGAATGAGCGCATAGGGTAAAATACCGAGCACGTACCCATGTCGCAATAAGCGCACTCCACCTACTTTTGAAATGTAAGCAAAGGATATGTCGAGTGCCCATCCCCAGCAAAATTCTGAGCCCACTGAGGTGCTTCTCCGAGTCGACCGGTTCTCCTAAAAGCCAGTGCAAACCGGTGAAGCTATACAGACATGTGTTGGTACAAAATGGTAAAGCTTGTTGCAACAGCACTGACAGGCTCACTGAAAGCGGCACGTCTGCTTTAAAAATATGGGGTTCCACCAGACCCCTGTGCTGCTCCTATGCCAATCTGTCAGATCAAACAAGGGTCTTCCCTACTATGTTTCTTTATGCTTTTCTACTTTTTGACCTAACAAGCAGCCATCCTATTTTTTTTCGCAGTTCTCTCCAACCTTTGTGTTGGCACTGCTCGGTATTTGACGACAGTTCATATTGTTGAGTGGTCGACCGTTTATATTGTGCTTACGTCAGCTTGGTGGCTCGGCTAGTATCAATATGATCGTCATCAAGCTAGTAGTCAAATGAATTGCAGTACCATGAATGTATTGAATGTCTCTGTCATTTCCTTTAGTGTGTTTGTATATGCCCTTGTCCATCAAGCTTAATACGTGTGCTCTTTGTCTTCGCAGGTGTATAGGGCCAAAGAACGACTTGACGAAGAACTCAGACTTCAAGAAGAACAGGAGCAGAAGAAAAAGGAAAGGCGGAAAGACAATGACTTATAGCCCCTCTTTTCTTAGTTACATCTGTACATAAAAGTGAAAACCGTGTATAGAATGCAATAAATTTTACTAGCAACTTGCTTTTCCTTCATATTTCTTCTACAGAAAACCTTATTACTATACTCCGTGTCATGAAGCTATAATAAGTGTGAGTGAAGAAGCTACAAGAGTGAGCTCAACACTTTGAGCTGGCCTATGAAGTGAATGCGTCATTCAAGATGGCCTGCTAGTGCTTGTAATGTTTGCTTCGCTCGGACTTGTGGTGAGAAATAGCATGCAGGAAACCAGCTACAGACAGTGCAGTCATAGTGCATGGCATACACTGTATGTAATCTTGATACACTTGCTTTTTGTCAACTCTTTCTTTACTGGCCACATGCACAACCAAGAGTGTTGCTATCATTGACCTTCCACAATTGGCTATGAGCCCGCTATGAGGTTTTCAGTCGGATCTCGACAACTCTGACAGCATTGCTCTTGAGCTTGCGATGCCCACAAACTTCCACCACACTTTTTGTGCGCACTGTCATTTGCAACTCATGATGAGTGACAGACAACCATTGTCATGATTGACACTCATACATTCCATTGAAGCAAATCCTGATCTTGATGTCACAGGCAGAAACCATGAGAGGGCGTCGCCTAAAGATTGTGCCGCTAATCCCGTGAACAGTATGGGGTTCCACTATGAATTCCTTGGAGTGTGTGTGGTTGTAAACCAGGTTTTTATAGCGAAGGCTGTTTATGGCTAGGGTCCCGTAGATTTTTCGTGTGAGGCAACAGAAATGATGTTATGACTTCGTGTCATGTGACATTGATTCCCCCGTTAAATTTGGCGGGGAAATTGACGTCACGTGACCTCAACACCAATTCTGTTTCCCCGCTAAATTTAGTGGGAAAAATGGCGTCACGACTGTGTCATGTGACCTCAATTTTCCCGCTAAATTTAGTGAAAATTTTTCTGATAAATTTGGTGGGGAAATTGATGTCATGTGACGTCAACACCAATTCAGTTTCCCCACTAAATTTAGCGGGGAAAATGACGTAATGACTTCGTGTCACCTCACCCAAGAACAAATTCAGCGGCAGGAGGAAAGGAGGAGGGAAGCGCACCATCCTCTCTTTGTTGTCGTTCTAAGCCCCCGCTTTCGTGTCTAGTTTCCTTTCCTTCCGCCGGGTGGCGGTCCCGTCACGCGTGTCTAGTTTCCTCCGGCTTCTCGGGGCGGCGATTGTCCGCAATATGTGTGTGCGTACCGTTCGTCACGATGACCACCGATCAAGACAATAAATGTGTTCATATTTTTGTTCAAAATTCTGTGTCACGTCCGTCTTCGTTGGTATGGGCATCACTGCCTTTTGCTCCTGTGCGCCTGGATGGCCTGGATAAACCCCTCCAAAGTACGAATAAAGTATTATTATCCACCTTCACAAAGTGGAATGGCTCATCATTTTTTTTCTTTTCTATTTATTAGAATGTCTTGTAACCCTCGACCGAATGAAATCGCTGCGTTGGGCGGAGCTTTCTATGTTTCGCATCCCAAGTAAGCCGCACAGCTCTCGGTGAATTCGAGTTTCTGTTTAAACCCCGGAAGGGTTTCCGCGCTGGGGGACGCTACGAACGTTGGCAATGGCGGCAGCAATGGCCGCCTGCGAGAATTGTTGTAGGTAGGGAAGGATCGTCATTCAACCCCGCGACAGTGTGTCTGATGGGCGTCTACTTCGCATCGGGACGTACCTGAACCAGCCTAGTCTTTCGACTTTTGCACTCGTACAATGGAAGAGGACAGCACTGCGGCCAGCACTTCGAAATCGCCGACTGTCTCGGACGGCGACTGCTCCGGGGAATCGTCGAAGAAAGACGACGCTGACTCCAAGGAAAGTGGAAACGGCGCGGAGCACCTGAAGAGCAGCGTACTCACCGAAGTTCTCAACAAAAAGAAGATGGCACTGCTCCATTCGCCCGAAGTGGTTAGGTTCCTGCAAGACCAGCAGCGCAAGAAACTGAAACCCAACTCTGCCGAGAATACGTGATTTTTCAAATGAACTTTCTTCTTTTCACGAGACTATTTTACGAACGATGCACACGAGCTGGCTGAACTTTATTGCGTAGCGTCGTCCGCTGTTGGTCTGATGTGAACATAACAACATAAACAGCACAGCAGCGTTCCCCGCCCACGTAGCGGGCAGCAGTCGCACAGTCGAGCCGCTTTTCTTTAACGATGATAAATAATAACAATTGTTGTAAACAAGTTCTAAGGTTTCACGTTTTGTAGAGAGTTCTTCACGCGCTCGATCTCGTTGTGCAGATCGTCTCTGACGGTTTTGAGGTGTTCGGTCTTCTTTTGGAGCACTTCTGCGAGACCCGCGATCTTTTCACTCATCTCCATGAAGTGTTTTACTTTGAGGAAAGCTGCGTCGGCGCTCATGGGCCCGTTTCCGTCTTCGCCCGAGGCCGCGGCCGCACTGTCGCTGGTCGCTTCCAGATTGCTGCCGTCGGGAAGCACGCTGAAGACGACGTCGTCGGCGGCACAGTAGAGGTCTTCTTGGATCGCCTCGAACGTCGGAGGCGTCGGTCGTGTGTGCAGGGCCGCTTTTCTCCGGAACATTGTCGCGGAAGTGGTAGGGGTTTGAATGCACTCTACACGGGGGTCGTCGTTTTTTGTTCTTGCTGGCGAAGGTTCGTGAGTCAGCGAACTGCTATCGTCCGAGAGATCGAAATAATTTGTTGCGAGTTGCGTCGTGGCGGTGTTTCTGCCATGAATCAAGATGGAGCATAGACGAACAGTGGGGGATTAGTGGGATGAGTGGCGAAGACGCCCTCTTTCGCTGCGAAGAAAGAGTGAAATTCGCACGCACTTCGCGAGGTGGCGCTAGTGTCCCAGACGTCGAACTGTCACGTTGCGGGCTCTGTATGGCAACATTGGTTTCCCCTCCTCCCTCGCCTCCGATCTCCCGCCAAATTTAAGAGCAGCTGGTTGGTTGTCAAATCGCCGAGACTGCGATAATTCATCGGTGGGTCGAGGGTTGCCGAGAGTCAATGTGATGTCGTCGGTGATCTCGAAGTAATCAGAACCTAGCAGACGATAGGTTAGAGGGCCTTTACTGGGGACATTTGCATCGTTTCAAGCGCTTGTACAGAGCACTTCTGGTTCTAGCTTTTGCTTGGAACTCTAGTGAGGGCTTCTGTTACGAGCTAAAACTCAAAGCGTGTCGTTACGTTTGTTGAACGTGTCGTTTATTTAGCAACTGAAGTAAGCGACGCCGGCACAGCTAGTGGTGCCTCGGCACATTTCATTTTTTAATCGATGTTTGAACGCTTGAAGAATACCGCTTCAATATCCGAACTCGATATAATGATAGCAGCATATAAGCTTCAATATTCCTACCTTTGTGTGTTTCTCCCACAGACTTGCGTGTATTGCCTGGTATCAAGCAGTGGCCGCCGGTGGTGCCACGGACGGGCTCCCGATCCTCGATCCAGTTTACTACTCAGAGGCGTAGCTGGGCCACCCGGCATCCGGGGCCCTTAGGTGTTTCGTAGCATCCCCCCCCCCCCCCCCCCCCCCCCCAGCATTTCTCTCCCCGAGATTGCATCCAACCAGTAAAGGGGGGGGGGGGGGCTTGGCACCCCCCCCCCCCCTCTTTCGTTGCTACGCCACTGCTACTACTGCATTAGAGATCAGTGGGTGACATTGGCGCACCAAGGATTTTCGTGTGTGTGTGTATGGGGGAAAGGGTGGGGGGCTTCAACGTGCTGCGTTGAGATTGCCGTGCTGCACGTGCAACTCGGAAATCAACAGTTTCTGAATTATTTCGCCGTCACAAATTTTTATGATCCGTGGTGTAGTCGTTACCATGGGGTGAATTGTTTGCGGGACAAACTGTTTCGTGCTTATTTTTAAATCGCGAAATTGGCGAAACATACTAGGTCTTTATGAAAATCTAGTAGTTTACCGTGTCCTTCGTTCCACGTAACCCGGCAGACGACAAAACCTGCGGCTCCTGCGACTCAATGCGAGCTGCCAGAGTCAACCACGTGTCCTCCCGTGCTGTATTGCCGCATGGCCGCGCCATCGTGTGTATGAGAAGAAAACTCGGCTATCTAGAGGCAACAATAATTTAAATAATTTTGAAAGAAAAAGAATTTCCAGTAATGTAATTACCTAAAAATGAAAAACAAACATCGACGTGAAGATTTAGATCGAAGGACGAGAAAACATTTAAAGCATTACTCTTAAATAATTATAAATTGTAATCTAACCTGATTAATTTAGCGTACAAGTTTGGGCAACAGAAGGGTAACGATCCCGAAATAGCCCGCCCCCCTTGCCGACTTGCCGGCGTAGACCCCGAGGTCATTCGAATGAGTGGCTTCCGGGATTGAAAAAGACTCGGTGCTGACGGATTGATCAGATGGTTCTGCTGAAGACAATGGCGTCTACTGAATCACCGGTTCGCGAATGCTGGGAGTTGCACATTGCAGTGTTGATGCAAAGTTTGTCAAATCCAAATCTCGACTCTTTTTTTTTTTTTTTTTTTTTTTTTTCTGAGAAGCAGGTAAGCATTGTATTTGACTTTTGCTTCAGGTGGCTTTAGGCGGTGTAGCTCATCCTGGACTCTCGGATTTCCGCATCAGCAGTCACACGCAGAAAGAGAGTTGCAGCGCGAGTGAACGGCATCGATGCACAACAAATTTTAGTGCTTCGGTGGGCCTCAAGAAACGATCGAGAGAGAATGCGAAAATAAAGAAACATAGAGAGAGATGCGGAGAGGGAGGAAGAGAACGAGATATCGATAAGTAAGTAAGAAGACGGAGATGGAGGGATGAAAGTCAACAAAATTTACATGCAGTAACTCTGGGACAGGGATCCGTCAAAGTCTAGGCGTATCCAGAGGCTGCCATGTCACGCACCAAGAGGACCATCTTCTTGTTTTACTTTACGTACCCAATCATAGCCTCCTCCGCTTTGTGCAACTTCAGTGGGCTACTCCCCCTTCCGCCCGAAGGGAGGGTAAACACGCCGTCGTTTCCTTTTTTTAGGCGGCTGAGAAGTAGACAGCCTTTTCAAAACGGATCGTTTTGATTGATTGATTGATAACTTTTTATTTAAGACATAACTGTACAGAGATGTCCCAGGTGACATGGCAAAAGGCATAAATGCCTGACGGGGCCATGCCACCCTTTTGGCAGCAACGGTAGCAAAAACAAATAAATGAGGAATGACACAATTTCACTCCAAACTAAAAATCTATACAAAACAAAACAAATACATCACAAAACAGGACGTGAAAGGACAATTGCTACTTATCATTCCAAGCATTTTGCTTAAAACACATACGGTTTTATTCCCCTGTGAGTAAGTATTCTTTTACAATATTTTTATATTGATAGAGTGATCGACGCACTCCAATGAAGCTAAAATATATGGGTATTGGTTTAAATAGTCTGGTATCAAAAAACTCAACCTCTGGTCTCCATAATTCGTTCGCGAACGCGATTTTATTAATAAATGACGCCTTAAATTATACGGGCTATCTTTCGCGTGGTACTTAGCATAGAACACCAATTTATCGAGCTGAAATTGCCGCCAAATTTCAAGTGATAGTTTATATTGATGTAGATTTCTTACGTTGAGTATTTGATATCTCCTAAAATATGGTGTGGCACTTTTAAGAAGTTGTATGCTACCAATTGCTCGCAATGCTCGCTTTTGTATGGATACAATATTGTCTAGATTTGTTTGGGATGTCGTTGACCACACTAAAAGGCAGTAACTTATGCGGGATTGCACAAGAGCGAAATAAATTTGACGTTTCACTTTTGTTGGAAGATAATATCTTAATCTATTTAAGACACCAACAGCTCGACAAAGACTTGTTCTCAAAGAATCAATATGTGGCGTCCATGATAGATTTTCATGGAATAAAACCCCCAAGAATCGAATGGTTGAAGATGGTTGAATATAAGAGTCCTGGAATTTTAATTGCAAATTGGAAGGTGGTATCGTTCCTTTTGGTCTAAACAGTAAGTACTTTGTTTTTTCTATGTTTAAATAAAGTTTATTAGATCTAAGCCATAAGTCTAATCCCCGCAACCACTGTTTTGCCTTTCCAAAGAGGTCGTCGATGTTCGAGCCAGAAAAGAAAATATTTGTGTCATCTGCATATAGGACTATATTTGAACTGCCATGTATGTTTTCAATGTCATTAATATATAACAAAAATAATATAGGACCAAGAATAGACCCCTGAGGAACCCCATACTTTATGTACTGAACGTCTGACTTTACTCCATTTACTACTGTATATTGCGTTCTTGTAGTGAGGTAACTTTTAATCAGTGATAAGGAAATACCGCGTATTCCGCAAAACGGAAGTTTCTGTAAAAGTATTTCATGCTGAACGCAATCAAAAGCCTTCTTAAGATCTAGAAATATACCAAGCGTGTATATTTTTTGTTCTATGTTCTCGAGAATTTGTTCTTTAATTCCAAGAAGTGCAACTTCTGGCGATTTATTTTTCTGAAAACCAAATTGTTCTTTTACTAAAATGTTTTTGAAGGTCAAAAACTTAACAAGTCTTTTATTTATAATATGTTCGGCTATCTTTGCAAAAACTGAAAGTACAGAAATAGGTCTATAGTTGTTTAAGTCACTAACTGGGCCACCTTTGTGTATAACCGTCACACGTGCATGCTTCATTTTGTCTGGAAAGACACCCGTAGATAACATGAGGTTACAAACGTGCGCGAGTGGAATACTGATTCTGTCGCAAACGGCTTTTAGCGGTTTTGGTTTATTCATTTTCATTCATTCATTTTCATTCATTTTCATTTATTGCCAAAGTTTGAAGCGAGCAACACTCCAAATGTGTCTGCGAGCCAGTCTCCGAGTTTATATGCGTTTGGCAAAGGAAGAGGCGGGTGGTCTTTGGTCTCAATTGTGCATGCGCTGCGTTTTCGCACGGCAAGGAGGAAAGCACGGTGGAAAGGCGAAGACGCTCGCAGACGACCAACGCGTTCATCACCCTCCTGGCAGCTTGTATTGCAAACGCGGCCCATAAACAAGGTGACCCTGATCGTTGGAGAGGAAAAAAAAGAAAAGAAAGAAAACAGCGCGAAGAGATGGAAGACAGCTGGAAGGAGTACACAAAGATGTTTGTTTACACTTTCTACTTTAACATGATCAACCAACTAGACCAACTCCACGCTTTGTTGCAGTTGCATACTCTCTGTAATACAGGCTCTCTACCGCCGTTTCGAAACTCGTAGCGCCATCTGCTGGCTGCTTAGTTTAAGACAGAAAAGAACACCAGGGAAATACCGTAACAGGCAGATTCCGGCTCTAAAACCACAGGAACAAATAATTTACTGTTGTTTCGGAAGAAAATAACACCTATATTATCTCGGGCCGAAGTCACTGCGGCACAATGTACGCAGTGAGAATATTCAGTGTTTCTGGTTTGCCGTCTGCTTGGGCCTGAAAACGGCGTAAAACGACGCCATGCTTGACAGTTTTGCGTGCAGGTTCTGCAAGAGGCCATCGTGATGTCGGCATACCGGCGACTGTCTGGTAATATCCGCAACATTCTTTGACACGCAGATCTAGTGTCTTTTTAACAAAGCAGTTTCACGTCTTCTATAAACAGACCATACTCAGTTACAGGTTAAGAAAAGTTTTCGAGGGAAAGGAATGCTGAGGAGGAGGAAGCAGACGGAACGCTGGAGAAAGGAGGAGGTTTTCTACCCTCCTCTCCGGCATTCCCTTTGGTTTTTCCTCCCCAGCCCTCCTTTCCCTCGAAAACTTTTCTTAACCTGTAACTGCCACTGCGTAGAAAAGGCACAGGGCCCCAGCTCCAAAGGTAAGCCTACTTTTGTTTTCGTGCGTTCCTCTGACAGGATGAGGACGGCGGGAAAGAGATTCAGTTGTGC